ACCACTTATCGCAGAGCATACAAACTTAGATAGTATCCGATTTTCAGACCTACTGAATATGCATATAAAATTTCATGAGAATCGATCAAGCCGTCTTGGAGGAGTATAGGAACGAACATTGTGACACGATAATTTTATATATAAGATATATCGTGGCTTCGAGGGTATATCAGTATAAAAATATAATTGCTCATGAATTTACGAACAACAATTTATCACAGTAAATTACTAAATTACAGTTAAGATTATTAAGTTCTGGATTTGGTTTACAAATAACAATTATTTATAATATAATACTAATAATACATAGTAACAACGAAAATAATACAAAGACAACAAAATACAAATTAGATGGTGATATATTACCATCCTACAAAAAAAAAAAAAATTAATAAATACAAAAACATTACAACTAGTCGTACATTTAATTACATATGATTGAAATCAATCATTGACAAAGCAACACTTAACCGAACTCCGCTCAAAATCGTTTTTTGTTAGCAATGGTTAATCATTGCGTACAGATCTACATTGAATTTCCCTTCTACCTTCCCAACTTTTTACCTACAACAGTGGCCCACCCACATGCGAAGTTTGTTCGTCTTCTATTAACTAAAATTATTGTTTTCCGACAACATGATATAACACGAACAACTTTCGAAGGAAATGAAATTTGAACACTCAAAACTCCCCCCATACCACAAGTATGGCCTTGACCATAATAAGTAGATAAATAATAGGTATTATATTACCTAATTAATTTTATACAAGTATCAAACTAAATAAATTGTATTTATATCATAAAAATACTGCAATAGGAAGTGATTAAAAATTAAAATTAAATCATTTCACATTAATATATCTATAAGTACTACTTAAATTAAATAAATGTACCTCTAAATAAGTTATTTGCAATGTTACAGTGACGATAGCATTGAAAATAATCGATGTAATTGTACCAAGGTACACGGAATTGAAACAATCAGTAAATCTTTTATGCAATTTTGATATGGAACATGATAAATTATACTCCGTTAAATGGTACAAAGATGACAACGAATTCTACAGGTTCGTACCAGAGAATCAACCAGCTAACCAATTTTTTCATCAGCCAGGCATTGTATTGGATGTTAGTATTTTATTTTTTTATTTTTTTTCATTTTTAAACCACTTTTGTAAATAATATAATGTGACTTTGTGAGTCACAACTATTCAAAGTATTAGTATTTAATTTTCAATTTATCATACTTTTTATAAAATATTCGGTCCATACAAGTAACAGTATACCAAAAGAATTTAATTTCTGTACTAAATCAAAGCCAATTATTGCTGTTCAGTGTTGGGAAAGTTCCATTTAAAAAGGAATTCGTCACCGTTCTTCGTTTCTACTCCAAAAAAGGAACTTCCCGTTCATTTTTTTTTATGAATACTAATGCAATCCAAACTATTTTTTTATATTCTTAATTTAAAAATATCACTAATTAATTTGCTTTGGAAGTATTTAAATAATTGACAATAAAGGTTTTCATGAATTATTCGTAAGTCACTTAAAACTAGTATAGGTATAAAAAGTAAAATAAATGTATTATGAGATATTCAAGTCAACTCATATTGAAAACTATTCTTACTTCTTAAAATTGACGTTTAAAATCCTAATAAATTAAACTAAATTTATTACCTTCTCTAAAATATTTAGTTAAAAATAGCTGATACTGGGAACGGGTGTGGTCAATGTTGTAGGTGGGTAGTTGAGAAGGTGGGATACATAAAATTATTTAAATTATACATATAACTCATGATAAACTAAATAAACTTCAAAGAAAAATAAAATATGACTTTCTTATTCACCAACTAGATTAAAAATACAAAAATAAAAAACTCTTGTTATCTTTCTATTGAAGAAAAATTTCTGTTAGAAAACATTTAAAATAATTCAACCGGAATGCCAAGTTGCCATAAATATTAATCAATTTTAATTTGTTGGTTTTTCCAATTATTACGAAAACTGCTTTAGATATCAAAAAATTGATTTTTTGATAACGCCTATATGTTTTAGCATACATGTTTATATGTTATATGTTTTCCATTTAAGGAACAAAATCGATCTCTTGTCATGTTTTGATTGGAGCATATGTTAGGTAAAAAACATAAGTTGCAAAAATTAAAAACAATGAAATCGATAACACCACGGCACGCCGTAAATATTAGCGTATTACTTATAATTTTCTTTTGGGTTTTTCCAAACTCCTTGGAAAATCAAAAAATGACGCCTTTAATTGCTCCAACTTCATCAAAATCCATTTCTTTTCAGAAAAAATACTATACTCTAAATATCGAAGCAAGATTTCTTTTCGAAAAGTTGTTTATGCTATGAATCTAAAACATATTATTTTTAAAAAAAAAAATTAAATTTACTCAAAATAAATTTATTTCACAGTTAAATAAGTATACAACCACGTGATTTATACATCACATTATACATTTTGTAAATAAAAATAGAAATAATATATTCTACCATTATGGTAATTTATTAGTAACAGACTAAATAATTGACTAAATTGAATAAACTAAATTGAAACCAACACTAAATAATTTTTAGACAATATTATCACTAAAATAACGTAAGTTTCATTTTTGTTTTGATTTTGTAATAAACAGAACGGAAATTTGCATTTACGTTCTTCATAAATAGGATCTCTTACCCATTTTTCTTTCCTATATTTGGAAAGATACACGTTCCTTCCCAACACTGTGATATTGCTACTCATGAACCATAAACCAGTGCAAATATTCGCAAAAGAATTTTTGATGCGGCAAACGATAAGTTATATTTAGTAGTAAAAAAAATTTAACTTAATGCAAGTACCTAGAATTTTTTGCCGGATTTCCCTCAGAAATAGAGATAAATAGAGATTATCACACAGTAATATTTCTGTACTATGTTGAATGTATACAGAATGTCCCACGAAGATACACCCATTGTAATATCTCAGGAGATAATAAAAATAATCAAATTCTAGTTTTTTATACTACTCACTGTGACACGGACTACAAATATTTATATTCAAATTAATTTTTTATGTTTTAGTAAAAACTTAAAAAAATTACTTTTTTATTTAATTAGTTTTTAAATATTTAAAGATGGTCATTTTATAGAGTTTATTATTTTGAAAACGTTGACGTAACAACTTATTATTTTTATATAGTACCTATAATTATGCAGGAGACTGTAATCGCATTCTGTAATTGATTATTTTTATTACGACTAACTGACTGTACACTTTTTTTCTCTTTAAAATTACGAATGTAATGAAAATAAAAAGTTGATGGATCAAAATTTGCAGAAGAATGCACTCTATTAAACAAATTCCGAAAATGATGATACTTTCTGAGATGAGTGTACCCACTTAAATGGATCACTGGGTATACAAGATAATCTGACTAGCCACGGGCTTAAACAATTTCTATTCGACCTTTTTTATGGCATGTATAAATGAACCAGCAAAATATATCAGATATGGTTTAATTATTAGTGTTATCACCGATCACATCTGACCATTAGCTGAACTCCAAGTTGTACATGGGCAACGCGTGTTCATATAATAAACAATAATAGAATACTTATATTACAAAACGTATCGGGTCACTTCCCCGTCTGCCATCTCCCCGTAACCACTTTCTCGTAAAACATTTCCCCGTTTAATACGTTTCTCCGTACATTTTCCCGTCCATATTATATTTATATCATCTTGTAAGAATAATAAAAAGAATTTTAAAAAATATAAAAAACTGTAATCTATAGATCACGTAAATATAATATATATAACTACCGACTTGTTTTCTTCTTTTTTGAACTCTATTTACTCCGGTTTCTCTTTTGTCGTTACTTAGATGAAGGGATTTTATAATATATTTACATGATCTCGGTATACATTAAATTTGTTTATATTTATTAAAGTTCATTATATTATTCTTATATGGTAATACAAATATAATGTAGACGGGGAAACGTCTGATGGGAAAATGGTGGGGAAATAGTAGACGGAGAAGTGTCCATGAATCTTATAGAAAGTAATGTACAAAAATGAGTTTTCCCTATGCCAAATATCGCCAAATTTTTCACTGTACGAGTATACAGAACACAACAAGCCTACCCATATACTTTGAACTAAACACGTTACTATGAAATACTCGATAAAAAATTATCCATATTAATGCGACACATTTTAAATTAATTTTAAATAATTATATTATATTTATTAATATTATCTACTTATATATTGTTTTAAATAATGCATTTTACTTTAATTAATTAATTGTTTGCGCAGTTCTCTCATTGTAATAGGGGAAAAATCATTCTGAGTAATGTAACATTGCAAACTAGTGGTGAATATCGATGTGAAGTCTCAACGGATGGACCAAAATTTGAAATAGTTTCTAAATCTGCGAACATGACTGTATTAAGTAAGTATTAAAATTAAGTGAAAACTTTATTTAGCTGAATTGACTACATATACTGTTATTGGGTATATCATATTCGTATGTATGTACATATGTATGTATGCATGTATTTATGCAGTGACTAAAATGGGAAAAACTTCAAAGGAGAACTATATTTACTAAAGATTGAGGGGAGTTTCCGAGAACTAACTAAACATAACCAAACTTTCAGGGAACTTATCATGGAGACTAGACTTCCAAATTGTTTTTCCCTCATACACATTTGTTCTTAAAAATCATATACAAGTAGGATTTAAAGATAAACTTTATCCCCTTCTTCTTCAAATATTATTCTACGCATATAACTGCTCAGTGAAAATAAAGTAAAACAGAGTCTAATTGGTAAAATCGAAAAGATATTAAGGAATTAATTTTTTCATTTTACTAATTCAAGTTTTTAAAATGTCTTAGTGATAATAACTGAAGCGTTCCCCCGTGGACTTGAACAGTGATACCTGAGTATGAATGATATCTATGCACGACTGCTCTTTCCATCTCATATAATTTGTTTATTTCATAATATTTCCATCCATTTTTGTTCACTTCTTTCACAATCTGGTTTTGTGATTTTTAGTTAAATTTTTTTTTTTATATAAATTTAAATCATTATATTATGTGTATTTATAATGTATTCCTATAAACCTATATAATATATTAAATGGGATATACATTTTATCTCTAAGGAAACAAATTGTATTAATAATAACGAATAATATTAATTAATCAATTATTAACATAATATTTAGAAGTAAGTAATTGAATATTACGAACCTACACTTAAATAATATATTACACAATTAATATGTATGTACTTACCTACATTTTTAAAAACCTTTTTAACCACACTGTTCATTAAATAATTTAAAAAACCTTAAATTAACCACTAAATAATTACGCAGATTATTATTTTTTTCGTATAATTCATTTTTATATGGACTTTGCCAAGTAGATACTTATTACAATGAGATTTATTTTTATAAAATAAGATAATAAAATAATAAAATAATTTATAAACCTAACATTTTTATCTAAGTATTAAAACATGTACAGCTATTACAAATATATTCATTTTTTAAAAAAAAGTGCTTAATTAAACTTTTGGCCTTTTTTTCAGTTTTATTTTGTAATTTTTCATATTTATACCATCATTTTTCCATTATTCTATAAAATTCGGTAATTTTTTTATTTTTATTTTTTTTTATTTTGTTATTATTAAATTATATTTATGTAATTGACGCTCTTTTACCCTGGAACAATATAGATATAATAAAAGTACATACCTATGTAGTAAACCGGTCTTGGTGGTACGGTGTAAAATACAAATAGTTTCCTGTCTCAAATTTTAAATCTCTACGAATATTTTTAATTAGATTAGAAAAACAAAATTTAACAGAACGCTCTTTCTATGTATTTTTCGGTTTAGCTTAATAAATAAAAAAACTATAAATAAAATCAAAAAACAACTTTCATTTTTACTAACTAGATTGAAAATTCAACAAGAAAGTTCAATACAAGTATTGTATGGACACAAGTAAGAATTACTTGTGAATACAAGTAATTCAACATCAAAACCATCAAGAATAATCCACTAACTAAATATAAAAATAAAAAACAACATATGTACTTATACATACTCGTACATAACTAATAATTCTAAGAGCATTTAACAGAGAATTCAACATTTATTCTTCATTTATAATAGTATAAAAATATCATGTACTTTACACTACCCACCCGAGAGACAAATAAATTAAAATGATTAATTTAATAATGGTATTAACAGCATATCCAGAAGAGAACCCATTGATAGAGGGTGTGCTTAATCGGTACGCAATTGGCGATCTCGTGTCAGGAAACTGCACTTCTTCTCTATCCAATCCACAGCCATTAATGAAATGGTACGTCAATGGTATTCAGGTGAGTTCATGTTTAATTTTCAAGAAACCTAATAACTAGTGTACCTCTGTTATTAGGTTAATTTAAACTAGCAACATAAAATAATCTAAATTTTAGATTTTCTGAATCTATATGTGATATGTTTAATATTTTAATTTTATAAAAAATCAAAAAAGCTTCAGTTATAAATTCTATTTATAATAAGTCTAAATATTATAATACAAAATAATATAACGAATGACCCAAAATATGTTATCCGATAAATAATGATACACGAAAGTTTTTTTAATAAAGTATAAACATATGAGTAGAATATAATTATTCTGGGGCATCAGTTTTTAAACTATAATAGGCATACCTCTGGTGGTACGTGATACGCAACATGTAGTTCACGTGGTGATATTATGAAAAATGAATTAATAAATAATTATATAAACTTTATTAACGAATCTCAAACTTACTTACTTTATTTTTTTGTTTAAAATTAAAAAATACTTCATAAATAGTTATATTGTAGTAATTTATTGTCTTAAATTATTATTTTGTCATAAATATTTAGACATTTTTAATAGTTCAATTTTAGATTTTGAGTGGAGTGATGAAGCATGCGATTTTACAAAGATGTTTTTTTTTCTCTGAGTGCAACTTTTCTACCAGAAATCTTGCTCCGATTATTAAGTGTAGCAACTTTTTTAGACGGAAATCGGACTTAATTTGAACGGCGGTAATTTGAAGACGTCATTTTTCAATTGTTTTCATGAGTGTGACATGAGTGTGACCCAAAAAGTGTGACATTTTTTTGTGGGAAAACCGGAAGGAAAAACGAGAAAATTTAAGAATTGTATGCATTAATTGGAAAATATTTCGGCTTTTTAAATTCTGAGTGTAGCAAAGAATGTATTGGTTTTACTAAGTGGTTTATTTTTTTATTTTTTTTATCCTGTGTACAAAAATTCGACCATAAATCTTGCTCTTATATTATGTAATATATACGTGCGGTACCATTTCTGAAAGGGAATATTGTCCAGATGGTACTTTTGGGAAGTACTTTTTTTCATAATATTTGGGAAAAACCAGAAAAAAACGTAATGAAATGTACGAAAATAAATACTTTTATTATTTTATAGATTTGTTATTTGTTGTAAATTTACTGTAATTCAGTTAAAAATATTCGTAGAGACTTGAAATTTGTACAAAAAACTTATATTTGTCTTTTCTAGACGTGGTAAAATTTTCCAAAAATTTAAGCCATTTTTGAGCTATTTATAGACATTTTAATTTTGCGGGTTTGTACGTAATTATTATTCGGTGTAAGTACTCTGTAGTAAAATTGTTAGATTTAACAGAAATGCTTGAAACTTTAACAGGAGGTTCATTAAATCTTACTTTGTGGTAAAAAAAATAGTAAGTTCAATGTAGTATTTGTTTTTGTAAAAAAATTTGTATACTTCATTTTAACGAAAATTTGAGTAAAAAATTATGTAGAACATATCTAAGAACAAATTTAAGTAGGATGGTAAAGTCAGAATTTCTGTTTTGATCATTTCTGGTTATTATTATTAAAAAAAAAAAAACTTATGAATATTCAATAAAAAAAAGTTAAGTACATTAACAAATTTTCCTAATACCAAATACTATAGATTTATAATCTATAGTATTTGCTAATACATAGTCCTTAAACATTTGTTGATGTAAATAATTGTACTTGTCCTATCACACTCTGTATATTTTATACGATGTACATTTTTTTTTTTTAATTTATTTTATTTAGGCAACGAACAATCAAGTATTAAATTATCCTGTATTGATAAGCCCTGAAGGTCCTCTATATTCAAAAGCAGTGGGCATCCAGTTTAAGGTAAAAATAATTGTATGTATTTTAATGTATTTTACATGTATTATCTTTAATTCAAATACAAAGAATGTGTGATTTTTTTAAATGAAGTTGCGAATGAACGAAAAATATTGAATAAAATAAAATATAGCACTCGGCGAAGTTGAAGATTTTGATCACTTGAAAAATCACAAAACTTAGATCGTATGCACTTATCTTTATAATTCAAGAACTATATTTTAATTTGAAAATTTCAATAATTTATTATTTTACGGATAGTAGTATTTTATATCAAAGGTGATAATTTGATATTAATTATTAAAAAATGTGTTCAACAAATTTCAGAACTTGGATTTTCTCCATCAGCAATTATGCGTAACCTGCAAGGTACTCAAAATAAATGTATGTTTTCAACTTTAGGTAGATCTGAAACAAAACCGTAATGTATGGTTTTTTAATTGATAACAAAAAGTTATTTCACGTCATGTCATAAAAAGCGTAAGAAACAACCTTCTTAATGGTAGTTTTATATAACTGGAAAGGGCAAATTTTCATTATAAGAAACTAAAAAAAAGTATGTAAATGATACGTTAAAATCGAAAGTTCAAGCAATGTGTTTTTACAACACCGCCTCATCTCTTACATAATGCATTTCAAAAATAGTCCCGTAAATTAACTGATAAGATATTAAGCAAATCAGTGGCAACTACGGTTATAACTGGTGTTACAGCAGGAGAATTAAAATCTTCAATAGCAATCAGTACAGCAAATTGCATTATAATAGTAAAGGACGGCGAGTCGACAACCGAAGTGCTGACGGACGATGAGCCGACAATCAAAGAACTGACGTTAGATATTATTATTATTGCAATAACGAAAACAATATGCTATATTATATTTATGTACCTATATCCACAATTTCTAAATAATATCGGTAGTTGTCAAAGCAACCATTTGAGATAAAATATCAAACCAGTACTATACATTTGGGTTATGCTCTAATGTCAAGATTCACTTGAATCAGTGATGTTTGTGCCATCGTTGTAGGTTTTGTTGTATTTTATTTTATAATAATTTTGTATTTTTAAATGTTTTAATATTAATAAATATAATGTAGATAGAATAAATTATAACATATACCCTGTCGGTCTGATAGCTCCAACAGTTCGCACTTTTAGATGTTTTTTTGGAACAAATATTCTTACAGTCTAATGAAATGTTCAAGTAAATGTAACTGTGAAGACGACAGTGATACATTTTGAATAGCGAACATTTTAAAAGATATTTCAGTAACCCCATAATTTCCAATTTTATAATATCTGACTCTGAAGACCAGTGGCCTATTTACGCAATGACATTATAGATATTTGCCCAGGGATCATGAAAATCAGGGGCCCACCTACTGGATTTAATTATTCTTTAAATATAAATTAATTAATCCATAAATTTGAAGAACAACAAAAAATGTAGACACAGTCTTAAATACTTGTTTAAATATAATAGCTTGAATGAATAATTAAACACATCTTTCGTACACAATAATCCTATACCCATGTTTATTTCATTGAAAACTTGTGCTGTTCATTTTGCTCATAAAAATTTAAACTAAAAAAATCAATAATTATTAACTTTTAGACGTTTGACAATATTGCATAGATCAGTAAAATGCCGTCATTCACCCATTAAACAGTAAATTAATATATGTTTATCTGTATTCGAAAATACATTTAAAGAAATAAAAAGTATAAAAAAATAGTCAGCCAATTTATAAGTGCAGTCACAAAGAAAATTTTAAGAAAACAACATTTGTTAATGTTGCAAAGAGCACTATAATACATAATTGAACTACTCTTTATAGCTAACATTTATAAAGAATGCAAATGGATAATTCTGAATTAAAAAATAGAACTATCCAACAAGTAGATAAGCTAAAGATATTTAAAAACAATTAAAATTAAAAATATTTTACTATAATCATACAAGTACCTATGTTTTATAAAAATAATTATTAACTTTTTTTAAAATAATTTTATTATTCAGCAAAATATATGTACAATGAATGAACAATTTTTGTACTTAGGTGAAAAATAATAATCTGTTATCTTGAGTTAGATAATCTCAGAATTTTATCAAAAATTGTATAATAAATACCCAAATCTAGGATTGATATCAATTTGCATGATGTTTTGGTCAACTAAAGGTCGAACTTTGTGATGGCCTACCACCAACACTCGTACCCCCTCTTATCCACTCTATGATCTCTATACTGTGTTTAGGTATAAATACATATAAATTTACCAAAAATCTCTCATTCTGCTTCCTTTTAAATTAGTTTACAATCTAATCATTTCGTGTTTTAATTTATTTTTAATTATGTTTAATAAAAAAAAATATTGTTGTCTACGAAGAAATCGAAAAAATTCCTACAGTTCCATCAACTAAACAGGTGTTTATATTATTAATATTTTCCTTTTTTAAACCTTATAATTTTACAAATATTTTTACGTTTCATAGGATCAAAATGATGAGAAGGCTGTACCATCCAGCTGATTTGATTCAACAAGTTTCTCCGAGCATTATCTCCGACACTCTACAGGTATTATTCCATACACAAAAAAAAAAAATAAAAAGGTTTTTTTTAACTATTTTAGTTTTCGTAGGTTGATATTAGGTCTATAGCCCAGATGAAGCCAAAACATCTAAGAATTTTGTTTTAATTCTGAATCACATATGGAAAGCGATCTTACCATCATATCATATAGGCTCCTTAAAATTATATGATGAGACTTTTTAAAAAATGTAGTCCACAATAAAGAATGATAATTTGTCCGATGCAATTATGTTCTATTATAGCAAAATAGTAATTAAAATGACTGAAGTAAACGTAGAAGTTTAAAACCAAAAGAAGATTAAGAAGCGCATAAGAACACAAATGACTCTCCTGGAGAAAGACGTACCACTATTATTATCTACATTTCTTTAACTTTTTATAAATGTTTAAATGTTTTAGATATAAGAGAAACCAACAGCAAACATCACATTACACACATGGAAATACATTCGCCTGACCAAATTAGATAAGCTTTCTAATCATATTCTGAAGAACAACATGGAATACAACTTTTTTTATTATAAAAATATGTATACATTTTTAACTTTATCTAATGCATTCATAAACACATAATCATCTGTTAAATTTTATTTTAAATATCATAAATACATTTTCCATCATATTATTATATCACTTTTTATTGTGTTACCTTATTATTGTAAATATTTTAAGAATTTTGAATACATATAAAACATTTTTGTTTAAAAAATTGACATATGGAGTATAATAAGTTTTATTTACACAACTACTTAGTTTAATTTTTTAAACAAAAATGTTTTGTGTAATTAAATAAAATTGTCATAAAATCTCAAATACATAATAATTTTGAAAAACTAAGAACTAATTATTATTATAATAACATAATAAAATGCTAATTCACTCCAGTATTAATGATAAATTTTAAATTTAGATAGAAAAGAATCATTTTCAAGAACCCGAACAAGAACTCGATTTAATTTGTGAAGCTAGTCTTATACAAGGGCAACTCAAATGGCGAAAAATGATTGTTATACAATTAATTCAACAATCATATACAGAAAATATGTTCCTTGAGGACTACAATAATAACATAAATACAACAAAGCCTGGTAATTTGTTAATACTTTTCAAATATACAATTATTATAACATACAAAACTATGATTTTGTTTTATTAACAGGGAAACAAGTGCCGACTATAATAGCTTTACTAGTTGTATCATTCACACATATAATTGTACACAAAACGTAATATAAATGTCAATGTTATAATATTTAATGTATATATAATATAAAATTATGTAATTAAAGTGAAAAATTTATGATTTTACTGTAAAATTGCAACATGCATTTGAAGAACATAATGTTCATTCTGTATTCACTATTTCCCATATGTTAAAATATTAATAATTTTAAATTCCTATAATATTAGAACCATTAATATTATTTAAGAAACAATATTTTGAATAAAAATAAAATGTATTGTATCATTCTTAGCTTATAATGTGTAATTCTTCTAGTAATGAAGTACCATTTATAAAAGTTAAAGTGATATTTTGATCCACGGATCAAAAAGTCCCCAATAATAACAAATTGTTTTGTACATTTCAACAGCCCTCCCCTTTTCTATTTTCACATATTTTTTTTTCTTAAACTTTAGTGCGTAGTTAATATGAATTCGAGCAACAACGGCTCACGCGTAAAACAAAAAACACTTTGGTGGGGTATTTTGCCAATCCCTTTTTTTTCGATTTTAAAATTTGTTTTTTTTTTACCAAAATTTAGTGCATAGTTAATGTAAATTTTTGCGATCAAATTCAGAAATTTTGTGACGACATTTGCGTAGAAAAAAGAAAAAATCTTTTGGGAGGGAGCTATATAGTTCATATTAAGTCACATTAAGTAAGGAACAATTTATTTATGCCGTTAATTTCCCGTTTTTTCAAAATATTATAAAAACAGTTTAGAAAATCACAAAAACAACTTTCTTCGATAGCTCTCACGCCGGAGAAATATAGGTAACGAGCAACTAACAATGGGAAATAAACAATAATTATTCCGAGAATATTCTACAATATCCTCGTTGATATTAATACCAGCAACATGATATTATCAGTTATGAACTTGTAGAAGCTCGATATCCCTAGCACCCCCACTGAAGCAATATAATATCACCAGTTATGAGCTTGTAGAAGCTCCATATCCCTAGCACCCTCACTTAAAGTTTTTGGGAAAAAACCCGGAACGATCGTTTGTACTGGTTTGTACCGAAAACACAAAAAAGTTATAACCATTTTAAAGTAGGAGTGTGAAGGACATTCTAGCATCTCTACCTATAGTTGTCAGGAAAATATCCCAGGCGACCGTTTGTACCGAAAATTTCATCATTCGTACCGAAAGCGACAAAAGTACATAACAGTTATGGTTATCTTAATTTTCGTACGTAACGACAGCTTCTATACTTTTTCGATAAAGCGAAATGCTCTCTTTACTGAGGTAGTAAGCTAAATACGGGACACTCGATCAAAAACTGAAGAGTAGAGCAGAGTAGGCTCATACCCACATTATCAATAATATTCTGTTTGTTAATGACTATTTTAGATTTTAAGTGATGCGAAGAAGCTTATAGTTTTACAAAGATGTTTATTTTTTTTTTATCTGTTAACAACTTTTCTACCAGAAGACTAGCTCGGATTTCTTAGTATAACACCTTTTCTGAAAACCAATGTGTGAAGGTGCTTTAGGGAGGTCATTTTTCGATTTTCTCAAGAGTTTTCCCTGCAAATGTGAAAAACTAGGATAAATCATGGGAAAACTGGAAAAATCAGTACAACATTAAACAAATATAATTAAAGAAAATATATAAAGTCTATTTAATTATTTAAATCGTTTATTATTCAGAATCGTTTTTTCGTAAAGGTAGACATTAAATTATCTACAACAAAGGCTGCACACGTCTCCATTATCCTAGGACATCTTTTTTAAATTGTGATATTTAACATACTCATGTCTCATTTAAAAATAAAAATATTGAAAAATCATCAACACTAGAGCACATATTGTAATCTGCTTACCTTTAATTTGAGTAATAGACACGATTAAAGATATACTGGTTGCCCAACGACCTATGAAATTGTAACTACAATATTACTCTGCTGATAAAACAATTATGTAGCGCTCGTAGACTGCAGTGAAATATTTATGTACTATATAATATTGCTATTACAATTCAGAAAATATGTTTGTGAATGTGAAATTTTAAATCATTAGTTATTACAATTTATTTTCTGTGATTAATACAAAATAATAAACTAATAAAATAATAATTACTGTATTTTTGCTTGTCCAGATACCCCTGTGTTTAAAATAAAATGTCTTCATTTTTAACATGATTTTGATACATTCTAAAGTTTTATCTTAATATAACATTTAAAGCTTTCTCCTATTCAACCTTTAAAGGAATTATTTTTGGTACCCTAAACGTACTGGTTTAAAAACCTTTATAAGAGCAGACAACACGACATGATTTTTAATGGAGACCACACTACCTACTATAATGTTAAAAATTAAATAGTTAGTAGTCAATAATTACTATATTAGTAGGTACCTATAGGTACTTCAATAAATATCAAATTTGAACAAAACATTAAAAGTTCTGAAAAGAAATGTTCTTTGGGTGATACTTTAAAGAGATCATTTTTTAAAATTCACATTAATATCCGATATAATGATGAAAATCTGGTTCTTTAGCTTAAAAAAGATTGAAAGATTAAAAATAAGGTTGTCATTGGCAACTATTTTTATTTATTTGTTGTTATTATTTAATTTTTATTTTTTATTTTTTTAAACAATCATTGTTGTCACGGAAACACACATTGTTGTAATCATTTTATACTAAAACATGACATAGATATATATTGTTAACAAAGCAATATCAAAAGCACACGCTAAAATATTTTCCAATCATTTATTTTCGGACATTATATAGCCCCTCCCTCATTCCCATAGCTTATCATTTGGGAACGCTCAGAATTCAGTTGATAGTGATGCTTTGTCAACAATATATAAGAAATATGTCATATTATCGTAAAATAATTACATATGCATTATATGTTTTGTTTAATATTGTACCTATTTTCCTGTTTTTCCTACGTTTTACCTATTTATTCTGAAAACTCCTGGGAAAATCAAAAAATGACTGCCCTAAAATACCTACCCAGTCAGATTTCTTTTTAGAAAAAGTGCTATCATTATGAATCGGAGCAAAATTGTTCACAGGATTAAAAAAAGCCATTCTTAATATTTTTTACTAATATCAACATTTCGTACATGTTCCCGTTTTTTTTTTCCATTTGTTGACAAAACTCCAGTCTAGTCTTGAAGTTTTTATGTACCTATGTGTACATTTTCAAAAATATTTATGGTCACTGGAGGTAACAAGTCAATTGTTTTACACATAAACACGGCCGTAGGAAGGGGATGGCAAGCAGTGCCTACGTTCAGAACTCAATACCTGAGAAGGCACAAACACACCTACTCTAAAAACCTATAAATATTATATTACAATACAATACGCCACTGGGAACAAACATTAGATAAGTTTCATTGAAAAAAAATTATCGTGTCTGTTCGACTATTCATCACATTTCAAAGCTTGTTAATTTAATATATTATACAACAATGATTATAGTAATTTAGATTATTAAGAATATTGTTATTTGTGATCAAGCACACTAGAGAATTGTTTACTTTTGAACTAGTGTTCATATCGTGATCATTTGATTGTGCAGTTAATTTACTATATTATTCAGTAGATGGCTCTGCAGTCACGCGAAATTTTAAAAAGAAACTAAGACGTCTTATCACATATCGTTACACAACCATTTTATTTACAACCGTGGTTGTAACCAAGATTTAAGGTATATCTTAAATCGTGGTGGTAACGTTTGTAACATAAATATATGTTAACCTACCATACCCAGATTTATATATAAATTCTGTAGGTCAATATCTTAGATTATATCTAAGGTCTATATGATATTAGGTATCAGAATACTATGGAGATTAATTTTAGGTTATTTTGTTTATATAAAAAACGTGTTAAATAAATTCAGATTGATAATGAGTAAATTTGAGAAATTATTTTCATTGGTGCTCCTGATAAAAAACAACCGAACTTCATTGTTGACACTGTTGACAGAAAATGTTTAACAAAAGTACTGCATGAAAGAATTTTGTTTCTAACCAATATTTATTTTTGTTTGAAATTTTCCAAATAAAATAGTTGTACAATAAAAAGAAATATCAACTTTTATTAATATTTAAAATTATACTCTTCAAATGTCAATTTATCACGACGAAGTAGAAATAGAAGATTTTGATTATGACGAAGATGATGAAATATATTATTATCCATGTCCATGTGGAGATCGTTTTCAAATAACAAAAGTATTTAAATATTATTAAAATTTTTATTTACCTTTAATTTATGAATATTATATATATTAGTATAGGTGTTTAAATGTATTTAATTTATTTTATTATAATACACTAAACTACTAAATTAACAAAATTCTTTTATTTTTTTGTTTAGTGGTCTTTAGTTCATATTTATAATGCAAGGTGTTATTTTTAACTTTATCACTTAATAATATAATTAAAAACTAATCACTATAAGTAAATCATTTTTACTACTTTAAATAATTATTTAAATACCTATATCTATTATGACATTTTTTTGTTTATAACTTATTAACGTAATTTAAGTATTGTATTTTTTATATAATATATTTTAATTTAGGTATATGCTAATTTTTATAATGTTTGTTTTAGGAAGAATTAGAATCTGGAGAAACTGATGCTACATGTCCTAGTTGTTCTTTGGTCGTAAAAGTTATTTATGATCTTGTAAGTATATTTGTATTTTAAATATAAAACAGAAATTAGGAATTCTATCTATTTTATATTATTTGTATGTTTAGGAAACTTAACCATTATAATTATTTTGTCAAGATTTTTAAGGAAGGAATTAAGACTTAGTAATATTAGATACCTATGATACAAATTAGAGCAATCAAAAAATGTGTATAATGTCAAAACCTGTACGTTTCTACTTTTACTAGGGTTAAACTAATGTGCACTGATAGCATTTAACTAAAAGAACTCATTGAAAATGTTATACCTTTACAAAAATCACCAAATATTTACAATTTAAGTAACAATAAAAATAAATATTACATTCTTTTTTACATATTCACTGTCGTTCACAAATTACTGCAATTTTTGCCAATATCTAAGTAATGGTTTTTTTTAATTTTTCAAAATTTCCATTTAAATGTAATTCTTAATTTGTAACTTTTGCCCATACTATTAGTTTTCATTTAAAGAAATATTTGACTGTGATTTTCTTGATGTGTCTTAAATGATAAAATTATAGATTATTTTGCATAACTTTACCAAGATGATGTTTCAAAATAATAATTAATCAATATAAATGTAAAGCATAGATCTTAAATTGTTATCGAAATGAATTGAAAAGTAAACTTGATTTTGAATATTTTGTCAAAGGTTACCTATTTGTATTTTAAATTTCAATTTTCAGGAAACTTTAACACACAAACAAAAAATAACAACAAAAACTAAACCTTTAGAAAAGTGTTAGTTCAATGGCATCAAGTGGTCGAGGAAGAGGTCGTGGTGGCGGTGGTGGTCGTCCACACATCTCTATTGGTCCTGATAAATCAGAACCTGACGATCCACTTGATTTCAAAGCACCTGAACTCTTCCCACCTTTGAGGGCAACAGTTATTGAACTCGAAGAAGATAGTGAAGATGAAGATTTAATAAATTTTGAAAAAAATTTAGCTAAACATTTTCATAATGCTGCATCATTTATCTCCAAAGAAGAGTATACAAGCCCTTGGTCCTATCTTAAAAGTATAGAAAACCATAACTACTTTCCACCTTCATTGCTACCAAAAAAAAAAAAAAATACTCAAGGTGAAAAGCCATTAACTGATAACCAATGGATAGAAAAACTAAAATTAGATATCATTAATCATGATTATTTAACAATTCAAACAGTTGTTTCTGCTAAAAAGAATAAAATTGATGATTTTCTATGTCCTGTCAATAAAAAAAAAGTAAAAATTGAAACAAATTCTTCTACTTCAATGTTGATCAATGAAATTGTAGCTAAAGAACTTGATGATGATGAAGAAATTGAAGTTGATGATAATGAAGAGCAAAAAACTAAAGAAGAAGAAATAGAAGAGGAACCCAAAGACGACGAAGAAGAATTTGAAAGTGATATAGATGATGAATTAGATGATGGGACAGATTACAATAAAAATTATTTTGATAATGGAGAAGACGATGGCAATGATGATGATGGTCTAGACGATAATGATGCAATTTATTAAATTTGTTGTAAATATTTCTCTATAATAAGATTTAGATTGTTTTGTTATATTTTTTTTTTATATATACCTTAGTTTATTTACTATGGATGATACACATGATCAACACTATCTCTATCTAAGACCACTCATTGAACAAATAATGTCCTGAGAAGACGTGTTTGTACATGTTCTGTGCATACAGTTTCATCAGTCAACTTATCGCTTCTATGTTTTTCAATTTATTTACATGGATAAGATAAGCTACTGATCTTTTAATTGTATATGACATAAGGCATATACAACATTCAGTGAAAAGTATATGATTGTTACTATTGATTTACTATACTTATAAAATTAATATATTCTATCATTTTAAATTTTAATCCAACCTGCAGTACTTACCTATTCATATACATTTCAAATTATTCGGTTGATAAACATAAAAATGTTTAGAATGTGCGTTTTGAAGGTAAAAAAAGCTATCCTAGGATAATGGGGACGGGTGCAATCACTGTTATAGATGAGAAGGTAGTTAGGGAAAAATTTAATGTATATTTGTATACAACGATTAACCATTGCTACCAAAACACATTTCTGAGTGGAGTTTGGTTGATATTATTGCTTTGTCAGCGATATATATGTCATATTATGGTAAAATAATATGACATGCATTACATATTTTCTTTAATATTTATTTAATATTGTACCTTTATTCCCATTTATTGGGGAAAATCAAAAAATGATCTCTACGTATCTCCCGTCAGACTTCCTGTCAGAAAAAGTGCCATCATTGTAAATCTGAGCAAAATTTCTGGTAGAAAAGTTGTTTGCAAAAAAGATAATAATACAAATTGTGAAACCAATAATCAACTAAATATATTTTTAAATACAAAAAAATAGTGGATCACTGATAATGGAATCTGTTTGACCACCTCAGTTCTTTCCTTCCAATAAATTGCTATGTCCTGTAATTAGGAACATCCAAATCCAGCAGCTGACCAATTCACAAATATATAATATATGTATTGTATACCCCAATCTGATAAATTTAGGAACATATATCACCTAAATAGACAAACTTGGTTTATTGCATGGAGCATTTAATCAAAGATCGTGGCATAGAGTACTAATAGTATCGTTCTTAAATGATAATATAGTAATAGATCATAATGTATTATACTACTATTGTAACTAGTATAATGTAGTTGCCTTCGATAATACCTATTCAATGGTAGTACAGCGCTAAGTCAACAAATGAAAATTATCACATTTTTATTCAGCGGAAAAATTCACTGTGTATGACAGATACCATTTTTTAATTCATCCAGCAACAAAGATCATCGGTTCAAGCAGTTTCCAAACACTGATCTGCTAGTCATGAATCATGATACAAAATATGATGTGAATTATCGTTCCTATGCATAGATAATAAAGACTATCTATTCTTATTAAAAATAATTTATTATCTATGTTCTTATGGCCATGAAAATCATTAACGCCAACATATAAATATTCTGATTTTTGTTTTATTATAAATATACAGTGTACGTACACTGATTTTCTTAATAATATAATACTTTCATTCATTGGTACTGTTACCCTAGATGAAAAACTTACCAACAATAGTGTTGCGTAATTTTTGTTGCTTGTCTAATGCATATTTTATACCCTTGTTATTGACCAACTATATTGTGGTTACATTTGCATTGGTAAAAAAACTTATAGTTGAGAGCTACAGTGTTTATCCTCGGTTAAAATTTATTTAATCCTAGTTAATCCTATTGAATGATCTATCAATTTAATTTATACTCAATATCTATTCAATATTACAATTCTCATTACTGCGTGGACAGGCTAACCATTGTTTAGTAATATATATATATATTTCCTATGTTCATATGAACATATTGTTTTGTATTTTCTTATAAAAATATAAAAAAAAAAAGATTTTACTTAAACAGGAATAAAACATAAAAAACCAGTTTCTGTGTTTAATAATTTATTTCATTATATTTTATATAGGTAGGGTGACTGTACCAACGAATGAATACACGAGCACTATTCGATCTTCAAAACTAGTCATTTTTGGTATTTCAGGTTATTTGAAATTAATTTTACATTAATTGAATAATTATATTATTTTTATCACTAATTAGTTATGAATGAATTATTATGGACTAATAAGTAAAACAAATTAATATTTAATATACTGTGATGTTTATATATTTAGTTCATAGTTGTGCTTGTGACCTACCTGTATAATATTTTGATAACAACTTCTGATAAGATTAAAGTAAAAATATTTTTTATATAGAACCGCTGGGTTATGACAGATTTTTTAATTTATAGTAATCATTTTCAGTCGTCTTCGTAAATCATACTGTTTCTGTAATTAATGAAAAAAATTCCGAAAAAAAAAAAAAAGAATAATATTAATAAGCATTCACTCAGAAAAATTAAAGTGAAATCGTTTTGTTGCCAACGTAAATAAAACGTAGTAAACCACACAATGTGAAGTAATTTTAAGTTTCAATCGGGTCCACAATCATAATAACCTTATTTGTTTTTTTGTATTCATTCACATTAGACGAACTACAATGTATTTACAGTTGGGTGTTGTATGATTTTTTGTGAACCAGTTTTTGAAATCGCATTATGCAACAGCAATTGTTTCAATGGTCATAACAAATGGACGAAAGGGTGAGCATTCGCGATAATACAAAACCACTTAGGAAGTATGGTAGCATAAGTAACAATACAAACTTCGTACGCAATGAACACTATATCAAACATGTAGTTACGGAAACAGACACATTACAAGGACTTGCACTTAAATACAGCGTGACGGTAAATTTATTTGATACTTAAAATTATTTATTTTGCTTATTTACATAATTAATTTTAATATTATATATGTAGACCGAACAAATACGAAATGCCAACAGATTGTTTACAAATGATAGTTTGTTCTTGAGAGAGCATCTATACATACCTACTTGTGATATTAATGGCATTAGTACAAGTAATTTCCAAAATAATAAACAGACTAGACCGTCAAATATATCACCAATTGAGGAACACAGTATTGATGACTGTAATCATTTTCTAAATAAAATAGATAATAAAATTGCTAGTACAAGAGCTCAAGTTTTAGATAGTCAAGATAGAAGTGTGTAAGTTATTTCACAATATTTTGGTTAATATTAAATTTAAAAACAATTACTTATATAAACCTATATATGTTTGAACTTGAATTATAATCATGCATTTTCTCTATCAGTTTTATTTACTCAATATACCTAAGGTTTTTTATATTTTTAATAGGACAAGTCTACTGTAGCAAACTTCTTTTTTTTTTAATATTTCCCAAAATATGAGTTTGTTTGCTGAATCCAAAAATTTTAACATTTTTTTTGTAAACTTATTAATAAAGTGATGGTAAACAAACTTTAAAAACTTCAAATTTTTAGAATTTTATTTTTATTTTTTTTTGTACTGAAGAAGATGGTGCAATTAGAATTTTTTAGAAAGTAATATTTTAAAAGTTTAATTGCTCGCTATGATGTTATTTGTTCCACCTATTATGTTATTATATATAATTGCATGTCTATAGTTTTAAAATGTTATTACTTCTATAATAATAATTTTCAAAAAAAATTTAATTGCACCAGAATCTTCAAAAATTTAAAAATTTAAATTTTAAAAAATAAGGACTTATAAATTCTACATTTTTTTGTCAAACCTACATTAATAATGGTCTGCAATGAAATTTAACAATTTTTGAATTCAGTATACAAAAACATATAATTTTGAAGAGGAGAAGGGTGTCCGGTAATCTAGACATATCTTTTTAAATTTTAATATCAAAAATAACAATAAATTATTTTATCTAAAAATTATTCTTAAAAAAGCTAGCATTAATTATTCTCACTTTAACTTAATATTAAACTAACTAAAATTCTGTGTGCGCAATTTTTTTCAACATATTTTGTTTGTAGTTTTTCATGTATTTATAAAAATAGGAAACTAGTTGGAATATTATATAATATACCTATTATATATTATTAAAAATATTATCTTTATTGATATGTCAATACCACAGTTATCTACCATAGATAACCGTGGTCAATACTAATAAAATTGTTTCATATACCATTTCAGTATTAGTAAATATTATTTCTCTTCATTGTTTTTTGATAAATAATAATTAATGCAATGTATTAATAAATGATACATTTGATTGATAAACCTATTAACTTGTACGTTCAAATTGCTGCTTATTATTTAGTCAGTTTTACTAGAGCATAAACTAGAGCATTATGATATTAATAATTTCATTGTAATATATTACTTGTTTATGACATTTTATTACAAATTGTATCTTGACTTCAAGAACATAATAATATATTAAATTAATTTTTTGTTTATTAAGATACTGTCCTGAAGAACAGGTTTTATTTACACGTCAACGTCTATCAACTCGTCGAATACAGGGTCCTTCACTAGGTTCAGATGATATTCCAATTATTGTGACTCAGAACAAAAAACTTATGAGTTCACGACAACGACTGGAACATGAAGAAGAAGAAATGTTTTCACTGTGATAAATAATATTTACCTAGCCAATTATGTTTAAGTATGTATTTTATAGTGATTACTGATTACCTATCTTAAAATATTTTAGTTTATAAATGTACGATATTGATTTATTAATAAGATCCAACTACATTGTTTCTAGAAAACTAATATAATTAATACTCGATGTAGGGTAACTTGTGGTTTAGTTAATTTGTATATTTTAAAGTACATTTATTTTTGTCTCTCTATATTATGTAACAAAATGTACTGTTATTTGGTTTTGTTTAAATATTTTTGATCAATAAATGTTTCCTGTTATTTTTTTCTGTTTTATATATTTATGTTTGAAAGATAACTATGTTAAATATTTTTTTAAGAAATTATATGTGAAACTTTTAAACATGTTAAGTATTTTATATGTACATAAAAAAAAAATAGTTAAGTATGTATATTATTAATCCAATATTCTTCTTCTTACTCTTCATCACAATTATTTTGAGTTGGTCACCCTTTTTCTAAACTTCCACTTGAGCCAATCCCCCCCCTCGCATACACCAACTGTCCTCATATCATTCTCAATCGTATTCAACCACTACTTTATCAGTTTCCTCCCTACCTATTTCCTCTTATATTTATTTTCATTACAATTACTGATTCAGATTACTCTCCCTGTGATATGCCCAAACCTCCTCGGTCTATTTTCTCTGATTTTATCTATTATTGAAGTCACTTCACTCATCCACCTAAACATTCTTATCTCTGCTACACTTACTGTTTTTTTTTCTATCTACCTCTTAACACTGTGAACCATGCAACATTGTTGATCTCTCCATATTTTTGTAAAACTTAACTTTAAGTCTCATAAAATACCTGTTGGTTCTCTTCACTTAATCCTATTTTTCACATTCTTGTCACCACCATTCTTTTGTACAAAAGATCCTAAGTACTTAAAACTCTTAACTCTAACTACAACCACTTATTGTAGTTAGTGATCTTGTCCTGTTCCTCTAAACTCACTCTGTTTTACTTTTACTTATAAGGATAAAATGTTTAGTTCCTTTCGTTTAAGTGTTACTTTCCATTCATCAAACTTATTGTTAACTTATTTGAGATGTTCTCCTATCAAAGCTATACTATCTGCAAACATCATACACCATAGTACCTCCTGTCACCTGTTATCCCCAAACCTATTCAATCAGCCAAAGTCTTGTTTAGAAGGACTTATACTGTTTGACAGAATTTTAAATTAGCTGTTAACCTGATGCATTTACCCCTACTGTGGGAGTATTCTAATCCCTTCCACTAGGAGATAGGTATTGTCAACTGTAAAGTGAATTCCTCCACCCTACAGGAACAATACTATATGCTTACTGGAATCACATACCTGAGCTTTCTACTAATAGGAGCTCAGTGCTTCAGATTCACTAAACCTGTAGCATTATATGCCCCTTCTCAGGTATATATTATTAGTATAAAAATAATTAATGATAATTATTTGTTAAAATAATCTCATCCTCGGCAATTATGCTAAATGTTTTATGATTGGATTACAAGTTTTAATTTATCATTTAAAAAAATAAATATGCAATTTATTATAAACCTTATATACATATAACCTTACCTACTTCTTATAAACTTTAAATTAGTACCTAATACATATAAGTTATCTCAGTAACTGAGTTAACTCATATTTATATTAATTGTATGCATAAAAACTGTTACTTTTACACTGATACCTATCAAAATATCTAGAAAAATATTCTCTATTTGAATTTGTGTTCAATAAAAAGGGGTCCTAATTGAAAAATAAAGTTCAAATGATTCTGCAATGATAAAAAAAAAAAACAAATCAAATTCATTTAAAATTCTCCAAGAAAATTGCTGGTTGCTGATTAATGATAAAAGAATCACTCTGTATGCATTTACTAAACCTAATAAATAAAAATATAGGTAATTATTTAAGAATTATTTTCTATATATTAGTCAAATAAGTAAATATATAATTAATTTATTGACATCCACTATTAGGCATGAAATTATTTTTTTTTTTGTTTATCTGAGTAGGTAACCTTTATATTTCACATAATTATGTGTATTAGTATCGAGCAATTAACCTATAGATACAAAAAGTAGTTGTTTACTTTTTTACTAGCTAAAGAAACTGAATTATAATTTATACAAAAATAAAACACAATATTATATAATACAGTAAATAAATCACATAATATACTATACTTACTTTTAAATTGTTAGGTAGGTAGGTGCTTACTCATTAATTCATAATAGTGGTAGCTAGTAAGACTTTGATTATAAATATTAAATAGGTAACTGCTATTTTTATTTCAGAAGGAAAATATTGTCAGTTAGGGTTATTAGTCATTACTACTATAGCCTATAGGTCTATGGCCATTACTCATGACAATTACGAACTAACGCTATTTAGGTACCTAGGTACATTAGTATGATTATATTCGTCCATAATAGTGTGGTGTAATACCTATATTAATATTTGATTAAATGTTATAAATGTTAAAATACAAAATTTCCAAAACAAAAGCACACAAAGTTTAAAGGGTTGTAGCATAGAAAATTAAATATATTAAGTAGATAGATACCTACCTAAAAATCAAAATTAGGTGGTTAGATTAATTAATCAAGTAAATTTAAAAATGGTTCCGTGTCATTGTAACTTGTGGGATAGCGTCCAGAGCCCAATTACCTATTGATGCTAAGAGTTTATTAGTTTAAAGCTAGTGGAGCCTATGCCTTTTTTCCTCTTTACATGTTTATTTTTCTGTTTATAAGTACAGGATCATTTTTTTAGTGTACTGCGGACCGTAATCATTAACTATTATAAAAATTATTTATTGTGTACCTAATCATGTTCATACACGGTTTTTCTTTATTAGATATCTATATAAATTAAAGACATTACCGTATCGTAATAGGATTTGATGTACTTATTGATTTGATTTTTCAATTTAGTTAAATAAGTCAGTAAATATTTAAAAATTAAGTAACCTTTTTACAATTGAAAAGAAAAGAAACGAACATACCTACTTTGCACGATGAGTGAGCTACTGTTGGAGTTAGGATATAGAGGGGAATTTAATGTACCTTTATCTGAATGCAACGATTAACCATTTCTAACGAAAATCGATTCTAAGTGGAATTCGGTTATTCTACGTTTTTCGTGGAAATTTGATGTTAAAATTCTTATAAAACATTCATTAGTACATTACACTCAATTTTTTTTTTACCACAAAGTATGATTTACGAAGAATGAACTTCTTGTTAAATTTTCTATAATTTCTGTTTGGTCTAACAATTTCATCTACAGAGTACCTACAAATAAATATGACGGAAAACTCAAAATTAAAATGTATAAAAAATATAAATGTTTTGTTTAAATTTCAAGTCTCTACGAATATTTTTTTACGAAGCGTAGCTAAGGATGTATTGGTTTTACTATATGTGTTTACACCATTACTTAAGATTATCTTAAGCTATTATTTATTATCTATAGTCACATCAAAAAGCACTATACACATAGATATGTGTTACGACGGACTGATAATAATATACCTATTACTATTATATTATATTATATTATTATTACCTTCATGAGTTTAATATAAACTTTTATCAGCCCAGTCATGAAATTAATTTAAAATATTTTGTGGCTGTCGACCGTTAAGGTACTCATTATTCAGTCAAGTATCCGTGTTCACCTATTTTATTAAATATTAGGTAAATGTACATATTAAAATTGTTTAACTATGCATAAATATAACAGATTTGTTTCATTTTAGAATAGTTATTATGATTCATAAATAATCAAGAAATGGAATTTGAGGGTGTGGGTTATTTTTCGTTACATAATTGTAGCACCCCCAATATTTAGGCTCTAGTTGCGCTTATAGCACCCTTTCCCTTTTAACAAACATAATGAACAAAAAGTCATCAAGGTCAACATAGATTTAATAATAAATTAAAATAAATATAATTACAAATTAATTTATCAATATCTATGACCGATAAGCAAGCAAATCTTATCAAAAATTCTAAAATTATCTTAATCTATACCCATCACTGGTCATTAATTTTTATTTTTTCTATACATTATAAAATACAGATTTTACTCAGTGATGACTGCTTGCACCTCCCCAGCAATTTTTAAACGCCCCTCCTCCCTTAGTGGGGTACTCACGGGGGTTCAGGGGGTCTGGACCCCTCCCCAGACACTGATATAATTTCAATAAAATGTCAAAAAAGAGACATTTATTAATAGATAATTTATAAATACGTATGATTTTTCAGAACCCCTCCCAGAAAAATGTTGAAAATTTGTTACTGCCCCCCCCCTATTTGGGCAACTCTACTCTAGTTGGTTCATTAAAGAAGACATTTTTTGATTTTTTAAGAGGTTTTCATCCAAAATAATGAAACTACTTAAAATAACGAAGACTCCAGAGATATTCCTAGGTGCAACTCTAAGGAGGTACGATAAATTACTGAGCTAAGGAGATAAGTATTCGCATAATTAAGGCAAAAAAAAAACATTTTTCGCATTGACAAAAATGTTTAGCTCCAAATTTCTCTCTAAAAAATCAAAGTAAGATTATACAAAGCAATATTGTTAGTATAAGGTGTACCTAACAGTGGAGTAGTTAGATGGGAAAGGGTCCCAGGCAGTTAAAAAGTATGGCTTTTAACTAATATAATCTTTACCTATGAAAATTCGAAATATAGGTACACATAACATTGTTTTTTCGAGTGTGAATAGGTGCTTATTATGAAACTATAAATATCATGAAATCATTCAATGAATTATCATCACAAGTTTAAATTAATTAGACAACAATAAATTATAATTTTTTTTATAAACAAATGACAAATAACAAAATTAATTTGTAATTTTTTTGAAAAACAATTTTAAATACTTACATTTTATCTTTATCTGTGATAAATTGTGTTATCAAAATTATGACATGATAAGATACAAATGGCCTATTAGTAATGGCGAATATATGGCTTCAAACTACGATTTAAGATATATTTAAAAAGTGTATCTTAAACCGTGCTTCAAATCACAGACATATTAATATGTTCAAACGTTTATATTATGGTTAGTATAGGGAACCTAGCAATCTAGTTTATTATCTACATTTGTGATGAATTAGGCCACGTTATCGATTTTTGGGGTTTTTCTTCCGGAAAACGGAAACGATTAAACGATTTAAAACGGTTCTTATCATTTTCGAATAACTAGTAACTACCACCTTCACGGCTTAAGGTATATCTTCGTGACCACCATGCATCAAATCATGTGCTTCATGAATCATGATCTGATTATAAATACTAAACTATAATCTGAAGATCGTCACACATTTTGGAGTACGGAATATCACATCTTACATGACGTAATTTTATAATTTTTTGAATTTTTGAATTTTATTGTTTGTTTACTGGAATGTGCTATTAGTTTTATAATATACCTATATATATATGTATATTATATATTATTGCATTTTTATTTCTGTAATGAATCGTTCATGTTTATATTGACTATACATTTTTTTATTTTATTGATAGTGTAGCACATAGAACGTACTTAAGTATGTTAGTATATTTTATCAAATATTAAATAGCATTTAGCAAAGCAAATAAAATTCGCTGTAATGTTTTAAATAATAGTTTATTATATCATTTTTATTTTTTTTTGTATAGTTCTGATGTCTGTGTTGAAATACTCTGAATACTTTACTCAAAAATGTAATCAAAACAAAGATGAAGCTGTAGACTTGGCTGATAATTATATACACATTGAAAACGAACTTTTATCTGAGCTAAACGAGTTGAATTATGGTCCAGATGTTGTTTATATTTATAACCCATTAGAATATGCTTCTCAATTACATAAAGCATTTTTGAAAAAGTTTTTATTTACAAAAAAGAAAGTTTTATTCCTAGGCATCAACCCAGGACCATGGGGAATGTGTCAAACTGGTGTATGAATGCAATTTTTTAATTTGTATACATCAATTAAAAATATATAATATTTTATAGATACCTTTTGGTGAAGTAAATATTGTCAGAAGTTATTTAAAAGTAGATGGAGAAGTGTTAACTCCAAAACATTGTCATCCACAAAGACCAGTTAATGGTCTTAATTGTCATAGAAGTGAAGTAAGTGGTAAAAGACTATGGAATCTTATTATTGAACTCACAAAAGAGGATCCATATAAGTTTTTCAATCACTGTTTCGTACACAACTATTTTCCTTTGGCGTTAATGAATACTAATGCAAAAAATATCACACCTAGCGATTTAAAAGTAATTTTTTTAATTTGAACTTCTAATTACTAACTTATTTATGTATTTGTATAAATAAAAAGTATTTATATTTTTTATCTATTAGAGTGTATATCAAAAAAAATTACAAGAAGTGTGTGATAAATATTTATATGAAATAATTACTTTACTTGGTGTAAACACTGTTGTTGCTATTGGGAAATACGCTGAAAAAAGGTCTAATGAAGTAATCAAAACTTTTAAATTAAATGAAATTAAGGTAAAAATATGATATTATATCTATTTTATTTAAAATAATTACTTTTATCTTTAACTTAAATAATAACTTTAATTATATCATTTAGGTTGTAACTATTCCTCATCCTAGTCCTCGTAGTGTTGGCACTACAGAAAAATGGCAACATGAAACAGTAAAGCAACTTAAATCATTTGATATTATTAAATTATTCAAATGAAAATGGATTGGAGCAATTATATGGATATATCATTAAGTTTAGCTGAAGAAGCATTAGAAGTGGGAGAAGTTCCTGTTGGCTGCATTTTTGTTGATAATGACAGTAATATTATAGCTTCTGGCCGTAACACAGTTAATAAAACTAAAAATGCAACTCGGCATGCTGAAATAAATTGTGTTGATAATATTATTAAGGCCGGCATTTTAGAAAAATTATCTAATGTAACGGTTGTTGTTACTGTTGAACCTTGTATAATGTGTGCGGCAATGTTGATAAAGATTGGTTGTACTAATATTATTTATGGATGTGCTAACGACCGTTTTGGTGGATGTGGTACTGTACTTGCTGTTCCTGGGTTAGAAAATTGTAAAATTCAAGGTGGATTGTTTGCAGACCAGGCAATGCATTTATTAAAACAATTTTACAAAGGTCAAAATCCTAATGCTCCTGAAAGTAAAGTTAAAAAGAAAACTATTGCTCCATAAAAAAAATCTCCTTTATTTTGTAATTAATACATATTTCTATATTTTTTGATAATGTAAGTAATTTTTAATGTCTAATTTTTTCTAAGATAATTAATTTTTAAATTGTACATTAAGTATAATTAGTTCTAAGATGAGAAATTTTTAAATTAAATAGTTTTATTGAAATATCTTTGTTTGATATATATATCACAGTTTTTGTTTTATTCAACATAATAAATCCGTTATCATTAAAATAGCCATCTATTTGAGTAACATTCAACCAAACAAATAAACCTATTCCTGTTGATTCCAATTCAACATTTATTTCATTTTTTTTGTTTTGCCAAATTCTTGAAACCTGTAACAAAATGTTAATTTATTTGCAGACTTTATACTAGATATATACATACACATGTTTATGTATGATATATAATGGTATAATAATTAAAGTGTAATATATGTTAGCATACTTTTATAAAATACATTTATATGATTAATTTCAAATCATCAAATAATTTATTATCAATAATGATCATTAAGAACAATTTAGAGACTAGGTAATAACATAATTTATTAACTGCTGATTAAATTTGTAATTATTCAAGTAAAACACTTGAAAATTAAGATAAATACTTTAAATAGATTTCCAGAATTTTTTTAAGAGGGTGTCATATCTAATTATCAACATAGCAAAATGAAAATATTAACTGTTACAAGATAAATGTTTTGTTTTATTTACTATACAACTTTCTATCAAGATAAAAAAAAATATAATTTATATATATATATCAAAAAATACCCCATTTAAAACATAATCAATGTTGTAATTTTTTATTTAGTGCTCTAATTTTTGTTTTAGGTCTATTTTAAACACTGAGTTGTATTAAAAGTAATTAAATACATTGTTGTTATATTGACCATTAGAGGAAGATATAGCAAATTCCCTCTTAGCTGTTTATAATAGTTATAAATCTTTGTATTTTATAACATGTTAGGTTAGGTATATTATTATTTTGATTTGTGAAAAAATAATTATTTGAAATCATGTTAAATGTATTAATTAAAAAAATTATTAAAAAGTATGCGGATACTAAAAAATAATTAAATGGTTAAACTTTCATAACTAGCATTATACATTGTTTGAATGTTAGTAAAAGAAAACACAAAACATTAAAAGAAAAAAAAACACTCACTGATATATCAGGTGTCCTGTGACCAACAATTTTATTAAATGAAGTGGGAAATAAATAGTTTGAAGGAGATGCTTCTGTCATATTTTTGTAGTATACCATTGTATGTAGAAAACAAGATTGAATCTGTTGTTTTTTACTTAGACCACATTTGTTTGTTATCGATTTTAACCAATTAAAATAATTTTCATTGAAAATAAGCTGAGCACTATTATTTTTCTAAAACAGTTGAAGAGCTGTTAAACTAAAAATTAGGTGTATATTTTATATTATATTTCGGAATTTAGTACTTAATTATTTACTAATAGTATAATATCCGTCATGTATGTAGTAAGTGGAATATTGCTTTCCCAATTATAAATTTCTACATTTAAAATAACTTCCAAATCCATTAAAATATCAGAAACCAGATGTATTGATAAATTATTTGAAACCTCCAGTTCTGGAACCACAATAATCGGGTGAAAAAAATCCAATGCGCTATAGTGTAACATTTTCCACCGTTGATTATAATCTGAAATTAAAAATTTCAAACTTGAATAAAATAGGTTAGGGCTCTACGTAATAATTTAATAAATAACTTTTTAAAATGTTTATAATACATGTATATCTGTTATTTATATGTGTGAGACGTGAATGCAGTTAAAAAAATATTTATTGAGAAATATGATATAAAAATTAATTTATTACCTATTGACGACCAAGTTGGTGCTTGCCATACATCATTTAACTGCCAATACAATGCACCCATTGTTAAACCTCTACCATCCTTTAATAATGTATTTCTATGTTTCCGATACCACTCGGTCTGTATTCTCATTGCCCTGGCTTGAACAATCTAACACATTTCTAATAATAAAATAATAGTAATAGTTATTAAAAATAAGTTGGTTCTATAATTACTTGACTTAAATAAACATAATCAATAATAGTAGGCTTTACAGGAACAGGTAAATTTGTTTCTATTTGGTATAACATGAAACTATAACCCAAAGGTAGATGTTGTCTATGAATTAATGCCGGAGAGGGGAAATCAATTAAATCATTTGCATCAAAAGCATTTTGCAAAGTTTGATATGCAGGCAGGGACTGTAGTCCATATTCTGATGCAAATCTAGTCCATGGAAAAAATATTGTACTCCAACTATTAACTTCATAGTTGTAATAATGCACTACAATATATAAACATTTAAAAATTAAGTTTATCTATTGATGAATATAAATATTTATTTTACCGTCTCCGTACAAAGCACTATATGGATTTTCTGCTATATAATTTTCTTCGTCAGACTTTAAACCATTTGATGGACTTGATACTAAATAATTTCTTGTTTTATCTTCCTCTGTTACAATCTTTCGTATTGTATTGACATATAGTGAAATATATTCGGAGGCGAAAAAAGAAAAGTTTTTTCTTGTTCCATACCAATTACCCCTTAAAGCAGCTTCATTCTCATTATTACCTGCCCATATTACTATACTAGGATGATATTGTAACCGTCTAACTTGCTGTTTTATTTCAACTTCAACATTTTCCAAAAACTTTTTACTTGCTGGATACATATTACAAGCAAACATCATATCTTGCCATATCATAATACCTAATTTATCACATATCTACAAATCAAATTAAAAATTATTTTGAATTCAACATTTTACCTTAAAAATTTTAGGTACATACTTTGTAAAATTCATCACTTTCATAAACTCCACCTCCCCACACACGAATAGTATTCATATGTACTTGTTTTGCTGAATTTAATAAATGATTGATGTTGTTTATATTAGACATTTTCTCTGGAAATATATTGGCTGGAATATAATTAGTGCCTTTAGCGAAAATTGCCACATCATTTATCCTTAAATAAAAAGATAATCCTAAACAAATATAAACACATTAAATTCTTAATCAAATTTTGATATAGAATCTTTTACCCATTTTTGGATCATTTTTATCAATTGGTTCCTGAATAAGTTTTGCTGTTCTAAATCCTATGAAAATTGTTTTTGATTGAACATCATATTTAGTTTTAAATTCTATTCTTAAATTATATAATGGCTGTTCGCCATAACCATTGGGCCACCAAGTATCTACATCAGTCTAAAATATTTATTTACACAAATTATTTAATTAAAAAAAAAAAACATGTAGAATAGATAGTAACTGAATATTGTATACATGTAGATAGTAGTATATAATTATTTTAAATTTAGACACAACTAAATATTAAGTAGTTAGGTATTTATAAAAAATATGTTCAAGTGGGATAAGTTTAATTTTAAATGTTAAATAATGTGATTCTTTTAATTATTTTTTCAGATGTTCAAATACTGTATTTGCAAAAGCATTTTTGTTTTAGCCTATTGCAAATATTAAAAATAGGGTATTGTTAATACATTTCTTATTAAAGTAGGTAGGAAAACATTTTTAACTGAAGAAGAAACTTGTAAAACTAAAATTTAAAAAGATAAATTATGTAAACAAATCGTAGAAAATTGACTTGAAATGAAAAAAAAATATGTAGTTAAAAGCTTAAAATTCACAAATCACATAAACTTTAATAATTAGGTATTTATCAAAGTGTAAACTTAAGTAGATGTTATTCTAGGATATTATCATTTTATGACAATATAATGTCCATATTTTTTTTTTTTTTTAAATATCAATAATTTGAATTTATTGTTTTGTTTTTTAAAATAAATTCCAACTTTTCTGTTACCTAGTTTTACTATTTTTTTAAATTTTATATCTTTTTGTATAAAAATGCTGTATCACAATATTCATTCGCGGTAATCTCCAAAAATGCTAAATTTATATGAAATTTTGTAAATGGGTATTATTTGGTCCAACTTGAGAGATAAGATAGTTTTAATCTCGATTGTTGACCCTCAATATTTTGTATTGCAAACTTAAAGATTTTTGAAAGGACAAAGGGTTACTTATAAGTTTTATGTATATGCACAATGTATGTATGAGTTAATTGTATTAAGGGTATTGTATATATTATATTACACCTAAACCACTGAACCAATTTTGATGAATTTGAGAAACACATAAACTACCTTTTTCTGCTAAAATAAAACTTTAAGAGGATGAAAGAATTTTTGGTATTTTAGGTACAAAAATTAAATTTTTTTTGTTTAATTATGGATTACTTTAGTAACAGGGATGAGACAAATAAAAAATATTAATAATAATAAACAGAAATAATAATGCCTTAACAACTATAATAACTTAAAACTGTCTGTTGATCTATTATTGACTTGAAATAAGATGGGCTACCTTGGTAACATGGATGAAAAAAAAAACAAAAAAATATACACTGTACTGAGTAAATAAGTGAAAAGTGAAAACAAGTAAAATATTATATTTTAATCTTTGTATATTTTGGTACAATAACAACACTACTGCAATACTATTTTATCCTCAAAAATTTAAGCTTTATTATATTGGATATATAGTTTAGTCCCTGTACTGTATGGGTATCTATGGTAACATTGATGAAAAAATGTATGTCCCACTAGAACATTTTTCACCCTCTTTTTTTTTGTTTAATATACTGATATACGGGCAAAGCAAAACAAGAATAAAGGTAAAAACAATGAACAATTAATACCACGTGCGGGATAGCATTACCTATATATTTTTCAATTTAATATGAACTAAAAATGTAACAAATAGCAAAGCCAAAATGAAAAATAGTACTAAAAGCCCAATATGCATCAAATATGAATAATATACAAGATAAAAAAGTATATTTTCCATTTGGAATCCCTTATGTATAAAACAATTGTGTTTATTTAATTTTTTTTTTTATTTGTGTTCTACAATAATTAGTGTATTAGTATGATATGTGTGTCTATAACTATATAATATTGATAAATAAATAAATAATTAGCAAATAGGTACTACAAAATCCAAGCACTGTTTCTAATTCATAAAATATGACAAATTATTAAAATAAAAAAATAAGTGAATAACTAGGTAATATATTCCAAAAAGTTCAAAAATAGCACACAATTCAAAAAATTGCAAAATAATATTTTAAATTCAGCTTTTCTGTATTATGAAACAAATTTTAAACTTAATCTGCTATTAAAAAAAGTTTTTAAGCAATTTATAATAATTATGCAAATGTTCGTAAATCTATTTCCTAATACGCAATAAGAAAAATGTTTATTACCGTTGGTATATACAATTCAATCTCAGCGTGTGTTTCATTTTGAACGCAAATATTGTTACAACAATCTTGTTCTTTGCTCAAAACATTTTTCTTAGTATTTAGAGCTAATTTAATTTTAGCATCCGAAATACTTTCAAAACATTGAACATATATATCAGTTTTTAATAACCAATGTGATGCATTTGTCGCAATTGTTTCAGTTTTAATATCTTCTAATACATTTTCATGAAACATAATCAATCTTACACTTTTCCTAAAACATAACCAACACACAGTTTCTATTTATTTTTATTGATTAATGATAATTGAAATGTATAACTATAATACCATATTCCAACAGATGGAAATGCAGGACCCCAATCCCATCCAAATGAACTTTGCATTTTTCTTAAATAGTTTACATGACATTCCCCATTGTATTCTTTGGGAACACAAAATGGTGGGATTTTGTTTAGTGAATTATTAAACATATTATTTGCCACATGAATAGGTGAATAAATAACGACTTCTAGATTATTATCTCCTTCCTAATGTTATAAAATAATAATTAATATTACAATGAAAAACAACAATTTTAAAAATAAATATAATAGGGTAATGATTGGCGATTATATGGGTACTTATGATTATTATACAATTACCTCAAGATATTTTTCAACTGAAAAAGTATACTTAACAAACATATTATTGGTTGAGCCGATTAAATTTTTATTTAAATAAACTTCACTAATTGTATCTATCCCATCAAAAATAATATATTTCTTATTGAATGCTTTCATACTCAAGGGCACTAAAAATATATAAAACAAAAGTTTGATTATTAATTGTTATTAAATTGTAAATAAATTATTTTGTAAATTAAAACCAGATTAAACAGAGTATGCAACTTCCTCTCCTGCGGATTCATTGTTGCTCCCCTATACGTTAACATATTTACATTTTATATAAGTACCTATCTAAATGAGTCAAATGTCTGGTTCAGAGTTTTAACCTAATTCAAATCATAATAACTAATAGGTAAATATCACAATTTAAGATTATTACCTACTTATATAGGTTACTTACTCAACAGAGCATTATTTTTAATGCCTGTACTAATAATTAATAAAATCATAAGTAAAAATATGTACCTACAATAAATGTATAATTATTCAAAATTAAAATGTCTAAAAATGGGTAAATGTTTTAAACATTTTACCACGTCTATAAAAGACAAATATACATTTTCTGTCCAAATATCAAGTCTCTACGTATATTTTTTAACTGAATGAAAAAATTTTAAATAATACAATTCGTAAATTTTTCCATTTTTTCTAAGTTTTTTTTCGGTTTTTCCCAATTATTATGAAAACCGCTTGGATAATCAAAAAATTACCTCCGTAATATACCAACCAAATAAAATCAGAAAATTTCAAAAAAGTTACCACACTTGAAAATCGGAACAAGTTTTCTGGTAGAAAAGTTGTTCAAAGAAAACCAAAAATAAACATCATCGCAAAACTAATATATTCCTTGGTCCACTCCGAATCTGAAATTAATAATGACGTGTCTAGTAAAAATGTATATAATGAAAATATGTATTAAGAAACTAATAAAAATGTGTAGTGTAATATAATTATCGTACGAAGTCCAAACGAATAATTAGTTTTTTTTGTAATTCATGTATTTTGTCTTGCATAAATGTGTAAAATTAAAAAAAAAAAGACTAATATACTTTACATTATGGGCCACTGTTGTAGGTGACAAGTGGGGAAAGTAGGATATAGAGAGGAATTGTATGTACAGTGGAACCTCCACTATCAGTTACTTCCTAACAGCGGATGTTTTTTTGGAAACTGGGACATTTTCACTACTTTTCAATTGGAAAACCGAATAGTGGACTTTCAAAATGGCGGTAATTATTGTTGATTAATTTACGATTTATAGGTACTAATGTAATCTCCTTCAAATTTTAGTGGTTTGAATATAGGTTTCGTTTTAAACAAGAAAATGTATACGTTCAGATTTTTTGATAAATTAACATTACCTATTAATTATAATAAGTAGCGAGGGTGTATACATCAATTTTTTTTATTTTTCTGAGTAAAAAGTAAAGAAATTTGATTTGAAAAATGGGTACCGTCATATAAGTAATAGATATAAGAGGGAGATATATTTTCCTAATCTCCCCCCGTAAATACACCTTTGGACCTCGTCAAGAACATTTTGTGCCGTAAAGAGGAAGACGTGAAGATGCGGGGGGCGGAAGCCAGGGTCAACCTATCCCGGCCACCGAAGAAGTCTGCAGTATGAATGCCTCCACGCAGCCATGAGACTCCAATTCGACAGGTCTCTTGAACCTGGCCAGGATAGGACATGGATGTCTCGAGACCAGTTGGTTGGTTATAGACCTTAATATCAAACATGATAGTAAGTGGGTGCAGCGGAAGACTTACCTGCGCATTCACACCATGAGTAAGTTTATTATAATTAATGCATTAATATATTTATTTATTATATTGGTTACAATAAGCGTTGGCAGCATCAGGGTAGTCATGTGCAAAAGATCCCTCTTTGCTGCCGGATATACTAGGGGAAAAAAGATAACATTTATTATATTAGTGAATAATGAACATATTATGATTATCTATAATCAAATATAATCATATCTATAATCTATAATCATCTATAATTCAGCGGTTTCCAACCTGGAGGTAATCACTCTTAATGGATAAACGGGATTTTTTGAGGATTAAAGACAAGAGTTACTTTAGATTTGGAGCGGAGCGATGAATCTATTAATTTTACTAAGTGTGCTTTTATTTTTACTTTTCTACCAGAAAACTTGCTCCAATTTTCAAGTGTAGCACTTTTTCTGAAAGTAAATTTTGTATGATTAGCGCTGTCATTTTTTTGATTTTCCAAGTTAAAAAATATTGTAGAGATCTGTAGTTTTCAAAAAATACTCATAATGATCTTTTGCAGTAAACGTGGTCAAATATTTAAAACATATTAGCAATTTTTAAGCTATTTAATTGACATGTTCGTATTCTTATTAGTTAGGTATCTGTTATTCAAACTATATGATTTAAAAGAAAAAGTGTACTTAGTGGTCTAATAAACAAATGTGAGTTTAATGCGTTAGTTTTTTTTTTTTTATAACTGTTTTGTAAGATCAAATTTTAACAAAAATCGTAAAAATTACGGAATTTAAAATATGTCTTACAGAATTTCGCTCCGAATTGTTTTCTGTTAGCAATGGTTTATCTCTACGTACAGGTATGAATTAAATAACTTTATTTATTCTACCTTCTCAACTCCCCACCTACAACAATGGCTGCACTCGTCTCCAGTATCAGTTCTTTTTTTTTATTGTATGCATTATGTATTAATAATTATACCTATTATATTGTTTATCATTATTTTTATCCTACCAATAAAAATATTTTAAATTTGTAATATAAATTATATTTTAATAATATTTCTATAGATTCTATAGATGCAAAGTGTTGAATATTACTACCTGAGTTATATTTCAAATATTTATTATAACCATTTACTCATAACCATATGCCAGTAGTTCTACGTTATCTTAGATTCCTAGAACTATTTTTATTCCTACGTTCGACCATTTATAACAGGCAATCAGATAAGATAGGGGTAGACTGGGAGTACTTTGGCCTAGAGGAAAAAGTACACGAGTGGCCCAAGGTACATTATATTATATTTGTCAGCTTTGTTCATAAAATTTAATGCTTAACCCAAATTCACTCATTTATATCCATTAATATTTCTATCTTAATTTAAAACGCAATTCGTATTGCAATATGCATAATATATATTTATGTATATATTCGTACAATATTTCCAATTTTTGACTTAATACCAATATCTTTGTGGAGGTTAGGATCTGTTGTATACCCAAGTGCATAGTACTATACTAATACCTAAGTATTTAGAATTTTTTTTTTCTGACTTCTAAACTTTAAATACAAATATATGTTTATCAATAAAAAGATATTAATTTTAATTAACTAATTAACATATAAATTTTAAAATAAACAATAACAGGTATTAGTTGAGTTATACCGGCCCGGATAATAAGAAATCTTACCAGCCCGGGCAGACTTCTCCATCCTTCCATTTGGGTCAATCCGCCTCAGAGATAAGATGGCAGATATCTTAATAAAAATGTTATCAATATTCAATGGTTAGCAACTTAGTTGTTTTTTGTCAATTAATGTACTTTTCTGGGGCCCGTCAACTAACTATCGAATTAACTATTTCCGTTAAAAATATTTTTTTTATTTTGATTTTCAAACTTAATTTTTTGGAGAGTATTTTCTTAAATCTAACCAGATTTATCGGTAATAAAATAGTCATAGAATACGACAGTGGCTTGTTTACAGGGGTGATCTGGGTGATACATCACCCCCCCCTCCCCAGAGCTTTTTTTTTCTGATTAATTTCATTTTTCTTTTAAATTCTTGAACCATAACCACGAATGGCAGATATTACTATTATTAAAGGTATTCGACATAGGCATATAAATATATGAACTGCACTTAGAAAGAGATATTTAAATGTCTATAGTATTCGAGTATTCGACGGTGGCGTAACCAGCAACCACAACCATTAATTATGGTTATAGATTGCAGCGTAACCATTGATTATAGAATATTCTATAATCAATGGCGTAACGATATTCTTCTTAGATCATATACTAGTATATGATCTAAGGTATTCTTAATCAGTCCGTTATCAATAATAGTTAATAGCATCATATTGTAATATATAGAATTATAATAAATAGATCGCGCATTACGATCGTTTTGTGTATAACATCTTGAAACCAACTTATGTGCGAGAGACAAACTTTAACGTTACTTTTCCAAGGAGTTCATACAAAATAAGAACGAAATTGATAATATACAAAATAATTAAAATTTTTTAATTATATTATGATTTGATGATAACGTTATCAGTAATCAATTAAATATTACCAGGGAGTATTATAAAATTGCTTATAACCTCCTTGAAGAAGTAACACCACAGTCTGTCTCTCTCGCACATATGTTGGCTTCAATATATTTCATTAATGCACGGTCTATATATTATAAGTCTATGAATAGCATGGCTAAATATATAGGTATGATCACAACTTTGTAATACACAGGTACAATGGCCGCCACTGGCTGTGATTCCCGTTTTATTTCAATCTAGCTGGTAATAAATATCACTGTCAGCTGAGTTTTCTCTCCATGAAAAGCTATGGATTTAACAGTTGTGATCATACATATATATTTATATGGTTAATAGTAGACAGTAGTCAATATACTATAGGTATAGTTAATAGTTATTAGTATTTTCATGAACATTAGATAATTATGATGAATTATTAATATCATTGTTTATTATTCTAATGTTCATGGTTAGTTGGATATTATTTTGTGATCTAACTTAATATGAAAATAAATGTATAATATTATAAATGTTGGTATAGTTTTTAGTAAAATCATGGCATATTAAAAGTGCACTTTATGGAAACTGGAAAGGTATGATTACAAGAAAAGAGGTCAAGGGGATATTTGTCCCCCTGGCTCCTAATGTGCAAAATAGTTTTGGTCATATCACCCCCTAGAAGAAATCCTAGATACGTACTCGTACTAAACGTTGACGTCAGCCACCATATACACGCGGAGATCAATGTTTACATTTTATTACGATTATTATCATTCATTATCATTTTATCTTTGAAAAGATCACTGATCTATATTGTACATTATTTATCTTTAAATTGTTTTGCTAATAGTAAATATACCTCTATATTATATATCTTCTCCTTCGCCTTTATCCCAATTATTTGGAGTCAATCACCTTCGTTCTAAATTTCCACTTGACCCGATATCCAACCTCATATATACCAGCTGTCATATCACTTTCAATCACATCCTACGATCTCTTTTTCTGTCTTACTCTCCCCTATTTCCTAGCTCCTTCGTTTATTTTCATTATAATTCTGACGGCTTCAGAGTTCAGATTTCTCTCTCTCCATGACATGCCTAAACCATTTCAGTCTATTTCTTCTCATTTTGTCTACTATCAAAGCCACGCCTCAGCTATCTCTTGATTTGACCGTTTCCATCTGGAAAATAGTGTTAAGAATCAGGTGGCCTAACCATAAATCGAACCCGAGTCTCTTACTTGCTAGGCGATTGCTCTACCACCTAGTTACTCGGTAGGTACCTGACTTCTAACACTGTTTCCGTTGGACTTAAACGGTCTAACGTCCCGGGCTTGAGCAGTTGGTAAAGTGGTTATATGTATGGTTGAGGGGCTGATGCGGCCCACGGGGACCGTGTCACTCTTGTGTACTCATTTCTTATCCTATCAGCTCTCGTTACTACATTCATCCACGTAAACATTCTCATCTCTGTTACTTTCATTCTTTGTTCTATATTTGAGTTTACCGCCTAAAACTTCGAACTATACAAGTCAGTTCACCACACTTTTGAAGAATTTAACTTTAAGTTTCATTGGAATTCTATTGTCATATAAAACACCTGATGCTTCTTTCCACTTTATTCAACCACACTTAACCCTAAGGTTTACTTCTTCATGAAAGGCATCGTTTTTTTTTCACAAAAGATTCTAGATACTTAAAACTCTCCACTACGCCTAATATGGTCCTGCTTATTGTCGTTAGCAGTCTTTTCCAGTTCCTTCAAACTCATACTCTATTTTAATTTTTTTATCCTTAGTTCCTTTCCTTTAAAATGTACTATCTATGCCTCAAGTCTATTGTAAATGTATTCTAGATTTTCTCCTATTAAAGCTATATCATCTGTAAATGATACCTCCTCTTATTTGTTATCCCCGGGCACATCCGACAATCCGTCAGTTTTGTTTCTTTATACATACTGTTAGACAGAATTTCACACCAGCTGTTATAACCTGACATAACATTTGTCGTATTTTACGATAGGTAGAGGTACCAAAATTAAGACTAATCCACTTTCATATATACCCTATAAATAATTTTTTTTGCAGCGAAAACTTTATTTAGTTAAATTGAGTACATATACTGTTATTGGCTATATCATATTCGTATGTATGTATGTATGTATGCATGTATATTCAATATTGTATGAGTATATTAATAATATAATACACACAATTAAGTGCATCTCTGATCTCTGAACTAGTTAGGTAATCTTAATCATCATTCCATATATTTGGTCATCCACCTGCTCAACTATTTTGGTCACGACTCACGAGGCAATTGCCTCAAACACACCTACTTTGACACGCTTCTAATTCTCATTCCATACCACAGGGAAAGAACATACTTATTATTATTACGTATATTGTAAATATTAGAATATTACTTATATTGAAATAAGGGGACGCAGTTTACACACGTTCAAAAATATCAGGGTCATGTATCGGTTAGAAAATATCGAAAGAAAAAAATGGACGATTATCGACGAAGAGTATCGTTATATTTGATATATCGATATATTGTTGGAGTTTGGAAAAAAAAAACAAGTAAAAAAGCTATTAAAACAAAAGTAATATATTTATTTTACACATTATAGTATAAAACGTAATATTATTCGTTAGTACTACATATTATGTAGTACCATACACCATCTATATGGTACCATAGTACCTACACAATATTTTAGACTATTGCCTATATTATAATATATTCAATGATAATATTTTAAACGTTCTCACAAAAATAATTATCGAAGCAAATTATCGAAATCTGCAGTTCATAATCAAAATCAAATGTAACAAAAATGACTACTATTGTAATATAAGTACAAAATGTATACAAATCAACTTAAAATTAAAGCTATGACTATTATAGCATAATATATACTCGTATAGCATACGCCGGATGCCGTTTGTAGGTAACTTGCTCCGATAATTATTTTTGTGATAACATTTAAAATATTATCATTGAATATATAATAATATAGTTAATGGTATTCAAATATAGTGTAGGTACCTATTTCATAGTACTAATGTAGTACTAATCAATAGTATTACTTTTTATATTATATGTAAAATAATATATTGATTTTTTTTCGTTCGTTTTTTTTCCCTACTTGTTTTTTTTTCTTGACCCCATATTGTTGCCATCCCAAGTCACAATTTACGAACGTTTCAAAATTACATAGGCCGAAATTTGACTGTGAGCTTTTTAGGAGAGACGCATTTCACCGATTTTTGTCATAATAAATGTGGTTGTTCGATTTGACATTCAATTGTTGTATCTTCAATAAAGGTAGGTAGTGAAATAATTGGCGTTCAAGCAATTAATCGAACGAATACCATTATTATTGGCAAATAGTAGGTAGGTACATAATCTCTATCATCTCTATAATATGGCATAACTACCAAGGCCTATACCAATCGCTTAAACAGTTGATTATTGTTGAAGAGTAAAAATATTTTTTCTCTATATTACAACAAAAATAAGATTTGAATTGTTAATCGATTTGTTAATTAGTAGATAGTTTTTTTAAATAACTATATACTAATTCAGAAGGGGTAGGTCAAATAAAAGATTTCTGTCAAAATTTCAAGTCTATGAATATTTTTAACTGAATTATATTACAAAAAACAAAATTAAAATAATAAAAGAATTATTTTCGTAAATTGTCCTGATATTTCTACGTATTTCCCGGGTTTTCTCAATTATACAAAAACTACCAAAAAAGAATCAAAAAAAGAATTGCTTATTCACAAATAAGATTAAAAATTAAATAAAAAAGGTTTCTTGTTATTTTCGATTGGAGTATATTTCTGGTAGAAAATATAAGTTGCAAAAATTAAAAACAATGAAAACGGTAACACCGCGGCAGGTCGTAAAAAATTTCCGTTATACGTTAAATTTTCTTTCGGGTTTTCTCCATAAAGGGGTTTGAAAACTTCTAAGAAATTAAAAAAAAATATATATATCACCTCCTTAATGCACCTACATAGCTACATAGCTCCATCCTTCGACGTAGAAATACGTTGTTAAAGGAATGGATAAAATGCAACTCCAATCTAAGCCTGCCTATACACACTTTCGCAAAATCCCTCTAGAACCCACCAAGACTTAAATCACACAATCCACTATGGAAATCTGCTACCGCACTTAACAACACGGACTTCAATATAAACGAGACATGGAAAAAATAATGGGAAGCTTCAAAACTGGATGAACAAAAGTACCTATAAGAGCCTACAAACAAACCTCTTGGATATAATCTCCCCAGGAAAGAATGGACTATCCAAAATCGCATTCGCTCAGGACATGGTAGATACCTTATGTATATGGAACGTGATTCCAACCTCGAACTGCAAATGCGGCTATCCACACAAGACGATATCGCATATACTAACTGAATGCATCAGGTAATTTGACGGCGAACTAAAGGTATGTTCAATGCCTCTCCGGAAACTATTTAATGAATACAAAACCTCAAAATCAAATTACAGATGATATCCAAGAGGAGATAAATTGGTTCACTATTCTAGTAAAAAGTTACATATTTATATACATTGTTGTTATTATTATGATTATTATGATTATTGTCTTGCCGATATAGCCTTATTAATGTTCTATTTTATTAATTGTTATAATTATCATAAACATTATTGCTTGTTTTCTGTTTTGTCATACGAATAAATAAATGCACCAACTAGATTTAGTTACTTCACAGAAAAGGTGCTACATTTGGTACTTCGGAGCAAGTTTTCTGGTAGAAAAGTTGCTCAGACACATACAGTAAAACGTGTATACTCGCTACGCTCCAAATATAAAATCAAGGTGCGCTACATAAAATAATTAATATTTAGGTTTAGAAATATTGTATACCCAATCCAATTTAATGGGGAAGATTTTGAATTCATAATTATTTTATATTAGTTTTATTATTGCCGTTTTTATTTTTGTAAAAATATGTATTTTTAAAATACATATAATAAATATTGAACGAGGGAGGGAGTATAAAAAGCACACTTTCCCCTGGAAATCAATTTACTTCGAATATGGCTATTGAGTAAATTCTAAAAATAGTATTGTGCGTACGTATGCTAAGGTCATTTTTTGATTTTCATAATAAGAAGAAAAAACGTAGAAAAAAACGGGAAAATGACCTGTTTAGGGAACCAAGTAGAAAAAATTTCCTTTCAAAAAAAGTGATGCATTTGATAAATCAGAGCATGATTTCTGGTAGAAAAGCTGTTCATAATAAAAAATAAATATCATTGTAAAACCAATAATTCCTCGCTACACTCTAAATCTAAAAAATTACTACATTACATTCTATTTTGTTTTCTTTGATCACTTAGTACAACTTATAATGAACCTCATGTTAAATTTTAAAACATTTATATTTAGTCAAACAATGATATTCACGCAGGGCCTATTTTTTGTAATATTTTGTATTACACATTTTTTAGTTTAAACCATAAATACATTTGCCTCCATACCCTTAAATACAATTATTTCACTGATTTTTCTACCATTTATAGCTATTTACAATTTTTTTTTAAACAAATATTTCCAGGTTTAAACTTTATCAAGGAGAAATGTATGGGTAGTGTAAGAAGTAAACTTAAAAAAAATAAATTACATATTATCAACTAGTTTGTGTAAATAACGTTCCTCTGTGTTTAATTTCTTATTCAAAGTAAGTAAGCTATTTCTAACAAGCATTAAGATAACAAGTTTTAAAACATCATAATAATAAATAACACATTTTAAAATACTTTGTATTTGACCAAATTGCTTTAGTATACTTTTTCTAAATTTGTTAAACAATTAAAAAATACTATAACAACAAAACATAATTTAGTAATATTTTTTTATAACACTCCACACATTTTATAATTTCGTACTACACAAAATGTGGCGTATTACACACAAAATAGGCTCTGTATTTACGTAGTTCCCATCAAATAAAAACTACATTAACATTTCGCGAACATTACGAAAATAATGTTTTATTTTTTTCAATTTGGTTTTTTGTTGTAATTCAATTAAAAATATTTATAAAGACTTGCAATTTGTATACAGAAAACCCATATTTGCCTTTTCTAGACATGGTAAAATGTTCAACGAATTTCATTTATCGTTGCTTACAGATATAAATTAAATAACTTATTGTATCCTACCTTCCCAATTTTCCACCTACAATAGTGGTACACACATTAGTAGTATCCTTTATAATACATAATGTAATCTAAAAGAAAAAAAATTAGTCAAATTGTAAATTCGAAACAGTTATTACGTAATAACTATAGGTTTTAATTATATATTGGCCATTATACTAAAAAATCTCAATGTTCAAATTCGTCAGAAAAAAGTTTAAAAAAACAAAAGTATGTTTATAATTAGTAACATTAAAAGAAGAGTAATTATCCATAAAAAAAAAAAAAAAAAAAAACATGTAAATTAAACATGAATATCTGTCATTAGTAATATACCTATTCATTAAATGTGTTGTACCTAAATATACGACTTAAAAAGTAGCGTCTAATTTATTTAGTAAAACCTTTTCACTACCTAAGTAAGTCTTTCGAATTTTGTTATTGAAAACTACAAATAATTTCGACTCTGAAATATGAATAAAACTAATTTTTTTTTTACCTAGAATATTGTAAAATTATTATTATTAAAAGATTTAACTAAACAAACAAAATACGCAATTTACAAAATATAGAGTTTTATAAATTATATAGGTGCTTATTATATTATATATTCAAAACAATATTATAACTTATAACTATTATAAAAAAAGAAAATGTATTTTCTCTCGATGTGAGATGGCTAAACTAATGATGAGTATAATTACATTAACTATATTACAACTTATTCGTCAAATAAAAAACCAATAACTTTTAATGTAAGTAGGAACAATAAGTATAGGCCACGTGGGTCATTATTTTGAAATACCGTAATTTTTTACTAATTTCATCAAAATTTAAACATTGATCAATTGTAACATTAAATAAAAATTTTAATGAACCTTGTGTTAAAATTTTAAACATTTTTTAACTTAAAAATTATACACTTAAATCAGAAAATTATACCTACGCTTAAGACTTGTTGTATTTCTAATCGTTCCTAAGAAATACGCGAAACTAGAAACCGAATTTTTTTAAGTTTTCCTTCGTAACTCCAAATTAAGTTCGTCAGACTAATTATACATTTTTAATGTAAACACAACGTAAACACTTTATACATAAAAAAAAATTTTAAAATCGTTTGAGATTCAAGAGCTATACTAATATTTGCCGTGAATTTCCCTGTTTTTCCTAAAAAATTTCTCGGATTGTTCCAATTGTTAAAATAATTACATAAACAACCGTCTTACATATAAATTGAAATACTACTTTTGAAATTTGTTGCAACATTTTTAGTGAAAAACAAAAGTAGAAAAGTTTTCCTACATACGTTATGTATCCCAATTATTTTGAAAACTTTTTGGAAAATTAATAAATGATTTCCTTAATGCATCATCTAAATCCAAAATGCAACAAAAACATCTTTTATCGTTTTTTAATTGGAATCAAATAGTTTCTAGTAAAAAAGTTGATCACTGACACAAAAATAAGTACACATCATAGTAAAACTAATATATTTCTCGCTATGCTCAGAATCCAAAGATATGTCTTACACTAGTCAATACTCTTCGTTACAAAATTTTCCTCTTGTTTCCTTTGCACTAGACTCTACCAGAGATTCACAATCGTTGAAGTAAGGAATATTACTATATATTTATGTTATATTAAGTGTGAGACAGACAGAAAAATGTATGTGTGGAAACATCTTTTAATTAAAGTTAATTAAAGGTTTAATTATTTTAGGTCCGAAATGTGGCGAAAAGCTATAAGTTTTTCTAAAATATGTTTTTTTTTTCAGAAAACATTTTTTCGATTAGTGAAAATTCTCGGATTTTTTAAATGCAAATATTTCCTTATCAATGCTTTGAAATATTTGAAATATTTTTCAAAATTTACAATAGTTCAATATTATAGGCACACAGTTTACATATTGTTACATACATTTTCAATTATATTATCTATTTATATATTGTCTCTTCCCCTCTTTAAAAATTTTGTATTTCTTTATACGCTACTGATAATACTTATATTAGTGGAAAGAGCTCACTGCTGATGAGTTCTAATTATAAAATTCGACGATTTGCCTAGGATACAAAATATAATATGTTTTTGTATGTGTATATGAAAACACAATTTAACAATATAAATTATTTTCCTAATGATAAACATAGTACTTATTGCCTATCAATAATAATTTATAATAGTAGAGGAATTCTATTAGTAAAGTAGTATATTATTATTATATTATATTATACTAATTACTATTATAGGTATAGCAGTATTTATAGGTGTATAATATAATAATATTGTAGTATATTTATTTATTGTTTGCACATAACTCTTACTCCGGGGAGGTCTTGTTGGCCACCCCTAGTTTATAAGCATATAAAATAAAATACAAACATTGTTATTGCGTGTAAAATGTCGATTACCTATACAATAGATATAATATTCTCCTTTAACAGGACGTTGTACCAGCTTGTTCTGTTTCAGTCCAACTAGCTGTGGTAAAACATAGCAAAATCATCCTTACAAATACACGAATAGAACTTTCTTAATTTTGGTTTTAGAGTAAAAGCATCTATTACAAAAATTAAAAGAGGGAAATAATTCAGAGGGTAAGACGATGTTTATTTTGAAATTAATTTATTAAGTTATTAAAATATAAGAAATTATTAAAAAATATGTAAACGATATTTGGAAATGTATTTAAAATAATAGAAAATATTCATAATTTTACCCTTGAGAAAATTGACCTCTATTGATTTTATAATTGGTACTTTAACTTTAAAACTAAATTTAAGTAAGTTCTACATAATATAATAAAGATGTTTTTGCAACATTGTCGTCCGGTATATTACAATATAACATCCTCTCAATGATGTGTGTGTGTGTATTTTTTTCAGTCTATGTCTGTAAACGAATTTTCTACTAGAATACTTGCTCCTGTTATTAACATCAACAACAATGCACTTTAGACCGTTGGTAGAACATTTTATCTAATGGATTGATATAGCATCACTCCAAAAAAAAATGTTTTATAGGTACTAAGTAGGTACACATTGTTTTGTGTTGTTGCGCTTATTCGAAATTCAAGGATCGAAATTTAGAAATCTGCCTTCGAGATATTGAGTCTAGTTCTTCACCAATGTTCAAAATTTCAGATTGTAAATTTGGCAATACAACCGAATAGATAAAAACTTATTTTAATCTCTTATATATTATATTTGAAACAGTAAACAAACTGGTTGACTCTGAATTACACTTATCCGATCGTCGTTATGAAATTTTTTGAATTTAATACAGTATAGGTTTTTAGAATAATAAGTTTGACCAGTGCTCATACATACATTTTGGACTTAGAAACAAATTTAAATTGATTTCTGTAGATATCTGGTTTCCCTTGGTTAAACGATGATTATAATAAATACAAATATATTGATGACCAAACATATTATGATTTATTTTGTTTATTACACCCAGTTACCTGGTTTTTTTTATACATTTAACTTTAGGTTAGTTATTAAGTCATTTTGATCTATTTATTATGGTCTTATAGCTATAATTAACTAAATTACAACTATTTTAAATTTGAAAATAGTACGCATTATTATTATCAATATAGATGTTGGGATCTGTTAATTAAAAAAAATAAAATAAAAATAAAAATCGAAATTTCAAAAAGCTCCAATTCAATCAATTTTACTCCTAAAATATTTAATGTCAAGTACACGTGAGACAGTACACTCTGTAACATAACGAAGAAATGTTTTATTTGAAAACTGAATATTTTAAAAAAGACATTTAAATATTGTTCAACACACTTTTATACATTTTTTTGTATAATAAATGTATCTACTATTAATCATTTAAATATTATATTAAAATAATCGGTTCCAACAATCGTGTAACCATTTTTCTGTCCTAATTATAGAATAATAATAAATTTATAAGTAAAATAGTGTAAAAAAGGAAATATGTCTGCAGTCTAAAATGAACTACTATTGATACTCCATACTACTTTGTATGGGGCCAAGAACAACTCGTGACGCTTGTGTATAAATAAATATATACCACCCAAACTCAGTAAAATTTTTAAGAATATGTTGAATACTATTTTTGTAATTATACATAATAGTCCATTCTGCTAATTTATGAAGGGTAACATAAATATAAAATAATTTACTAATTGTATAGTATGATATATAATATACTAGCTGTCCCGTTGGGCTTTGCTCATGCAATAAATGCTTATTTTTATACTATCTAAACGCTAATCGTCGTAAGGTTAGATCAAGAATTTCAATAGTTTAACAGCTTCTCCGGTTAATGCGGGATCATTTTGCGAAAAACCGCGTAAAAATTGGTCTAGTAGTTTCAGAAAAGATACGTGACAAAGATGTCTATTTTCATATATCATTTCTATTATCTATATACATATATATAAATATATTGATAGATACGTAATATATCTTCATATTTTACCGCAGTTAGTATGATCAAAATAAACATTTTCGTAAACATCATCTAGCAAGAGTTCAGCCAAAAATTTACAAATAGACAATCAAAACGTGTCGAAAAAAACAATTGGAAGGAATTATAAACATTGTATGAAAAAGTTTAACAACATTTTAAATTCGAAACGTAGCGAGGCATTTATTGATTATCTAACGGTTTTCGTGATAATTGGGATAAAACGTAGGAAAAACGAAGAAATTCACAATGTGCCGTGCCGATACCGATGCATTACCAATTTAATTGATTTTTTTATCTTTTCAAACGATTCTTTCTACCAGAAATTACGGCAGTACGGTGCGCGGCGTTTTAATAATGTACTTACCACTACTCTTCCACGACTCATACTTAAAAGTGGAATATCTCTTCAACGAATCGACGAAAATCAAAAATGTCAACACCAAAAATTATTCTAATTAATACTCCATCTATTTATAAAATGTATAAAAGGTTGTCATTTGTTGTTTTGTTCCACCTAGTTCGGTTAAAAATAATCGTAGATATCTAAAATTTTCACAGAATGCTTAGTCTTTTCTAGATGTGGATAATTTACGTATATTAGACGTTGTTTTTATTGGCTCCGCCAAAACGCATGCAAATTTGACACGAGGTTCTTCATTAATCCTTGGTGATAAGGTTTAGTTTAACGTTGTGGTACATTTTTTTTTTTTTAATGAGTTTTTCAAATGTTGACGAAACCGTAAAAATGACCGGATTTCAATACACGTTTAATCGAACTTTGCTCAAAATTGTTTTCGCTAGCAATGATTTATTGTTCTGTACACTGTTATACTGATATAAATCAAATAACTCAATGAATTTTATCTTTTCAACTAATCACATACAACAACGTGGCACCCATGTCAGCAGCATCTGCTCTTTTTTTAAAAATATTATCTATAATACGTTGAATTTGAATTGACATCCTGATTGATATGATATCGTTCAACTTTCAATAATATTATAAAATAAACATTATTCGAAAAATAAAAACCGTTTTCATCAAAATGACTAAAATGAATATTAATGTCAACAATGGTAACAATTAAACTGTGAAGATTGACATGGCATACCCCGAGCAGTCTAATAATGATTATAACATATAAATGTGCCTAATACAAATTACCCACACGATTTTTCTCAGTAGAGCCCAGTATTCATATAAATTTAAATTAAATAAATAAAAATACGCAATACACTTTCGCTTATCTATTCCGCCGTGGAAATTTTAAATTGCTAGTATATCTAATAACGATTTATACAAATAAATTGATAAAATGCATTATATATAATATAGCCAATAGATCACACTATCTAAACGATATTTAACAATGTCAAATTTCTTTTTAAATTTCGTTTATCAATAATTAATCGCCTAATTTTATGTGACACAACTTACCTACGTACCACACAGAACCCTACGGCTAACTAATCTATAATCGCACCACAAATATTTGTATTGCTCATTTCAAAATATTTAATTTAAACTTTAAACTTTTAAAGAAGTTTTCATTCTTCACTTATTATTTAACCAAAGTGTGTATCTGAAAACAAATGCTAATAGGCATACGCGTCGAACATCATCAACAATGTGACACAGTTGGGTATTTGGAATTGATGACGCAGATTTAGAATGCGCTGGTAAAAGTTAATATTTATTTAAACATTATTTTATTTTTATTTTTTTCTTATTAGTACCTTCATTTAAAAATAACTCATTATTTTAACCTATACTTATTAATATATCATGTATTTTAATTATGTATTTAAAAAAATATATATAATACATAACCTAACCTAACCTATCCTCTACATTCGGTAAACCATTCATATTGATTTGGGGAGGAAGAGGGTAGGTTAAGTATACAACTTAAGATGAACCTAGTGTTAAATTTTCGCTGGGCAACAAATATTTATATTCATATAAAATCAAATAAAACTAAAAACACATCACAAATTTTAAATAACTATAAATAACTTTAAAATCTTGCCATGTCCAGAAAAGGCTAATATAAGACTAAATATTATGTGGAAATTTCAGGTCTCCATAAAACCGTAGTATAGAATGGTTTTTTCTTGTATTAAATGTAAACACTAATTTTCATTGTTATAAATGGTTTTGACCCCACTCAAAAAAAAAAATTGTAAGGTCTGAGTCTGCTACTGTTAACCATCATATACATAATTATTGATACATATATACTCTCTCATTTTAAACCTACTAAACAGTGTATAAAACTGTATAACAGCCTATTTTAAAAACCATTAACAAATATTAAAACTTAAATATATGTTTATTTATCAATTATTTATTATCAGATTATATTGCTAAACCTATAATTATATAGTACTCATTATACTTTTATAATCCTAAACTAATTATAATATATCGTGCCACTGTTGGTTAGTTATATGCATTTATTTTACAATTTTATTGTTATAACATGAATTACCTATTTAGTTTATTTATAGTGTCCGGGGAAAGAGGGGGGAAGGTGTTAGTAGACGAAATCCCTGAATAATTTATCTGGAGCTGCGGTGAGATTGAGACAATGTTTTCCTAAACTAAAACCAGCGTCAATCTTAATTTTTCTCCAATTCGAGAACACTGTTTACAAGTGTTTTACGAGTAGATTTAAAATTGTTCGACAGAAACAGTATTTTCCTGTGGTAGTAGAATAAAATATTATCCACTAAAGACACCAGCAGGTTATGATTCAGGGTAGAGGACAACCCCACTTTCCATTAGAAAACAAAAACATTAAATCTTTTTTTTCTAGTTAAAAAAATATAGTACCGTGGAGTTATAAATAAAAGAGCTATACATGGGGGAACGGTAAAAATATTCGAATTCGAAAACAAAAATATCCTATAGGTACGCATAATTTTCCTTTTGGGTAGTTTTCTCGGATTCCACATGTACTTATTGAACACGTATATCCTATAATGGATTTTAGCCTTTTAGGTATTTCAAATCTTAATTTTCAAGAGGATTATCTCCTACTATGAGCAACGCTCTTGCAGCCATTTTTAAAACTTTCTCGGTTAGTCAATGGATATATAATACTAGTATTATATAGGTATCTGGTAAATAATCACCGTCAAAAGAAACCGAGTAAGTCCAATCGTCTTCGGACACCCATCGGTACTCTACGTCGTTGTACCGTCGCAATGGGTCATCTTTAAGAACGCCGTTGGCCCACAGGTCGGCGAACACGCCGCCGGGCACACGGGCCGTCCCGCGGACACCTGGAAAAACGCAAGCAACCGTAATGTAAAAACAATAAAACGGGAAATGATGAAAATCTATCGGTAATGTTGGTGGCTGCCACTCACTAGTATTTCTGTTCGAGAATAGCCAGCCGGATGAATCCAACGGTAGTACGAACAGTGTGCCGTCGACAGCTGCTGAGAACCGAACCGCCAACAGCAAACCGAACAAAGACAACGGTATAATCATAGTTCCCAAACGGCCTACCAAGTATCAGGTATGCCTGCAAAAGTTGTACTAACTCGGCGACTCACGTCTCTACGGTGTAGGTACACTACAGTACAACATACCGTGATAAAATTGTTACGATGGCCTAGTGGAGGCATACCTACTAAGTATACACACGTACCGTAACGCTAGTACGGTCGCACCAACTCGATACTATAATAATATTAATAACGTGTTATATATCGGGTATAATCGATAACAAAATCATACATTTTGTCATCTATACAATGCAATTCTCGTTGTTCCGTGCTTTTAGTTAAGTACAGTAAGTACATAATATTAAATTATTTTGTGTGCGTTTTGTTTCGTATACCTATATTAATATATTGTATGTGTATACGCGCGCTGCATTATTATATTGTGTGTTGCGTACGTGACGTCGTGACGGAATACGCATGCTCCCCGCTCCGGACGAACACCGTTCCCCTGACCTGCACCCCCCCACATCAAAACCGATGGATGACGAGAGGCGTGCCGCGCGGTGTCTCTCCGCTCTCGGCAAATACAATAATATAATAACCCGAACGGTTCGGTCGCGGCAGTCGAAGTTTGACTGCTTTGGCTTCTGGACGTGTGTCCGTCTCTGTGTTTCCATCCTGAATGGATTATATTCTGTGAATTCCATACACAACGTGTATTATATTCGTGCGTTCGAGTCAATCCGGGACTATCGAAAAAATTTTTAGTCGTTGAATTTGGCAAACGTGACACGACAACGACAATGGCAGACGACAAAAATGGCGGCGGTACTGCTGTCGTACGGACGCCCAACAGCGATACCTGCGGAATGATCGTCAACCACGGTGCCGACGGCTGGGCGGCGGCAGCAGGAGCAGCAACGTTACCGCCGCAAGCAGCAGTACCAGCGAACGCCGCCGTTTTCGGAGCTCCGATAATTCACCCAGCGCCCCCTTACGGCACTTTGAACAACAACAATAACAATCCGGTCATCAAAGAACAGCAGCAGCAATTGAAACCGCTGAAGGTATGAATACGAATTCTTGCGCGCGCACCCGTCAAAAGTCAAAATGTTGCGCAATGTCGTAAGTCGTCGCGATTCCCCGCCTCTCACTACCAACTCGCTCTTCGATTTTAAAACTGGAATTTTTCATTTACGGTATAGGTATAGCCCGTTTTTTCCCGGCCGATTTTCACTTAATAATAATTTATGTAATCAATTGGGAGGTTTATTTCATAATACATTAATACAGCGCATAATTGTATCGAAAACCTTGATTACATAAAGTAAAAGTTCAAAATAACTGGCTCTGTAACAAATTGGTTTTCAATCACCATTAAGTATTTGAACAGTTGCATGTTTTCCTCAAAATCAATTTTGGAATATAAATCCAATTATCTATTCTTAGTAGTAATCTGTCATTAAAGGTGCCATTTTTTTTAATTATTTTGCTTTTATTGAACCTATAATAAAATAATGACTATAATATATTTATGAATACTATTGGGACCTACTCTGCATATAAATAATAATTTAGTATTATAATTTAATACAGGTCCACATAACACATACTATGTACCTGGTATCTATACAAAATGTATACCACCTATATTTTATATTTTCCTTTCACTCAAAAATTTAGAACTAGCCTTTAAAATTGTACTGCAATATGGTATAAAATAAATACCTTGTTAAATAATTATATGTTCTATCTGAATTATATTGAAATTTGTAGTTAAAACTATTTAATAACACAAAACTGATGCTTCATTTACTATAATAGAATGCAATATGCCAAGGACAACTAGGTACCTATCTATTAAACAATTTTAACTCTTCAATTGTTTTTGATTCCAGTACTGCAGTGCATGTTATTAACTTAAATTGATTTAATGACCAATAATTCTTAATATAATTTTTAAAATTCCTAAAAAAAAACAGACGCCACTATGTATAGGATCCAAAATCTTATACAAGCTAAGAGTCTGCATTTTACAACACTTATGATTAAGGCATATGTAACTAGTTAATTAAAATATTGTTAGGTACCTATGTAAATAGGTTACAAGCAGGGCTTGGATTATTTCTAATTATAGGATACAGTATGAGCTATACCTTTATTTGTTTTTATGTATCAAGGATTCCAAATAAATTATTTTATTTGGCATATTTAAAGCATTAACTATAACTTATGATTTATTTTTCTGTTTTTCATAATTATCATTTTAATTTTATACTTTTTTCACACATAATTTTAAATAGTTACATTCATTTGACGTCCCTATTCAAATTCATTTTATTAATTATGTGTAAATGTATAATTCACTAATTTAAAACAACTAAAAATTTAGTAGTACAACTAAATGATAATAAAAAATAAAGGTTTCTATTTGTTTTGTTTTTAGTGCTATAAAATCCAAGCCCTGGATTATAAGTAATGTAATTAATATTCGATGAATACAAAATATAATTTGATATTATGTAAAATAATCATATGTATAATAATAATAATAATGTATTATCTGTTTATTTGTATAATAGACATGCGAAGTTATACAATCTCCTTATAAATACCTATTTGTAAATAATTAATTTAGTTCAGTCTAGTTGATTTTTATAAATATGATTTTAGAATAATTGTTTTAAAAAAAAATCTTTATACCTTATACCCAACTATTTAAAATGTCTTTTGTTTTATAATAAAACTAATAAAATATTTTTTAGGGACCTGGTAATGTAGAGCACAGAACTAAACGTCCACGCCGTGGTAAACGTAAAAGTAAAAAAGTTATGCCATACATGAAAGACAGGATGATGATTCGTTACAAAGCTGTGGCTCCCAACAACACTAATCAATTTTTAATGGAAGATCATAATGATGGACCAGATATAGATAAAAAAATATCTGCGCGATATAATAATGAAAATGGACGGACAAGAAATTCAAGCTTGACCAGCTTAGAGTCCGATGGAGAACCTGTATATTCTTCATCAGATGAAGATGGCACTTCAATACAGAAAGAATTCATTGATACTTATAGACTTGTCCAAGAAGAACAATTGGCTGAATTATCTAAAAACGAACTCACTCAACGAGTAATCGAGCTTGAAGAAAGAGTGCAGTTACTTGAATCTAAAAGGTAATAACAATAGTAAATATTACTGTAAACTAAGTATAATTGACATTTTTTTTTTTTTTTTTTTTTTTTTTTTTTTTTTTTGTAATTTTGTTCCTAAAAATATAATCTTAATATTCTGTTTTTATTAATAATAAAAATTAATTGAGTATAACAGAAAAAACAATTTTAATTATTAATTTCACTATTTTGTGTTTAAATATAGGTATAAAAGAAATGTTATGGCATATTTAAATGGAACATCTAAAGAAGACGATGAAGAATCAATTGACCCCGATCCAGAAGAATATAGATTAATGCAATTGCAGATTAGAGAATTGACAACACAAAACAAATTGCTGCAAACTGAAATTGATACACTCAAACAAGTCCAAACAAGGACGAATAATTCAGACAGCTCTGTAGACAGTGAAAGCTCATCAGACTCTAGTAATAGTTCTTCCAGTTCATCTGATGGACAAGATATTGAAATGAAATTTTTATTACGGAGTAGTGAGAACGATCATGCACCAGAAGATAATTGATTGGCAAAATACCAAAATGATATAAACGCTTTTTCCTTGTAAATATATAAGTATATTTATTTATATATATATATATATATATATGTTTGATTATTATTATATTTTTTTTTAAGAACTTCTGATAATTCTTTTAATTTATGTTAATAATATTAAGTTTTACCCTTTATCAAATTTTTATTGAAAAATGATTCTTTGATTACATTTTTAACTGTATTTTAATTTACCGGTAATTTAAAATTCCGGTAATGATCTCGAGTATGTCAAATAATTTAAGCTGAGATTATTACTTTTTGTTTCACCATTACACAAACCAATTAATATATTTATGAAAATAATTTTAATTATATAATTCCTAAAGATTCCATTTAATAGATAAATTTTGAACTTTAAAAAAAAAATAAAATTGTTTATTTGAAAAACTGACAATGTCTTGTACAGGGATGGTGATGTTACCACTTGTGCGATATACCTATGTGTTGTAATGTGTTTTTTTTTTTTTTTTTTTGATTGGATTGTAAGAGAAAACAGTTAAAATAAATTTTTTACTGAACTGTTTAATCATGTCATTAAACTAATTGGCTTTTTTATTTTAAAAATATTAGGTTTATTTAATTTCTTTAAATTATACTAATTTAAATATTACAAACTATTTTTAAAATTAAAAAATATTAACCTATGCAAAAGAAATAAGAATACCTTTGAATAAAACAATTTAAATATGGCTGACATTGGTATAAGAAGAAAATGATTTAAATAAAACATTAAAGTTTTTTAAAACAAACTATGGAAATTTTAACAAATGTATACAAAATTGGAAAAAAAAATAACTGGCCTTCAGTAAAAAAAAAATAAAATAATAATAATAAATAATACTACTAATCAATAACTTCAAGATGAATCTTTACGAGGATCAACCATTAAATACCAATATTTGCATAGTATGTCATCTTTTAACTGTTCTTCTTCAATAGTATTTTCCATCTTCATCATTGAAACAAAACAAAATTCTAAAAAATGTCTAGTTTTCACATAGCTAACAACCAATCTCTTTAATAATTCAGTCATTTCCACTAAAGTATCTGTAAATAAATAATTATTTATTAATATAGACTATATTAATTTTTAGTTACAAATTACATAAAACAAACAATAAACAATTAAAATGTTACATGATAAATTGGTGAGTAACAAACATTTATTTAAACAAATTTAACATTCTTTGATTTAAAAATTTATTGAAAGAATATAATCTATTATATTTTTATAATTTATAGACTTCAGGTCCAGATATTTTAAAAATAGTGACTAGATTTAATTAAGAGACATTTATTAAGTTATAATTTTGATAATTGTATACATTTCTTTGAAACATAAAAGGGTATTTTAAATGTTTCTTGTTATTTTACTTATCAATATTCCTTATTCAAGTAACCTCTTACAAATTGTAGATAATGTAGAACCCAATACTATAAGAAAGATTATTTTTCCGCCTAAAAATAAAAATACTAGACAGAAAAATATATAATTTATTATTAAAAATTTAATGTCACAGTATATATTTTAATACAATTCTTTAATCAAAAATAACTATAATATTTTATAAATGTTTCATAGATGCCTTGCAAATAATACTAAACATTAAGATTAAAGAAGAACCATGTTTACAATTATTACTAAATATGTTACTAAAGAAAATCATGCTGTAAATTATGTTATATAAAATATTATGTTTCAGAAAGTTGACCTTGAAGTTTGGCTGCAGCACCTCAAAAACTCAGAAATGTGTGATAAAATGATAACTAACAGTATATGACTACCAGGTAATTTAGTTATGAAGTTTTAAACTAATATTTAGGTAATAAACTAAACATAAGCTAAGTTAGTGTGGAAAAAAAAACCAAACAACAAAATGTACAAAATTAAGTTATGTAATTTTACTACAAATTAAATAAATGTTTACTTACTTTGATAACATGAATATAACTCAAGTACTTTTTTTCATAAAGAGAGATCAACAGTGGAACAACATTCATTAATTTTTCAAATAATTGAAAAAAAATATGAGTACAGGCAACATTTGTGGCAGTTGTTTGTTGATTTTTCAGAAATCTTAAGATGTCATACATAGATAGAACCCGCATTATATGATGACTAATTCGGAATTTAAGAATCTTACTTGGGACATTAACAAAAATGTGCATCAAATATCAAATAAAAATGTACTGCACCCTTTCACAGTAGAAATAGGTATTAAATAGGAGACCCACTTTCCCTTTTTCCCTTTACTGTTTAATCTAGCACCGGAGAAGCACTAAAAATATTACAAAGTGAAGTAATAAAAATTAACCAAAATCAAACACACATTTTTGTTTTTGTGGATAATTTGAATATCCTGAAAAAGTAAAGAAAGTTTCAGCCACAACTATTGAAATGTCTGCAGCAAAAAGGTTATAAGAGAAAAGTAAAAAATAGCAAAGGCAAAAATAGTTGTCATTACACTATCAAAATTTTTTAAAATAAAATCTAGAATATTCACAGCAATAATTAGACCTAACCCATTTTTTTAACAGAATTCCACAAGAAATTATCTGGAATGATTTATTTTTATAACTGTTATAAATAAAACCAGTAATCAAAGGTTTTGAGATTAAATAAAAAAATCTATTCAGAGTACCCACCATCCCATTAAGTTGATCTTTTGTTTCTGAAACATCCTGTATAATGCATGAAAGTAATAATACATAGTGAAATAATAAGAATAGAATATAGAACATAATTATGCAAGTAAAATAAAAAATAAATTGTTTTCAACTGGTAATAGGTTGGTCCATAGTATCTAACTTTGTTTTTCATTTCACACAAAATTCAGCGCTTTTTAATTTAAATAATTATAAGGAATAATTCCATTTCAAGAAATAATAATATATATATATATTTTTTGTTTTTAGATTTTTCAATTTATATCTTGAAGTGAAATATTAGAAAAAATGGCTGTAATTGATTTACTAATAGAATATTAAAGAAGCAGTTTACAAAATAATAACAGACAAAAGAATGGGTAAATTACAAAATTGCTCTATTTATATTTTTTATATTGCTGTAAAAGTTACATTATAACTTTCTTAGTAATATTAACAAAGTTAATAACATAAAATATTTTGTTTCAGATCATAATCCAGTAATCCATGGCCTGTGCTGCTTTGTCATTCACCAATTTAATCATTTTCTGTGCAAGTTAATCAAATTTGGAAAAAAGACGTAAAAGGTATTTTAATTGTTTGAGTGTCACACTGAATTCCTAGTTAGTGAAAATTCATCACAGATTGAGTGTTACAAAAAATAAATGACCCGAGACATCTATACAATAAAGATCTAAGAATCACTTCAATCATGTCTAAAATCCAAGAGTTTTCATATCAATATAAAGACCCCAAAAATGAAAGTATTAGCAAACATAATGAATGGCAAGAGCTTAATATTGGAAATAAGGAAGAACTGCCAAATGGATGAGACTAGAACTTGATCAATTAATTGGAGAGTACTTAAATGACCAAGTTGGACATTACAAGTCAGCTCTGAAAAAATGAAATATATTGAACTAAAATAAGAAATGAACACTAACTGTAAATATGGTGAGAGTTAAATAATGAATAACATAAAGTAAAAACTAGAAATTTAATTATTCAATTATACCGGGTGATTCCTTTATCTTTACCACTCACTATTTCTGAAAGTAATTACTATTTTTGAAATTTTTTTTTTTTGAAAATGCAAGAAACAAATAATTTTTAAATTTTATATTATCATTATTTTTGTTACCCTTATTTTTGGGATGAAATCACTATCTACTTTTGATTTTAAAATGGTAACTAAATTGAAAATGCCTTAAACAAATATTATTTGTTAAAATAAGTTTTGGTCTAGACGAAATATTCCACTTTTAAGTTTGGGTCAGAGGAGAATGAGTAGTGAATTATTAAAATGCTGTACTGCCATACAAATGACGCTCCACTACTCTCCCCCGATCTAAACTTAAAAGTTGAATATCTCGCAAAATAGATGGACAAAAATTTAAATTGTCAACATCAAAATTTATTTTGACTAAGAATCCATGTATCTAATCATAGGATTTTTAATATAGGTTGCTCTTTGAAATACAAAAGTAGGTAATTGTTTCACCTCCTAAAAATTAGGGGGACAAAAATAATGTAAATGTAAAATTTTAGAGTTGCTTGTTTCTTAAAATTTCTCTAAAACAAATTCCGAAAAATATTAATACTTTCCGAGATCATGAGTGTTTAACAATAAAATAATTATCTGGTATATTGTAGTGAAACCAGTCAAGTACAGTGAAACTTCCATATAATGATCACTGAAGGGACCGCAAATAATGACAGTCTTTTAAAGGTGACCTTTAACGAAAGTTTAACTGAACTTAGAAAAATGTTAATTAAAAATATTATTTTATGTTCAAAAAAATTTGTGTGTATTATTTCTCTCTTAACCGTATTTTTGGTGAAAACACTCCTTCCATTCAAACTAATAATCAGAACGAGGATTTGTGAAATAAGAAAATATGTGTTATTTTTTTCAAATATGCAAAAATATACGTTTTAATATTTAAAAATACACACACTAATATAGTTATATAAAAAAATTTGATTAACTGTGATAATATAATACAATTTACAACAAATAATTTTAATTATTTATTTATTTTTCATTCATATTTATATTTTGTTTAAAATTAAATTAGTAGTTATAGTTTTTTTATTTATAATCAAATTTTGATGAAAATCATAAAACATGAATAGTCAAAATTCGCTCAGAATTGTATTTTGATAACAATAGTTTATCGTTATTTACAGATATAATGTTTCCTAACTTCCCACCTCCAAAAATGGCACATCTATCAGCAATATCAGTTTTTTTTTTTTAATTTTAATTTATTCCTCAACTTATAATTATTTTCTCCATTCTTTTTTAAAAGTTTTTGTACCCATATAGAAATTTAGGGAAACTTTAAGTGAAATAAAAATACATTACCAAAACTAATAAATGAACTACCATTTAAAAAAATTATGTTTCCAGGTTCTAGCGAATCATTTATACATAATGTACATTGTATTTCCACATTTTGTGGGTTTTGGTGAGAATACTATTTACTATGTGTTGTACTATTAAAATATAAAAATATACTTTTTAAATATGGGTAAAACACAAAATATATATATTATCAATATTGTATCCAAAAATATTTTAGAACTACTATTAATATATACCTAATATTTACAATGGCGCAATTCACAGGTGTTCTTGGTTTTTTGGGCGATTCAAAATCTCATGTACTATAATCTATAATATAAATTAGACCCTTGTCCCGTATTTAACATTTAATTAATTAATTAATAAAATAATTAATTTTTGTTTAAATGTATAAACAAAATTGTAGGTTATTCACTCAATAATAGAATATTTAATATGTTAAATTTAAAATTTAAAAACATAGCATTGTCTATATTATTACTACATGATGACAGTTGTGGCAGAGGCCTTTCTTAAAATTAAATTAAATTACCTGCAAGACTCAATTGAATGTAAACAATAACAGTTAATTTCTTCTAAATTTTAATATTTTTATTTCCATTATTATTTTTTTAAATAAAGTATTCAAAATAGATGCATGTGTCTAAAAATATGTTCATTTTTTATAAAACTATAAATAACGGGATGAATTCAGAATCCTGATGATTAATAAAGTTCAGACAGATACCACTATACTCTATTCAAAATAAGAGCACACCCAGCCAGAGACTTAAAACATGATAGTATGGCGTACAGTTAGCAATACCAATTCAACAGTGGGGGTTCAGCTGGTCTAACATTGTGCAAATGTTTAATTGTGCTTACACAAACCGGTGGGCTCTTATTCTTAATAGAGTATAAATTAATTTTACACCATAGAGTAGACATTCACATCACGACTCACGAGTATTAGTTCTAATCAAATATTCTAAAAGAGAATATGAGACTAACAAAATATTGCAGTCCAATTAAAAATGTGTATCTACCTTCTCAATGTTTGTTATCAAAAGATCCTTATTATCTTTAAGAGTTCTAAAATGTTGGTAGCTATTAATAGGCACTATTATAATTATCGAAAGAGTAAATTGTTTGTTATTAATGCAAACTAAATGATTATCAATAAAATGATAAATTTAGTTTCCTATTATATTAACAATGTCTAAATTCTATTAATTCTATTAATGATTATTATTACCCCTATTAATAATAGTAAAAATAAAAACTTTATTTTTTGTTAAATGGCCTATACGCAATCCCTTAAATATTGAGTATGTGACGTCCTAAATGTCAGAATTTTGAATAATTCATTTTTTAACTATGTTGTACTCATATACCTGTTCATTTTATTAGAAAATAAGATCCTAAGTTGGTAAATTTTAACTGTACCATACACCCGGATTAAATGCACAAGAGTGCAGCAGAAAAGAGACTTAATTGACAACCTAATAAAAATCACGGACAATTGCAAAATAAATCAAAGAGTTCTTCTTAATGCCTTGCAACAAATAAAATCAATATAAGGGCTACAATCAAGTCTACTATTTAATTTAAAACCAAGGTCTATAGCACTATCAGAGACAAACATAATAACGATATTGTTAGGATCATGAGCGAAAAAGATAGATAAACAAATCCTTGGGAAAAACATAACCTTGCATTTAGAGATTGAAAGACAGCCCTAATTTTATAAAACATTCAAATTGAAGTTATCAAATAAACATGTTCAAAATGCTTAATGTCATCGGCAAAACAAAGTAGACGAAAACTACTTAATAGTTTTAGCTGCTTTATGAAATTTACAACTTAATTTTTTTTTTTTTGATAATCGTAAAATAACAACAGAAAGCTAAATCTTTAAACTTTAAAGTAATAATAAGTAGTACAATAATTAAAAACTTAACTTACTAGTAGGTGACAAATCATACAATTTTGGATTAGTACTCATTTTTTGTAACAGATTTTTCCATGATTCTAGTGTTTCCATAAACATTTCAAAAATAGATGCATGTCGATTGGATAATACGTGTTTTAACAAAACCATAGTTTGTGAAGCCTAAAATAAATTTTAATATTTTCATGTCATAACTGTATACATTTATACTTAAAATGATAATAACAATTTGATACTTAATTATTATTATGCATAATATAATTCATGAATAACAATACATTACTAACCATTAAATAGTCATCTCTAATTATAAGATAAAATCTTTCAGTTTCTGTTATAGTTTGTCCAAATCCCATCATTCGATTACAAGTATCTAATACTCCTAAATCAACCTTCTCCATATAATTTTCGTAATATAGCCACATGTGTAAGTAAATCTGTTTTATTTCAAATCGAAGCTCACAAGAATGTTCATTAATTAAACAAAGATTCCATTTTGTGTCTATTTTTATTGTTCTGAAATAATTAATTGTAATTTATCTAAAGTGTATAAAATTAAACAAATTATGAAGTTGTACTATTATGTTATTCCAATAATATTTATGTATAAAAAGAAACTAGAAAGTTGTTTCCTAATATGTAATAATAATTAATAATGATTTACGAATATTTACTTAAAACATGTTTTGTAAAATGGTAAAATTTCTGGTGATTTTTTTAATGATACATTTTTTAACGTTTGTCCTTGAATTGACTCTGGTTTCTGTTGTATAGCTGTTATCTTTAAAAAATCCAAAAATTTAAATTTATTATTTTTATATTAATATATATTCAGATTGTATTATTTGTATATAAATAAATATTCTTCATTAGGTAATAGGTATTTATGAATAGTAGGTTCAAATTATAATAACCTGAGTCTGTTTGTTTTCTAAAAAATTACTAAGTACAATAGTTTCATTACTCATCTTCATCAATTGCTCATAATATAATATTTGCTCTTCATTTGGCAGCCCAAATTCAGGAACTATTTAAAATATTAAAACACAAAAAAAAAACACTGTTAATACATGAACACAACAAATATTTATTTAAAATTTCAAATTCTGATATTAAGTACTGAATTTATAAAAACCTATTGTTTTTAAATATATTTTCTAACTTTATTTATTTATCTGTAATAAATATTATGAAGACATTGTACCCGCATACGTAGTCTCAGTCCAACTAATGGGCAATATAACAAAATCTACCTTATACACACTCCGTAGAGAACTTGCTTAATTTTGGTTTTAGAGTAAAAGCACTTATTAAAAAATTCAAAGAGGACAATAATCCGAAATGCAAGCCTATACATTTCTTTTTTAAAATGTTAAAGTCACTTAAAAATGATGAATTAGTATTTATTTCTAAAAAAATGTATGGAGTATTATATTCGGAATAATAGGTGATTTTACACTAAAATCAAAAATAAGTGAGTTCTACACAGTCTGTGTAATGCAGATTTTGCTTTGCAGTGGATTCCACCTAAAGTGGAAACCGGTTAATATGGGAAGCCACTTATTATGTTTAAAATAGTCTTGTCCCAATTTCAATGTATACTAACAAGGTTAAAAAATAATGCAAAATAAGGACACTCTGTTCGGTTTATGTGGGCAATTTTTATTGCTCAAAGAAGAATAGACAGAATAAAAACATTTTATTTCCAAGTTTTTTTTAACTAATTTCTAATTTAATAACTAATTTTAAATAAAAAAAGGGCAGCGTTTTAATAGTGTTCTACCTCACTAAACTTAAAAATAGAATATTTCGTCAATTATTTGATAGAAATTAGAAATGTTAACATTCAAATTTATTTAAACTAATACTATGTCTATGTAAGGCATTTGTAATATGGGTTGCCATTTAAATATCAAAAGAAGGTAGTAGATTCACAACCTAAAATAAGGGAGACAAAAAATGACCGTGATGCAGCATTTTAGGGGTATTTGTGAAATGATCAAATAAACAAATTCCGTAAAACATGTTAATATTTTCCGAGATAACGAGTCTTATATTACATTGATCACTTTATATACATATATGTATATTAGGAAGGCATTTAGTCTTATATTTTTTTTTATTTTTTTTTGATCTTTTGGTAATTGGTTAAGTTTAACCCATGCCTTTCAGATCTTAAAGTTCCACAATGTGTTTTTACTGAAAAAACAATATTTGTTTAGTTTTTGAATTATTTTAATCATTTTTTATGAAAACATATATATATATAATACTTATAGAACATTAAATTTACTGAAATATTTGATTATGAAGCATACAAATTCAAAAATAAAATCATTAAGACTAGGTATATTTATTTCAAATAAATTAATATAATATATATCATGTATTTATAAGATAGTTTTGGAAATTTACTTCTTTGCTTTATTTATTATATAAAATAATCTTACTTTAATTTAATGGCAATTTAATGGAGTCTAACTAATACAAGTCCAGATATTCAAATTTTCAAGTTTTCAATTTTGCCCAAAACTTAATGTCATTAATTTTAACACTGTATTAGAAAATATTTTAGTGAGTGAAAAATTAAATAGTATTAATAATTATATGTTAGTTTAATATATGGATCAATTACGAAAATCTCATAACAGAGACGACTATAGAGAATTATTAAAATTACCTGTAATATTTCTCAGTGGTACTCCTAATCGTGATATATCTTTGCAATACCCTGGAGCAATGCATCATGCCTATTGGATGTCAAAGGCCATATATTCATTAATGTGCATTTCCATGACAACAATAATTGTTTAAAAAAGATTTAAAATAATAAAAACTAAATAATAACAAAAAATAAATAAAAGTAGTTGCCAATGGCAATCTTATTTTAGTTAACCTAAGAACCAGGTTTTCCTCATATCTTGAATATTAATGAGTAAAGTACCACCCAGAGAACATTTCCTTTCAGAAAAGGTGTTATATTTGATAATTGGTGTATACTTTTTGGTAGTGTTCACATAAAAATAAAAATAAAAAAATAAACATCATTATAAAACCAATACACTCCTCACTCTACTTATACTTTTTGAAAAGTATAGGAAATCAAAAAATAGAAAAAAATATTTCTCTACCTACATAAAAAAAAAAATTAAGTAGTCATTTATGGTACTTAGAACATGAAACAGCAACATTGGCATTTGTGTATAATAATATTTGAAACTAAAATTAAAATAGAAAAAACAATAAAATTAAATAACTAATTCTGAAATTAATAAAAGAATCAATATTTTTCTTAATGAAATAATACAAATCGTCTTTATTTCCTTTGCCTACATACCAACTATTTGGGATCGGCTATTCTCATTCTAACTTCCAATTTCTCAACAAAAAAAATAGTAACAGCAATAAGTTGGCTGAGAAAAAATTTGACTTTAATGACAAAGCTCTGTTGCTCATTGGTTTTTTAATAGATATAGTAGATTACAAATTTATTAACTCACCATCTATGGGATAACTAATGTTCAGAACATTTCTTCTCGGATCATACTTTTCAGGTTGCTTGCAGAAAGAAGGATTTCTATTGCTATGCAACTCAACTCCTCTATGAAAAATAAATAAAATTAAAAAACAATTTAAATTTAATTCCAAAATCAATTATTGTAGGTACATTAACAGATTAATGCATAAGTATATTATTCAAAGATGTATAGTATAAAATTAGTGGTTTTTAAATATTAACTAAACATAAAAAAAATATACATATTATTACAATATCTTAAGCAAGGGTTGGTAATTATGTATCAAAGTAATTTAGAAAAAAATGTACACAACATTTGTAATAAAATACAAAATATTGATTATAACTAAAACTAAAGATTTTAATATAATATGCATATGGGTAACAATATGTAATACAATATGCTGTTCAAATGGTGATAAATAGTTCCTGATATATATATTATCGTTTTAATAACTTGGTATTCAAGATTGATATTAAAATTTAAAACACAAATAGATATTAAAATCAATTAATTCATGTAAAGTTCAAAATAGGTACTAAATGAAATGGAAATATATTAATATATTTTTTTAAATTATATTTTACTGTCTTAAATTTAAAAAAAAAAAAAGTTAATACTTTTATTCTCCCTTATTAGGCAACTTTTTTTCGTGTACCTCCTATTCGTGTGCATTAGCTATTTATATAACTATTTGAAATAACTTTTAAATCAAATTGTTTAGTAGAGCGGTTCCCACCTTTATAGCCGACTGTGCCCTTCTGGGAATATCATGAGGAACATGAAAAAAATGAACACTAGTTTTCATTGATAACCGATTTAAATCATTTTATTTAACATATATTATTTTAATGAACATTATAAAATTATAATTTAAAATAAAAAGTAAAAATTGAATGTGAAAAACTAATCACCAGTATTAGGGACTTATAGCATTTAAAATTCACAAAAAAACTTTGAAAAATTTACTTCAAACAAATATTATTAGAGTTAATGATAGAAGGGTTTAAATGTCCTCCCTATATCGGCTTTAACTCATTAAATACCATTTTCTAACGCTATACAAATTATTTACCTGATGTTATTTTTTTTTATAATACATACAATTTTATTTAAACAAAATACATTTTTAATAATAATTAACGTCGTGTTAAAAAAGTATATTTAATAATTTAGAGCCATTAGACAGGGAACATCTAAACTTTCTACCATTTGATCTAATATTTTGTTGAAGTACTTTTTTTTTAGGTTTTTGTGCTTTTTTGTGAATTCTAAGTGCTGTAAGTCCCGAATAATGCTTATAACTAATGGATTCAAATTTAGCCAAAATTCAACGTAAAAATTTCTGCTGAAGGTGGTTTTCAATGCTGAATCTGAAGTAATATCAGCCAAACTCTCATATTTAAATTTAAAAGAATTATTATTAGTATTATAATAATGTTATACCAAAGCCTTATTATGCATGTCACTAATTTGTTAAAACGTGTTAATCTAATGTCAACTATTAAGAAAAAATAAATATGTACCGAGAATATGCGTAAGCAGGCAAACCTTCTCTTAAATTTCTTCTCCTGGTATCTTTATCATTTGATTTGAACATTTTCTGTAATCATATAAATAATAGATATTTATTACTATATAGTACAAAATATAGAACTATATGAATCGCAAATCATTTACAAAAATAATATTTTTAAGGATTTATTCGTTTTGTTACATCTTATACTACAGTATAATAATAAAAACAAAAATACATAAATTATTAATAATAATTTGGTACTTAACAGCACGCGTAAACCAAGGACAGAATTCTCGATGTATACTCACAGTCACAGGAAAACAACAGAAGTACCTATAATATATTATAGTACCTATACTATAATAATTGTATACTAATAAAATAAAAATAAGTCAAATAAAGCTTTAACTGAACCAACCTCTAAATATTTTAAACTAATTAATTGTGTCCAATCTAGTCCGCGATTTGCGATTATTCATGTAGAGCATAACAGTTATACCAATCGATTTCAAAGATATCTCAAAATCCTATTTTTATTCAAATAATTGTTTTGATTTAATAATATCAACAATATATCTAATTATAACATTTATGTTATAATCATAATAAATAATAATTACTTATCACTAAAAGCCCAACCGAAATTTTTTTTTTTTTTTTGGAAAAATATTTTCTACAAAAGTAAATAGATTAACAACTATATTATAAATTATCATACATTTATTAGTATTAAATATACATCAAGTACTCAGAAATGTATTTATATTTTTGGCACTCGGGGAAAATGTTCTTTTAACGCCCTTTCGTAAAAACAAATTTTTACAAAACTGGTATTTCGAGCTGTACCTTTATAATCTTTGCAACATTTGTGCTCTATAATTCTAAAACAAGTATTTTAGACCCTGTTTAGTGAGTGTATTTAAACTATGAAATAGGGTTAATGTTAAAAAGGACTGACATACTGCGCACGATGGATGAAATGTTGATAAGGTAGGATATAGAGGGGAATTTAATGTATATCTGTACATCTAGACCATTAGTTATAACTTTTATGTTCTGGATCATGATTGAAATAATCGAAATATTTCAATTGTGATCTGGACGGAACATTCACTTCGAGGACTGAATATTTATATATATATATATATATATATATATCTACCTTGGTCCGAACCATAGACATAATGGTATTAATTATTTTTTATAATCTGTGGTAATATAGAGGTGACACCACGATGTAGAAAAGATATCTTCAAACACCAGCACATCACCGCAGTTAATTTCGCCGTGAAGTGTTTTTTTCGTTTGAAACTTAGCGTCGTGCCTTAGTTATTTTTCACCGTTCGCTAGTGTGATCTTCACCATTATACATAGGGCTATTAGGGACACTTCATATTAAAAGTACCACCTTCTGATTTTTAGATCAAGTATATCCCCACGGGATTTAGTGATAGGAGAGTGGTTTTAACACCAAAACATTTGGCTTCGTACCCCACATATGTCCCCTTCATAGTTTGATACTGTAAAATCTCTTCGAAATAAACTAGCTTGGAATTGGCTCGATCACCACCAATCTTTAGAAACGGTTCCTGGATTACCTATTAACTACCTTTATAAAACTTCGTGTCAATCGGAATGGATCGAAAAAAGGAATTTTGTTCCAAAGTAGTTGGTGGGTCATTAATATTTAACGAAGTTACCCTCCCCCTTAATTTTAGTAAAATATACAAGAATAAAAAATAAAATTATATACAGTAGTACAAAGTGTCTCGTTGCAAGATAATTTCTGATACCAAAACTAACATAACGCGTACACGGACAGTTGTTAATATTACTAAAAAGCTGCGCGCCCTTCTCCAACAAGGTTAGGTTCTAAATCCTGAATTCACTAAATCCCGTCGAGAAATACTTGATCCAAAAATCAGAAGGGACATACTTTTAATATGAAGTACCCCTAATAGCCGTACGATGAAAAATAACCAAGCCACGGCGCTACGTTGGCGACGAAATGCATGGCTGCGATGTATATCAGATCCAGATATCTTCTCTACATCGTGAGTGACATATTACGGTAAGGAGGCATTCCACTGACACCGTGTAATATCTAACGATATTTTACCAGGTTACCACAATATGTGATTTCCTAACCAAATTGACCCTTTGATAAAAAAAACAAAGGTTGATGGCGGACATAGATATATAAAACATTGTTTTATACGTCTGTAATGACGGAATACTGATTAATTCGAAATACAAATCTAAAAATAATAAGTATATTTTATTATTATTGAATATTCACTAATCACTACTCAACCATGTCCAAACGAAAATATGATTTAGATATGGAAATGTATCATGAGCAATTAAAATTGCATAAAAGAAAAATGTATAAATCCACCTTGAAAATAATAATAAAACTATTTTATCACGAGTAGCAAAATGGCCAAAATGAGAAATTTCCATGGAATTATATTATTAATAACCACACGACTAATAATTGATATTTTTAACTTGATGGTAACGTCTGTTATCGTAGTACCTAAATTACGGTTACGGTATTACTCATCCAATCTAGGTCTATGGTCTACACGGCACTTCTATATTACAACAGATTATAATTGTGTTTCATATAATTTGTGATATTACCTTAGATTAAAGAGAAGCGTTTAAATCTTTGAGTAATATAGAGATGCCATTCGATTTTAAGTTGAGACGAAAAAAGTCTACTTCCAGTCTGACCAGATAATAAAGAACATAACTATTGTTTAATTTTATCTTCTACAAAATAACAATAACATATTAACGTATAAGGTATTTGTTTAATATATTTTGTAAATTTATGATGATTAAAGAAAAAAAAAAGTTACATTTATACATATGAAGCGTAATATTTTTTTCTTTAGATTTACTATTACGCGTTACTTCGCAAATACCATAGACGAGTGATGAGGAAAGTGCGGACTATTTATTAATATGTCTATGGCTCTTCCACAAACAATACAACTCGCCATTATAATTTTAATTAATCAAATTAATTATTAATTATTACGGATGTTTCATTAGCAATATTAAGTTATTAAGCTTACTAAGTCTAAGTCTACTTACTAAATCCAGTCTAGATCTTGTCTTTCTCAAATATTAAAAAAAAAATAAGTTATGAATATTTTAAGGCAATTTCCTATATTCTAACAACAGTTTTACAAGTTCGAAATAAATACTGTATGTCCATTTTGCATTGCTTTCAATAGGTGTTTTAATGTTTGCACACATTTTTCTGCTAACCTATTAGTAGCTGAATAGTAACTGAATAGTTTCTGTATGGTGCAGTGAGTTTGTGTTCTAAGAAATATAAGAAATCATGTGCACAAAAATGTGGCCCATTACCAAAATGAGCATATAGTAATTATTTTATTTGAAGTTATTTGTTTCATGGAACATACTTTTGACCATCTTGCATCAATTATTACTACATAATACACAGCCCAGTGTCTACATAGATTCTCTCTAAAGGCTCTGTTTGTGTAATATATAATTCATATTTCATATGTAATATATTTACATTATTAACTGTAATAATGTAAACTATTAATTTTTATATTCAATAAATTAAAAAATATCAATGATCACAATAAAATATTAACAAATAAATTTAAACTAGTGTACTATAATATCACATAAATCATATCAGTTTTAGCTAATATTAAAATTGCATTGATTTAAAATATATAATTCTCAGAAATTCTTAAAACAAAATATTCAAAATAAATTATAATTTTATAAATAATACTAAACGCATAATATTTATGTAAAAATTAGTATCTATTTATGTCTGTATATAACCACTAAATACACATTTAGAAAAATTGACTTCGATAGAAAAAATGGTAGATAATTCAATAGTCAATAACTCATGCAAACTAACATCATCGTGTTTGTAAATCCATTTTGTACCATCAAAATCATATCGTTTGGGTCCACTTTTTGGAGAACTTAACCAAATTTGTTTATTTGGTGTTTGTCGATTAATAACATAAGTACCATAAGGTGGACCTAATTGCAGAGTTAATACACCATCCTATAAAATAAAAATATTAATTTAACTAAATATAATACAATTTAACACACTTACACTGAATGTAATATCAGGGTTATCCAGTTGAGGACTATTTTCAACAATTTCTTCAAAATATTCACATAATGATTCTAACGTTTCATTACAAGCATGCATAAATTCTATTTCATTTCTAAAAGAAAAAATAAAACACTTAAGAGAAATATTCTAATAAATATTCAGTATAAGTACTAGTACTGATTATTCAATGCAGAAAAATGTTTAAGGAGATACGACTGCCTTATGTCTTGATGTTTGAATTTTGTTTCACGTTGAAGAGACTGATTGCTGAAAAGTAATTTATTGTAAGAAATACTGCAGTATTTCTGTTTAGAAAATATTTTAGTAAAAAATTCATTTTTTGACACCAATGATCTAAGTATGATTTTCAAAAACATGTCGAAAATTCGTAATCATAGATAAAACTGTAATTGATAAAAGTCATAGAGTATACACTGATAAAACCACAGATTATAATATCTGAAAATAAGAAATATAATTTGTATATATCTATGGATAATATTATAATTCACTTAAATACCATACGGTGTGCTTAATACCACCATGACTTTAGATAACTATAGTAGACGGTAAAAAAAAACTGTGTCGCTAATAAAATAAACGATTCTTATCATAGACCTTATGCTTAGTATAAGGTATAGACCTTATACTATGGTTCTTATCAGTGCGTGCCTATCTAGATAAACGACACAGTTACCTTACTTTTTAAATCATATACTATAATATATATTATATACTATAGTATATGATCTAAGCTTTACCTACCAATAATGGCTGTTTTAAAATATACACCTTGATTATAATGATTTAATGTGGACATAATAATATAATAATATACCTATTATCAACATTTCCTCAAGTTGATAGTCGCCATTCACAAAAGCCATAGAAGTAGCTTTGATTAAGTATGCCGAATAATTGTTACTGATAATAATCACTGTTAGCCATAAGTGACGGAGGGCTGTAAAACAGTCGAATCGTATTTTAGCCGAAAATATTTGAACCAACTGTATTTAAGCAGAACATAAAATTATCAGAAAACATTTAAGCAGAAAAGTATTTCGGTCAAAAGTGAATCAACGGAACGTATTTCAGCCGAATTCCCGAAACTCTACTAATTATAAACTTGTGCATTTCTTATCATTGTTTTTATCAGAAAATGTCAAGTTAGGAATCTTGGAAGTTTGGACATTGATATTTTGAACAAAAATTTGAAAGAACGTGTAAATTTTGAGTTATAATTACAACACGATTTTAAATAAACCATAAATACTAAAAATACATTTCGAATATTTTCTATGATAAAAATATATATTATTGAATTAATTAGTTTTAATTTATTAAGATATTTATTTTCAATAATTTGTAAGCATTTAAATTATTTAAGTGTATATAAATATCCACATGTTGGATTTATTTTCAAAACAACCAATATATTTTCCATAGGGCATATAGACATTTAATAAAATTATAAAAAAATCTATGATATGTCTATGATATTTTTCAATTAACTACATTGATTAAAAATTTAAAAAATATAGTTACTAGAGGCATGTAGTTAACATGTTTTTCATTTTAAAATAATATGTACGGAATTCGGAAGATCTGACCCTATCTCTTTATTACTGTTGGCTATATTATTTCCAGATAAAATACTATCGGCTCAAATATTTTTTGGCTTAAATACAATTCGGCCGCCATATTTTTCGTATTCGATTTCAAAACACTGGCGCGCTATCAATGCAAAACTCGTGTGAAATCCTCATTGTGCATTTTTTTGTCAAATCGAAAACGCTAATAGTCCATATATTTTTATTTACGATATACATATATATATATATATTATCTAGCCCTAACCGAAAATTGCTATCGGTAGCATTTTTTTCAGTGCTCACTTTTTGTGAACTATACTATAGTACCTAGGTACAAAACTCAAAATAGCCATATCCAAGCGCTATATTTTAGTTCAACCTTTAAATACGAAAAAGTTTCGTATAACATCTATTAAGTATTCGTTGCATATCCTATGTATTCGTGATCTATAGTATAAGTCTATTGGTAAAATACTTAGTAAGTTTATTCAATTATACTCCGATAGTTTTCACCACGGATAATATAGTATCTATATCCGTGGTTTTCACTTATTATTGACGTAGGTATCAAATTAATGCATGAAACAGGCTTGCACCGGTAAAAAACCCACCGGATTTGTAACATTTATGGAATTCGTGACAGATCAATAGAGAAGACGATTATATCTAATCTAAGTATATCTTAAACCGTAATATAGACAAAGCATTTTGATACTAATAATATCATTAGCTAATAAATTTCGGTGACTAGAATTGGCAGTTCGCATTTGAAAATTAAAAATATACCCATTTATGTTATAAGAAGTAGGCGTAAACAATTGAAAATATTAAAATATAGTGATTTATAGATTAAGCTAAAAACAAATTAATTTTATAGATTTTCAATAAAATTTTGTTTTTTTTTTTTAAAATACAATTTGATCAGGAACAAATTAAATACACCTACCCTGTTTATAAGAAAAAAAAATTAATTATAGACAATGTTAAGCTAACCGTAATGTTTTCCAAAGTTTGAATTCAAAAAAATACCTCCATCAGAATTTTTCCCGTAAGAATCAACGTCTACTACAATAAAGGTGTAACAAGGATCAACCAGGGCAAGAAGCACAATTGAATACGTTTTTTTGTAGTTCCAATAGAGAGATCCCGATAATTTTGGAGCTTGTATTACAACGTGTTTGCTATCTGAAGCACCGATACAATTTGGAAACTGCCACCTAGCCCAGAAATCAGTAGCTATAGCGTTCCATTTTTCTTGGTTTGGTACTGGCATCATTTTCATTAATAGAACATCTACGATTATTCTACCGGTATCATGAACAATAGCTGCAACTGTTGACTTTCCCAATCTGTAGTTAAAGGAAATAGTCTTGAAAGTATCTCCAGTAGCAAGAAACCCGAAAAGTACATTTTTATCAAGTAATCTTAAAATAAAATAACTATTGCTGAATGTTTTAGGTGGAATAGAAGAATGTAAAAAAAAAAGTGGTCTTCTGTCAGAGATCAGTTCCGTAGAACTCTACAAAAAAGAAAGACAGCATCTGGACAGGCTGCTGTGAATAACCGAAAGTATAAGTATGAAGACATTCTTGAGTTTCTTTTACCACACATTTCAGAACGTGACATATTATCCAACGTGGATAATTTTGAAGAGGATCAAAATAATGAAATTACTAATGATGAAACTCCGGAAGAATTCAGTGGACAAACATGTGAGCCACAGAATAACAGAGACAGAAGCAACAAATCAATAACTGAAATTCAAAATAATTTCACTGATTCTGTGGACGATACTCTCAGATCTACAACAGAAACTTTAGCCAAAGCATCTAGTTTTTATGTGAAGAAAAATACATTTAGACCTCCAGTCAAACGAAAAATGATTCATGAAGGAAAATCTATAGATTCTCCAGCAAGCCAGCTAATGGCATTTATGTTAGCTGAGAAGGAAGAAGAAAATAAAAAATCTAAAAAAGAAGTCGAATCTACAGTTAAGCATCCAATTGATGCTTTTTTGAGTGGAATTGCTCCTATACTTAAAGCACTTAATCCTATACTACAAAATCAAGCTAAAAGTGCAATTTTTTCTATAACACAGGAATTTGAGATGAAGCAGCTTATATCCGACTATAGCAGTAGGATGTTTGAACTGGACAGGTTTGAGTAGAACTAACTTTTAATCAAAACAATACTAAGTAATAAACAATTTTAACTAAAATAATATTTATGTACTTTTGTTTAAGTAAAAAAATAATAAATACAAACTAATATATATTATATACACAATTTATATATATTATAAACTTAACTTAAAAATACAGCCAAACGTTGTTTTGGTGTTATTGATAGCCTCCAAAAAGTATCTTGTTTTTTCAACCTCTCTTCTAGCTCCATTAAAAGATCGTAAAATGTTGTTTGAGCCATTCTAAAATACTCATAAAACTTTGTTTCATCGTCCATTAGATGAGGTAACAACGTAAAAAATTCCCCCTTAATGGTTCTTGACTTCCATGCATTGTGTATCCACATTTTTTTCTTTCTTGCATGTTGACTTCTCCATTTCTCGTCTTCTTCTTCTAACGCAAGCGCTATAATTGCTAACTCACTGTTTTTGAAACTTTTAAACATAGTTCTCGCGTCCTCCCTTGTCAAAATGCTGAAATAAACTGAAACAGCTGAGGCTAGTAGGAAAACGGCATTGGCGGCACGGACAAGGTGCGGACAAGTGTGCGTTCGTGAACGACGAATCGTGTCTCAATCAACACTCGGCCGACACGCGGATCGGGTACGGTGCGGTTATGTGTGTCCCAACCTTAAATCGTGTTTAATAGTTACTGTTTAAAAGTTTTACTGTTTTGGTTAAAAAATTAAAAAGTTACGTAGGCTGGCCACTTAAAACCATAAACTACTAATTATACATCTAGATGGAACATTCAGCATGAAAGTGTTCCGATGAGATGAGTTTCATTTCGAGGATAGAAACACGTGATAATAAACTTAGTGTTTTAATCATTAATCATAGAATAGACTATTTTATAATCAATGGTTTTAATTGGCTATCCTCCTAGTTCAAATTTGCTCTTTTACTAGGCTTTATATCAGCCTATCTTTCTTAATCCGTTCGGATAACAGAGTCTATGGTTCTTCCGACCACGCCCCTAGTCCTGGGGAGAATATATATGCTTTTATAGATATTCCAATAAGTCTTTTGTCTAGTGGTTTTCAAACTTTTTTTGACCACGGCACACTTCGCTTTTCACATTTTTATGGCACACTGTGACCTTTTTTTGTCATTGTTTAATTATTACACAAAATTAGAACTTATAAAAAAATTGACCTACGGCTATACCTCATGTGAAACGAGTTTTTTGCCAACATATTAAGGGGACATTATACCCGCATCTACTGTCTCAGTCTAACTACCGAGTAACATGCATAAACATTAGATACGCAGAATGAATAAAACTAGCTTAGTTTTGATTTTAGAATAAAAGTACCAATGATGAAATTTATAGAGAACAATATTTTGAAGAGAATGACATGGGGTTTTTATTTCATTCAAAATATATAGCTTAATATAAAAGCTACGAAAACCTTTATTATTTTGGTTTTTTAAATAACTGTAACTCTTTTAGTAGTTCATAATTCAAAAAACACCAACGTCATTCTCTTCACAATATTGTTCTCTACAAATTTCATAATCGGTACTTTTACTCTAAAATCTAAACTAAGCTAGTTTTATTCATTTTGCGTAACTGTTGTTTATGTATGTATGTATTGTTTGTTGGACTGAGACAGCCGATGCGGGTATAACGTCCTCTTAAGTGGGCATGTAGCTATTGTGCATGCGTCGTCCTCTATAATACCATTAAACCTATATTGGATATTCAGATGTAGGTATCCATGTTTTACATAGGGTTATACTACAATTATTTACAATTAATTCTGTGAATTGTGATATTTTATATTTTTATATATATCTGTGGATATTTTTTATGGTAGGTTATGATAAGATTGATTACAGTACTTCACGCATGCGCAAAAGTGACATGCCCTCTTAATATGTTGACGATACATTTTAATCGTTTTATTGCTTATAGCTCTATCTATTGAACATGGTCTCGTCATATGTATAAAACCAATATTTGAAAATTGCCATATCAGCGACGCCGGACGCAACACATTCAGATCTAATAGCTGACAACAGCTGATCGTTGCAGACATGTAGTCTCTTCTTATCAACATTGTGGAAAGCAAAACTGTGAAGGAAAAATTTTTAATAAGAAGCAGTTTATTATTATAATATTATTATTGCTTAAAAATAATTAGTAATCGTACGGTGCTACTGTTAACTGTTAAGTAATAGTTTTTGTTGAGCGTACAACTATAACGACTGTGTAGCGACGATTTATCTCAACTGCATCGTCACTGTTATCACCAACGAAAAATACGGTCGTCCGCGGCAATGCTTCTTCTTTATTGGTTACATATTGATCGTCTATTAGGCAGATTGATCATCTTCTTGCTTTTTTCTATGTTGATATTGACATTACTCGAGCTATGCGCGACCCAACATGATCCTGCCATCAAGGCCTTAAATGTAAAAAGTCAAAAGCCCTTTATCAGAAATTGAAAACCTGATGGCTGCCACACTGACAAAGGTACTGCGAACTATTCAGTTGCCACTGACGTGTATAATAATAATATAGGTACGTAATTGTAATATATTATTATATAGGAGGACAACGCAAAAGAGTTGTTCCGCACAGGCATCGAATGTGAACGTGAAGGCAACTATTATGAGGCGACTCGTTGTTACAAGCGAGCATTAAAACTGGACCCAGACGTGGAAAAAAAAATCGCCGATGAAGAAATCACTTTGCGCTCAGTGGATAATAATAATTATTGTAAGACTTATTCCATTGTGTTTTTGAAGTGTTATAAGGGTCAAGCAATTAACAACTTATTCCTAATACATTTGTTTATTGTGTGACACAGACGAAAACAACATGAGTGATGATGAATATGATCAGAAAGAAGACCTTTTTGTGAGATTTCAAAGGATAACAGGACCACAGATATGTTGTCCAGAAAACTCTCAACAAGTACTTAAACATCAATTTTGATTAAATATATCATTAATTCTTAATCAACCTATATTCTTGTTTTATCTCTCTTATAAGATCACTCACTTTTCGGTTCTGCCTCCTGAGCTTATTCTGTATATATTGAGGTGGGTGATTTCTTATGACCTGGATCTCCGTTCATTGGAACAGTGTGCAGCTGTTTGTCGTGGTTGGTATTTGTGTGCCAGAGATCCTGAGCTATGGCGTCGTGCGTGTTCCAAGTAAGAAATAGGCTCAATGATGTCAAACTAACAGAAAAAAAAAAGAGCTGATACTAGGATAGGTACACTACTGTTTTAAGTTGGAAGGTGGGATAAGTACATAAAATTATTTAATTTATACTTGTAAGCAATGATAATAAACCATTACTAATGAAAAATGAGCAAAGTTTAATTATACATGTTTTGAAAGGCCATAATATTTATGCTTTTCATCAAAACTCTTATAAAAAAAAAAAATACTACATTACACTCAACTTTTTTTTATTGCCTGTAATTATTAAGAACCTTTTGTTAAATTTTCAATTGTTATAGCTAAGCCAATAAAATCCATGTCAAATTTACATAAATTATTACATTATCTACATTTAGAAAAAGCTAATTCTTCTGTTAAAATTTCAGATCTCAATCATTAGGTAAATGCTTTGAACATTTTTATTAGGTCTAGAAAAATCAAATATAAGTTTTTTGACAAAATTAAAAATAATCAGTTATTTTGTCTCGTTTTTTAACAGGTTCTTTTTCGGTTCTAACAATTATTAAAAAAAACTAAAATAAAAAAAATCATTTTTTTTTGAGCATCTATATCCAGAATTTAACAAAAAAGTTTTTTTGCAACGTTTTGATTAAAGCAATATTTAATGTAGAAAACATAGTTTGCAAAATTTAAAAACGATGAAATTTGTAATGCCGCAAATAATTGCTGTTTTACCTATAATTTTCTCTCTGGTTTTTCCAAATTATTTTGAGGAACCCTTGAAAAATCAAAAAAAAAGACCTGTCTAATAATGTATCAACTAGAGAAAATTGCCTTTCAGAAAACACTGTACTTTGTGCATCAAACAATAATTCTTTTAGAAAAGTCGATAACAGACAGAAAAATACAGTGCTGTCGCTTAAAATGTAATAAATAATTTAGAAATAATAATATTGTTAGTCAAAAAATTTTAAATATTTATGCCATTTATGTGTTGATTTCCCTATACCATGTATTATTGCCTATTTAACAAGATTAAGCAGTCAATAAACTATAAATTATATAGCAATCGCGTGGTACACCTATCCCTTGTATCAGATTTTTTTTTTTATACTTCAAACAAAATTTCTCCTAAAAATTTTCTCCAAATATTATATCATAGAATATATCATTATTTTCATAATAACCAAAAAAAAAAAGATAAAATGTATGAAATTGAATGCATTTATTATTTTCGATTTTGTTTTTTTATTGCAATTCAGTTCTAAATATTTGTAAATATTTGAAATTTGGACAAAAAACTTATATTTGACTTTTCTAAAGTGGTCAAATTTTCAAAACATTTGAGGCATTTAATATAGACATTTTTATGTTGTAAGTTTGTGCATTAATTTTATTTGGTGGGTACTCTGTGAATAAAATTATTAGATTTATTAGATATGCTTAAAATTTAATAAAAGGTTCATTTTAAGTAATACTTGATGGCCAAAAAAACATATTTGAGTATAATGTGTTATTTTTTTATTTTTTCCAGTTTTAAAATCAAATTTTGATGAAAATAGTAAAAATGATAGCCTTTTAAACATGTTTAACCAAACTTCATTCCAAATTGTTTTATTTGAAAAGATTTATTGTTGTGTACAATTATAAATTAAATGCCCCTCTAACTTCTTACCTAAAACAGTGGTTCAACCATATGCAATATCAGATCTTCTGGTCTTTTAAAGATAAATCCAAAAAATAATATTGTACTTCTGTTATTAAGATTTTGGCCTTCAAACGTCAATGACTTAGTTGAATACAATGGCAGTTGGCGACAAATGTTCATAGAACGTCCAAATGTACTTACAATTGGCTGTTACATATGTAAAATATCATATGTACGACAAGGTGAAGAATCATTCAGAGACAATACCAACGGACCTTCTTTTAATGTTGTTTATTACAGATATCTAAGGTGAGAAACATAAACTAAAATCTACCTACTTAAAATTTATTATCAAAAGACCAGAATTTGTCATTAGAAAACAATGTAAAAATTTGCAAACATATTTTTTTATACATTTTTATTTTTTTTAAAAAAAGCTGATTGAGAACAGGTGTACCAATTTTTGTATTTAATTATATAACATATTAAAATAATAATTTGAACGTACACATTTAAATCAAATATTATTTAAAATTATGTAATCCATCTCTATAAGAAATTTTGTTGAAAATGTTTACTTTATTATTTTGTGTATGTATGTTAATTAGGTTTTTTTCTGATGGACGTGTGCTGATGGTGTTGTCCTGCTATCCTCCAGCTAAAGTAGTACGTAAGTTACAGACAATTGAGAACACGCCAACATATATATGTACAGGGTTCAACAACATATGCCGAGGCCATTATAAATTGTCTGGCAACCAACTGACTTTGAAACTCGAATCTTGTGACCGGTTAAACAATAAAATAAATTGTGAAAATGTCACTAAACGAAAAATCACTTATAACATGGTGCGAGATTACCTTAGCAAAAATATTATAATATTATTAAACATTTTTTTTCATTTTTTCTTTTTAGAATTTAGAAATTTCAAAGTACAAGTCTAAACATAACTGGAAATTACAGTGTACAGATTATGAAGTAGTTTATCATAATCGGATTAACAGAGTATCTGCTACCAAGTTTGACCTGATCAATAATCGATTTCCTCCGTTTATATTTTCGAGGGTGAAATGCTATGCTAACGAATCCATAAGGGTATTATAAGAGTATCTACAAAGTTCATAACAGTTTTAATCAACTCTATATTTATAAGTTTTTTTTCATATTGAGTGTAAATTATATATTAAAAGTAATTTTAAGACAGTATTTATATTGTTTAAATACTACTCTTATCAGTGATTTCTTTGAAACTTGTTTTTGATTATGAACCCAATATACATACAATTCTACAATTCTGTGTTTTATGTATACCTACTGTATATACGTTTAAATACTTAAATGGTTAGTATGTTGTTACAAATATGCCATTTTGATTTTCAGACACAGAACCATTTCATTAACATTATTTTATTGTTAGTATCATCTTATTACCAGTCTTATTTTCTATCAAATTAAATATTTTTTTTATTAATAAACATTTAATATCAATGATGGTTGTATGCTTAAATCAATATAAATCCAAAATATTATTTATTTTATTGTTTAGTACAATAGATATGTTGTTTTATTTTGTAACTGAAGACCAAATCTAAGAGTGTAACTTATAAGAATCTTACTCGTTTATTAGAATTCATTGATTCCTGTAATTTCTAACTAATTTATTGTATTGTTTTTTTCAGTGTTATCTAGAATTGTAAAATTTTATTTTTAGAAATTCATGCCTATTTGCAAATATATTGTTTACATATGCATGATGTGACCTTTGCCTATACTTTTATTTATAATTATAAGATATGATATTTCAAAGGCGTCCTTATGGGAGTGATCCCCCCCACCGATAGAAATGGACTTAAATAGTCATTGGTCCAGAAGTATTATTTGACAATTGTTTTTTTTATCAATCATTACTATTAAATTTATTTCTACCCCTTTCTCCCATAGCTATGGTCTAGAGATGTTCTTGTGATATTGCATATCATTTAATCATTTAAAGTAGTTTCAAAATATTACAATTTGTATTTTGAATATAATATAAAAAAGATCACTAGATTAATATTATAAAAAAGACGTCCTAGGGTAATGAGGGTGGGTGCAGCCACTGTTATAGATAATTTAATGTATACCTGTAAGCAGGGTCGTATTTAAGGCGTGGTTTAGGGGGGGAATAGACCCCACAATATATGTTAAAGAGTGCTAAATTGTATGTTATTTCATTAGGGTAAAGTTACTATCTACTTTTGATTTTTAAATGGCAACCTGTATTTAAAACTATAAATTGATGGAGTATTAATTCAAATAAATTTTGGTGTTTAAGTTTTTGATTTCTGTCAACGTCCCGTCAGTTGACGAGATATTCCACTTTTAAGTTTGGTTTGAAGGACTGTAGTAGAGTATCATGTGTGTGGCAGTACGGCACGCGGCATGTTAATAACGTATCACCACTTTCCTCTAACCCAAACTTCTGAAAGGAAAGCTGACTAGGAAGGTACTTTAGAGAGGTCATTTTTCAACTTTCCAAGGAGTTTTCTCAATAGATGTGTAAAATCGAGAAAAAACATGAGGAAAAAATAGAAAAAACGAGCAAATCGGTACAATATTAAACAAATATTATTAAATAATAAAATAATAAAGTATAAACAAAATTATTAAAATGGTTAATACTCGTAAATAAATATATAAATAAAAAGTGTACATACAAAAATAAAATTAATTTATAAATGCATTGCCTGGAATATTATTTATATGTTTGTTATACAACTTGTTTTGAATTAAAAATTCATTATCAGGTATATCAGTCAAAATATAAAACGCGACTCTATTATTAAAGAAAATGCATAATAATACCCATTCAGTTATTTTACCATAATATACATATTGTTGAGAAAGCATCAATATTACTATTGACTGAACTCCGCTTAAAATCGTTTTTATTAAGTAATAGTTTATTGTTGCTTACAGATACAAAGTAATTTCCCTTCTCTATTCTACATTCTCAACTTCTCAACAAAAACAGTGGTTGCACCTATCGTGCAAAGTATATCAGTCTTTTTTCCATATGTTGATGTGACTTTAAGAGCATTATAAGATTTAGAAGCACCCGAGCATTACCCAAATTGCACACAGTTCCTGTGTAATTTGTCTTCCAATTGTTCGATTGAAAGGTCTTTTTTTACACTTCGTCAAATAAAAAATTATTTAAGATCATTTATGTCTTAAGAAAGATATAATAGTCTTGTAGTTCTAAACGTAGAAGCTATTTTCAAAAAATTTGAATTATACAGATTTGATAAAAAGAATTTGCAGCAAAACAAGCAAAAAAAACTGAATTAAAAGTTAAATATAATATACCTATTTATATCTTAATATATTATAATATACTATTCTTTGTTATTATAATATTAGTTACCCTTCACTGCATTTGCCTGTTTTTTTTTTTTTACATTCTAAGTGAAGCAAAGAATATATTGGTTTTACGATGTTTTTTTTTTTTATGTGGATACTTTTTTTACCAGAAGGCATACTTCGATTATCAAATATAGCACCTTTTATGAAAGGAAATGTTGTCTGGGTGGTACTTTAAAGAGTTAAATTTTTGAAATTCTCATTAATATTCGAGATAATTAGGTAAACCTCGGTCTCTAGGTTAAAAAAAATAATCTCTTTAAAGTACTTTCCTAGTGAAATTTCCTTTTAGAAACATTACTATCATTAAGAGTTGCACCAAAATTACTGGTTGAAAAGTTGTGTACAGAAAAAAAGAAGGTTGTAATATACTTTAACTAATACATACATTCTTTATATTTTCCTAGTTTTTCAAATTTGATCAGTAAACTCTTAAGAAAATCGAAAAATTACCTCCATAAGGTACCTCCTCACACAGATTTCTTTTCAGAAAAAGTGCTATACTTAGAAACATGAGCAAATCTTCTGGTAGAAGAGTTGTTCAGATATGGAAAAAAAAATAAACCTCTTTGTAAAACCATAAGCTTCTTCGCTCCACTCAGAATCTAAAATTTAAATTGATGTTAAGTTTTTATTCAATTTATCATCTGTATAGTATACAGAGTGATTTTTGTTATCATGGTGCAGTAATTTTCTTGGATGATCTAACATAAATTTGATTTGTATTGGTTGTAAACAAGGTGATCTTTTTTTGTGGTATGTGTATATTTTCTTTCAAAAATCTTGTTCTAATTAAAAAGCGACGAGACCTTTATATATTATGGACCTAATTAGCGTATTAAAGATATGATTTTGTAATTCAATTATAAATAATCGTAGACCTGAAAATTGCATAGATTACTTGTATTAGCTATTTCTAGATAAAGTTAAATGTTCTTAAAATTTGAATAATTTTTAAGTATTTGTCATTTTTTAGTTTTAATTTGGTTTAATCTAGATAAAATTATTTGTTCAAACACAAATTCTTGGTAACTTAATTAGAGGTTCATTATAAATTTTTTGTAATGGTTAAAGAAAAAACGAAGTTTACTGTAATTTAGTATTTTTTTTTACATCATTTTAATTGGAAATTATATAAAAATTGAATCATTTAAAACTCTATTTAACCAAACTTTACCTAGAATCGTTTTATGTTTGTAATAATTTATAACTTAACTAGTTATTTCTCTAAGAGTTCATATACATCATACCAGACCATTTCGCGGTAATACATTAAACATTTATACTGTAACTGCGATAATGTATCAACACAATTAAACCAATCAAAACTTGATTACACTTGCTTTTTGTTGATTGGTTCTCTTATTAGTCATTATTCATTTGTAAAGACCGGATTTAATTGATATTGCAACTTTTTTTGCAATAAAGATAAATCAGAGCTGATTAAATATGTAGCCGATATAAACTAAAAATATTCTGTCTATTTAATTTTAAGATGCAATTTTTTGTAATTTTCCCATTTTTAAATCATAGACGTTTATAGTTCGTTTGGAATTTTCTAAAAGCTTGGAGAGTTCAGCGAGCGATAAGTGTCTATATATATATGTATATATATATATATATATATGGTGGTAATTAATTTAAATGTAGTAGTACAGTGATTCGTGTTTACCTGTTGGTTCCTTTGTACTAAATCGGAAAAAAATTAAAAGAAAAATTTATAAATGTAATTGAAAAAAAAAAGGGTATTAAACTTTGGTCACGACAGGTAAAGCAAATGTATACTCCTACTTAATTAAATTGTTTTAAATGTGTACCAATAATTAATGTAGATGTAGAACGTAGGTTTTCTTTGTACAAACATATTCTAAGTAATAGATTTAATTTTAATGAAAATAATTTAGAAATATATCTAATTATCAAATTTAACTCATAAGTCATAATATTATTAATTATAGTTAAGTGTTGAAACATTTTTAAAAGAAAATATCTATGATACCAGAGGATGTCGAAACTCCAAAATGTAATGTTAAACAATTATTAAATGAAATGAAAATTGTTACTATTTGTTATTTTGTTTTAAATAATTATTATTTTCATAATATTTTGTGATATAGATAAATACAAATTTGAATTAATATTATTTTAAATTAAGAATTATTTTATTTATAATATAAAAACCAAGTTCCACACAGAATCGTATTTTATTGGAATGATTATCATTATACTCAAAATTTAAAATAATATGTATTTTTAATTATTATTAAAAAAAAAAACCTATTTCAGAAGTAATACGAGATAATACATATATTAATTATCATTTTCAGAGCATTTTCCAGAATTATTTAACTGTAGTGTACCAAGATTACTATCAACACTTTTAATATAAATTTGAAATATGATTAACTTATTTACATTCTAATTCGATCCAACAATATAAGCTGAAACAAGAATTAAAAACAATACAGTTTGATATCAAAAAATTAATATCAATATTTTATTAAAAAAAAAAAAAAAAAAAAATAGTATAGTATATTTAATATGTTGTTATAGTTTGAATGTTTAGTTTATTACATTTTTTTAAAAAAAATTTAAAAAGACGTTTAACTGTATAACATTTCTATACAGGTGACACAAAAATGCAATGGGGAAGGGGTTGCTTAACTTAAATAACAAATAAAAATACAATACAATTACTAATGATATACAAATTTACAAATTGTACATCAATATTTTATGAAATTTTCGTTTCATATAAAAGTATAATATAATTTCCTCACCTAAATTTTAAACAGAAAATCAGTTTTAACGACATCTTTCATTACAATATTATATATACACTGTAGACTTTACGCGATAATTATAAAAGTTCATGTAACTATCTTATAGTTAATTAAATTTATCAAAATAAAATTTGACCTAGTAAATAAAAATATTCACAAAGTAGTAGTTAATTTCTGTATGTTGTTCTTTATGGTATTATCCACTCGTATGCTAAAATAATTATTACTAGGAAATATATATATTTGCAATACAATGTGGTTCACTACACCTCTATGGTTAGAGGTGTACTATCAAAAAGTATTATTAACCATAATAAAACAAATAATATAACATGGACATTGTTCACCTGAAACAATAGACTAGCATGAGATGATTCAAAGAATCTCAATGTATACAAAAAATAATATTTTTAGTAAAGAAGGTACACAAATATTGTGAACATTATTGCGAGTACTTTAATCACGAATGCATAATATTAAGAATCATTCTCGTCAAACACTATTATTATTAAAGTTTTTAATGAAGAATTTATACATATATACAGCGTATTGTAAAATTTTTTATCCAATTTTAAAATTGAAGATATACGGACGGAATGAAGTAAAAAGTATTCTTAAAATTTTCAAGTTTTAATTAGTTTGGTTACAAATGTTCTATGTGATCCTCACAGGTTGCCCAACATAAATCAATAAAAGATTCCTTCCAAAAGAGGTATGAAGTCGACCTAAGCATTTTTTACAAATTAAAAAATTCACTTCACAAAAAAATCACTTTCTTGAAATGTTTGATGCCAATGTCAAAGGTTTTGAACATTTTGGGCTCGAGTTTAATTTGTTCTTTGAAACTCACATTGAGTGGTTATTGCTGACTTGCAACGACTGAAAAAAAGGACACAAAACACTTTCTGTGGCAAAATTGCCATTCCAAAATAAACTGACAGTGCTGTTCACTAATCAATACAGATTTTATTAGCAAAACTACTTAAAATAAACTTGACCACCTTGTCTTTATATTCTTATATAGGTTTTTAACCTGCGCTTAATGATTGCTGAACTATATCAGTTTGTAATCGGATGAAGAATTTTGAAACACGTTGTATATACATATTTTAAACATATCTATATAATATACATGTTTTATAAATTGTTACTTTTAGTAAAATTTTTATTTTAGTCTACTTAGATTTAGAAAATAAATAAGTAGTAAAAATAAAAAGAACACTGATGTAAATTAAAATAAAGTGTATAAGCTATGAGTATTACTATAATATATTACGGAGATTCTAGATATAGGTATTCAAAATTAATGTTAAATATTTGAATTTGTGGGTTAGGAATTCTATAAGGTAAATTGTAAAAATAATTTTTACAAATTTTGGGTATGATAAGTTAACCACTTCATGTGCACTCCCTACAAAACAGCACTCTTTAAAAAGTTCAATGTAACATAAATGTTAAAAGAAAAATTTGATTTAAAAGTTAGTTGATTTGAAATTGTTCATATTCTTGGATTTTTTGTAGTATTGCTTTGTCAATGATATATATGTTATATTATGGTAAAATAATTACATTTGCATTATATATTTTCTTTAATAATGTACCTATTTTCCCATTTTCTAGTATTATGAAAATAACTAGGAGAATCTTAAAATGGCCTCCATAAAGTACTATAATTAAAAATTTCAGTAAAATTGCTGGTAGAAAAATTGTCCACAGAAAAAAAAAAAATTGTAAAAAACTAAAAAATTTAAAAATAAATGAAACACAATAACATAAGTATGTATTAAACCATGGTGTATTATATAAATCATTATATTTTATATCCGTTTGAACAATTAAAATATTCTGAATGTATTATTTTCAGGTTGATAAACCTCATTATAAATATGTAATTTCTCAAACACAAAGGTAACATAAAGTTCTTCCGGTTGTTTAAAAAACTAGATCTTATTTGATATCAAAATGAATAGAATAATTAGAATTCAAGACATGATTCTATTAATGAAATTTCTATTTCTTACTTATATAATTTATGTGGAATTAATTTTACTATTAAATGTTTAGATAAATGATTACATGTTTTATAGAAAACTTTAATATTGTTAGCATTATTAACTCTCGTTATCTCAAATTAAAATAACCTTATGTATTATTATGTATCACATTATTGGAGCCATTCAGTCTTTTTTAGGGATAAAAACGTTTTCAAAAAACATTAATAAACAAAAAAAATCAATACCGAAAACAAAACAAAAACTGAAATAAATTATTTTACTATAATACAACAAATAATTAAAAAATAAGTTTTATTATATGGTAATAATAATTGTTATTGAAAAATTAGTAATTTTGATTAATGATAAGTCATAAATAATTATATAGTGCTGAGTTTTAGTAACCAAAACTTATAGAACTTCATATCTTAAATTAACATGTTGTTACCAAGTAACTTGTTTATATTACAAATAAAACAAATTGTTAATGTTTAATAAATATATTAATATACCCATTAAGTTTAATTATTATTATTAAATATTTGTATGATATACTCCAGAAAAAAAAAAATTAAAAATATTTATCCTTGGTTTTTCTTTATTTTATATGAACTTGCTAATAGTATTTAAGTAGAAATTGTTCTTACGCTCAAAATTTCTTATGATGCTAAGTTCATTTTTATAGTCAGCTTTTTATATAAGAACACATTTGAGCCAATACAAAATAGAATTTAAAAAAAGGACTGACATACTTAGCATGTGGGTGTAGCCACTGTTGTAAGTGGAAAGTTAGAAGGATAGGATACAGATGAGAATTTAATGTATATCTGTATGCAACGATAAACTATTGCTAAAAAAAAAAAAGATTCTGAGCAGAGTTTAGTTGATAGTGTTGTTTTGTCAACAATACAATATATGATATATATCATGTTATGGTAAGATGATTACAACAATGTGCGTTTCCATGACAATAATGATTGTTTAAAAATTTTAAAATAATAAAACTTAATAATAACGAAAAATAAATAAAAACGGTTGCCAATTACTACCTTATTTATAATCTTTCAATATTTTTTAACCTAAAGATCAAGGTTTTCCTTTATCTCGAATATTAATGAGAATTTCAAAAAATGACCTCTTTAAAGTACCACCCAGAGAATATTTCCTTTCAGAAAAGGTACTAGACTTGATAATCGGAGTATGCTTTCTGGTAGAAAGGGTTTACAGAAAAAAAAAAAAATTAAAATTAATAGTTCAATATAAGTTAAACTTATAATTAATTAAATATTGTAAAAAAACTCGTGGCTTACTGATAATCGGAGTATGCTTTCTGGTAGAAAGGGTTTACAGAAAAAAAAAAAAAAAAAAAAAAAAAAAAAAAAAAAATGCAATAAATAAATGTAAAATAAAATACTAAAATATTTTCAATTAGAAATATTTGATGACCAATTTGAAATTAAAATTAAAACCAAAAATTATTTTAATCAAACGTGTAGAAAAATGCAATGAGTTGCTGGGTATACATGGTGCATAGTACTTGTCACTTGCAATTGACACTTCACATTCACACGTACTACTTAACTTATTAGTATATGGTGTATTTATAACTACTACTAAGCACCGATAGTATTTATCAGCAAGTATTCACATGGAGTGTGTGTAGTATAGTCGTAGAGAGGGTAGTTACTTGATGTCAATAGAACCAAATTCTAAATACTCGCATTCATAATTCTACCTAATAAATGGTGCAAGTAAGTGAACAAGTGGGTTACTAATGACAAGTACTAAGCTCTGTGTAAACTAGTGTTTATATGATCAGTATGCTAATGGACTTTACCAAATTGTTTAAATAAAAATTTGAATTATAATAACATTGGTATACAACTAAACACATATAAATAATTTTATAATAATAATACAAATTATCTTTTTTAATCAAATAATTCATTTCAAAATCATCAATTTACCCTGTAAACATTAATTACATCATATTTATTGATAAATTGATTAACATTTAACACTATACAAACCTACGCATTTCCTTCCATTCGTTCTTCGGCCCTTGTGCGCATCCTATGTATGAACGCCTTGCCTTTGCTCTTTCTGAAGTTCTCGTACGGATCGTTCAAACTGATTCCCACACCCTTATATTGATCATTCCTATCCCGTACCTAATTAATAATGACGACCAACACAAAGCCATAGATCAATATCATTTTTATACAATAACAATTACCGATTTGTCGATTGAACAATAAGAAAATAATTGATAATAACAAAACATTTGGTCAATTATTTTTTACTTACGTCACCACCGCTTATAGGCGTGTCGATACCTTGTTCCTTTGAACCCAAACCAGCACCACCCCAACCCATTTTTTTCAAAAGCTGATGACCTTTATTTGATTCATCCAAACGTTCTTGGGCAGTTTTGCCAAAACCAGTTCTAAATGAACAGTTCATTTGACATTTTAAAAAAAAATTATTTATAATTATTAAAATTACTTACCCTCCAAAAGAAGGTGGCGTAGGACTTCGTTGAGAAGATGGTGGGGAAGAAGTTGGTGATCGGGACGGAGAACGTCTTCGACGACCACGGTTAGGGGTTGGTGGTGGACTATTTTTTTTATTTGATACTCGTCGAGTTGGACTACGAGTTTGTTTTGGACTACGGCTTCGACTTCAATTATAAAATATCTACATAGAACAATGAGGGTTTTTTTTTACTAAATCAAACTGTCTTACCTTCTATAACGTTTTTTTCGAACTGGTGACTTTTCCTTCAATGTAGGTAACACAATTGGAGATGGAGACTTTGATTTTTCTCTAAGTTTAGCCTCAATTTCATCTTCTTTCTGCTTTTTTGAAGAATTTTTGGCTTTATAATATTCATATAAACCAAGCTTTTCCCAACCATCGCTGATACAAAATTATTGAGTAAATAATAATTTACAAATTTAAAATGTTTATACTGATTACCTATCACGTGGTGCAAAATGCCCAGGAGGCATGTAAAATGCTTTGACTGCTTCTAATAGACGTTCCGTAGGTGGAGCAGGGGGAGGTAATCTGATTGTATCAGGATCTAAAGGTTTATAACTACTTTCTTCCAACTAAATATAATATGACAACATGATTACAAAATAATATTGAAATTGAGTTAGTATTTATTTCAACAAACTTTGATTAATGGAACCATTAAACCGGCTGGAAGTTCATAATATGGCAATGAAGGCAATAAATCATCAGACGAAGTGTCTGGCTGAATTGGAGGTAAAGAAAAGTTGTTTTGTATAAAATTTGGCGGTGGTCGACTTAAATCTGGCAATTCCATGGAAGCTATAATTGTTGTTTAGTTAGTAAATAATAATAAACAAAACAATATTATTTACACTTACGTGGAGGTTGTAAATGAATATTAGGTGGAGGTTGATTAAATGGAGGTGGTGGTCTATTGTAAATCGGTGGTTGTTGCATACAATTTTGCATTGACTGTCCATAAGGATCGTCTTGCTGATATCCATTTTCTGTTTGATGAGGATAATTTCGTTGATCTGACTGCATATATCCTGACATATTATTCTGGTACAATGGAGGAGATGGTAAACGTCCTTCATTGTAATGCTGTCGATTTATGTCATCTAAACAAAAACATAAAAGAGAAATGGTTCTAAAGGGGAATATAAAGAATTAAGAATATGTACACAAGGTTTCCATCACAATATTGCATAGATATATACAAACAAGTGTTTCATTATTTAATACTTCACATCGGAGGATGATCAACCATTATTTTAAGTGTATCAAATAAATTAAATCTTATTTAAGTCCATAAAGCCTTATTATACATGTTTACAATTTAAACAACTATTTTAGTAAAAGTAACATAATTTGCTGAATTATTAGATTCATCGAAAGATACAATCAAATTGACAATATTTTTATGAATTTTGTATAGCTGTTACAAATAACACAAAGTAATGAAAATATGAAAATATTTAATTGAAAAAAAAAAAGATAACCAAAAAAATAATTAATTAATTAATACATAAATTAGTAAATTAATATATTTTGTGAACACAAAAATATACTTAGAAAATAAGTGAAGAGTATCAAATGAAACACTCTGTATATAAAAATGTATTTTATAATTAATAAAAACTATTAAAATTAAGTTTAAAAATAATAAAATCCATCAGTTAAATATGAGATGAAAATTAAAATATAAACTGTTTTGGTACACAATTAGTGGTAACTTGTCAACAATGAAACCTAACAGTCATTTCAAGCATTTACTTTTTATTACAAAAAATTGAATAACAATGTTATATACTAGTTTGTTATACCATAAATTAAATACTTAATTAATATTTTAAATTTGATGAGTATTATTTTTTTATGAACTTGTCAATCATAATTTATTAACAAATTTAAAATGTACAAAAAAAAAAAATTCCTTTAACTCTAATATACGAAAATATAATGATAAATAAAGAATAATATATCTGTTTAATTATGTAAGTAGGTATTAACATTTATAATTTATTTTTTATTTTTACTATAAATATAAGTACTACCATTTAGTATAGATATTATCTATACTCAATGGAACTACTAGCAAACTTTATGTAAAACTAAAAATTAAACAACCAAATGAATATTAGAAAAGTTAAAACAAATCTTTTATACAATAAAAGTTGCCAATAAAATATAGACCAGTAACACACACAGTATACAGTACATAATAATAATGATTCAAGGAATTTATATGATAAATACATTTTATAATATGTTATATGTTCAATACAACCATCATTATGAATAGACATGAATGATAAGTTGATTTTGATTACATAAATCAAACTACTTGTGTTGGTGTAAGATTTTAAAAGTTAAGTGCTTAAAATTAAAAAAATATTTAAAACTGAAAATTGTTTAATAATAATATATCTTTCTAAAAATTAGTGTAATTTAAACATTTGAATTAAAACGTAATAAAATAAACAATAACAATAATAAAAAAAGTAATATTAGGGAACCATAAAACAGCCGAAAATAAAAACACTAAACCATTATCAAGAGAAAAAATTGTTAGCTGAATAAACAAGGTTTTTTAAACGAATTGTAAAATAGCTGAAAAGCAATTGACCCAACCGTATTTGATCTGAAAACAACTATATACAGGAGTTATTAAGTAGGTATGCATGTACTTATAGTTGTTTTGGGCTGCAATACATTTTGTCTAATATATGTATTGGCTTAGTTACAGTTCAATTAAAATATGGATTGACTACAAATATTTTCAGCTGTTTTATATATTCTTGTAATATTAATCAAAAAAAATGTAAACAATAAATATGACTAGTAGAATATATAATTTTAACTACAATAAATGAAAAATGAAAAACAGGATACTATCTACATTAACAATAATTTAATATGAAATAAAAAAGACAAATAAGGAGTAATTAATAGATGTATATCAAAGATAAAAATAAAGTTTTTTTTATAAATTATATTAACAAATATAATTTATAATATATGAATTGAGTTTTGAAACCTTGTGTTTGAACATAATCTTTTATGATAAAAAAAAAATCTTTGAAACTTTATTTTGCATAAAATGTTATAAGTCCATTTTTTTTTTTTTAATCAGATGTGCGCTTACCTTGAGCTGGAGGAATTGAAAGAGGAGTTACCCTTTGTTTTTGTTGTTCTAGCGAACGTTTTTGGTTTTCTATACTCTAAAAGAATCGAATTTCCAATAAAAATGATTTATGAAAGAAAGATTGAATAAAATAATACAAATTAATATAAATAAATAAATGATACATATATATATATATATATAGGTAGCAGAATATATTTTATTTATATGTACATATTATTTAAACATGTATATATTAATATATACTTACAAATTTTAATGGCATAATACAGGTATTAAACAAATTACAATAAGACAACACAAATTGTAAAAGGGCTGATTTGATAAATTCATCTTGGATTAAAATCTTACATATCCAACGAATATATAAAATAAGCTTTTCAACATTAGCTAAAACGCATTGTTTTATATGTTTCGATGGTTTAGTGTAAACAAAGAAATGATTTTCTATACCTACATCAGTGTCCTTGTAAGTACTTCATTATGGTTTTAGTAAACCAAAGGAAGTATACTTAATAATGATATTTTCTTAAATTTACAAATGTATTACCTGTATCTGATTGTTGCAATGGGCCAAAAATGATTGATGTTGGCTACGGTAACTTTGTAATGTACTGTTCATCATCATGTTAAGTTGATGAACTGCTTCTCTGTGCTTCTCTAATAAGTCACTCTTATATTCTGTCATTGATCGATCAGGATTTTTTAATCTTTCCATAATAGTTTCAGGAAAGTAATGATTTTTTGTTTCCCATAAAGTAAGTAACTAATGATGTTAGAAGCCATGTATATTAAACAGTGTGTAAAATTATGACTGTACTGTTCTTACTTTGTTGAGTTTGGATTTTTGATCTTCATTTGCTCTCATCATTGCTGAGCAAAACATAGGTACAATGATTGATTCAAGGGATGTTTTTAGTACTTTTTCTGATTTACGAATACTAAAACAAGAAAAAAAAATAAGTATTTACTTAATTATAAAAAGTAAGAACCATTAAAATCTTACCAATGATGCACTGTATCATTAACTAAATAAATTAAGTGCAATTGTTTAGAAAATTCAGCATTAGGATCCATTACTCTGTATTGAAAAAAAAAGAAAAACATTAAAAATATATTATTAAAAAGGCTAATTAGGAATGTTAGTAGTTGATTATATATATATATATTGTTTTTTTTTATAGATTTCAATTTTAGTTGAGAATCAAAATAATCAACATAAATTCTACTAAGATATATAAATTTATTTGGCATTTACTCTTAAGATATATAGTTTAACCATATTTTTAATCAGTTTCCATTTATTGATTCTTTTTAATTACTCTTCTATTTATAGTTCCTTTTCATTTTCTCAAATCATCAAAAACTTTACAGATTTGATTCTGATTTTTATTTGCTATAAGAATTAAAATAATTCAACCCCTACAGTTATAAGATTTCACTCACTCCATAAGTAAGTACTGTGAGATAACTTCAACTTTTCGTTGACTGGCTGTTTGTTTCATAATCCACGATTTACCATTAGCTATTGCATCTTTAGTGCATCCTTTGATAATTGGTTCAAGTACAGATGACAACTCAATTAAAGATAATTCATTAGCAGCAGCTTCAGAATTAATCCATTCTCGTTGCTCAGACAATATTTTGTCTTCCGTAGCAACTTGTTGCTGTTGTGCCAAAATCTATAAATGTAAAATTATTATTTGAGAAAAAACAATTAATTTTTTTATAATATTTTTATATGATGTATATTTATATTTCACACCATTAGCTGAGAATTAAAATTTTGCTCTGCTTGTGCAATTTGTTGCTGCAAATTTGATTGCTGATTGTTTAACGACTCCAGAGTTACAATTGTTGATTGGCAATCATTTGCTTGATTTAAATTCAACCATTGAGCTGCGGCAGCAGCCATATTCAATTGCTGTGTACTCACTGTATTGTTTGCAACTGCAGTATGTGCCATTTCTCTTACACTATTTTGCTTCAATACTAAATAATTACATAACAAATTGGTTAAGTATTATTAAAATAAATAATTTCACTAAAAAATAAATTTTTATATTAGAAAGAATAACAAAAATGTTCTTAAACAATTTAATTAAAATACTCTGTTATCAATAAGTAATACTAAACTTAGGACACCTCAATAATAATATATAAGTACACTATATAGCGCAAACATTAAAAAATACTTTTTTTTACTAAAAACGACAATTGAAACCAAACTGTAAACAACTGTCATTGCAGTAGTGTCTAACTTAAGTGTAACAACTTTTAAAATTAAAAAAAAAAAATTAAATAAATATTGCACAAACTGATACCATTTTTAGATAATAGGTAAAAATACATCTGAAGTTTATTGACTTACTTGCTTGTTCTGTAGTGACTTTAAACAAATAATAATCAAAGTGGCGGCCACCAAATAAAAATTCAAATTTTGGATTATCCTTCTGTTTGGTTTTGGTCATTTGTTCAAATTCCGGTCCATTGCGTGCTACAAAAACGGCTAATTTGTCTATGATTGTACGCAGTTCGTGGTCTAAAATCAATATTAATGTTATTGTTTGTTTAGTAAGTTAGTTTATTTCTTACCTTCTGGAGGTTGTGGAATATCCATATCGCTGAACTGGTTGTTTTACTACTGAACACGAGCCTTCCTCAATTGACTAATTAAGTAATTACAGCACCGTGATAAGACTGTAAGTTCATTACTATAATGAATCGCACCCAAATCCTTGAGAACATTTAATAGCAATTAATACTCAAAAACTAACATTATTTTTCATTATCCTAATATCCTGTCCTATAATCATTGAAAAATCAAAAACATGCTTGCACTCAAGAAATCAGAATAATATGATTTGTTTACAAATTAATTTCATCCCAAATTTCAGATGCATCCATTTACAGTGTGACCAACCAAAACTGGATAAATGTACACCCCACGATTGGTGGGCCATGTCGTACACGACTACACGAGGAATTTTTATTGATAATTTCTCGTCCGATATACCTATCATGACAATTCATGATTCTGGTTCTGTCTTGTCTCTTGTCGGACCATTTTTAATAAATCTATACGTCGAGGTCTCTCAAGTTTTTACCATTAAAATAAAGTAAGTTACTTTTTGTAATATATTCAATCCTCACTAGGTATTTATAATGAGACATTTATTATAAATTATTTTTGGTTACGTTAAAAGATTGTTAGCTGTGTTTATTTTGTTTTGCTTAGCCCAAGATTTCTGTATTCATAATAAATAGTTTTTAAATTTATTATTCTTTTAGATGAAGGATTTAATTAAAGCCAGTTGGGCGGATGAGGTTGAGGACCACCTGGAAAAGACAACATTGCCCCAATCTAAAACGGAACAAATTGGAAACAGCAGGATTATAACAGAATATCGGTGGAACAAGGATGATAAAAAGGAAAAAGTTGTACGTACATATAAGATAGAAAAACGGTTTGTGTCTAAGACAATAGCAGAACGAAAGACATGGCCTAAATTTGGAGATTCACGTAACGATAAACCTGGTCCTAATATTGCAACTACTATACCAGCTGAAGAAATTCAAATGCAGTTCTTATCAGGCAAAGATGGTGATAAAGTAGAAGAAAATCCTTTGGATAAGTTAAAGAATGTAAACATGAACATTAAGTGTCGTACTTGTGGTGGTGAGCATTGGTCTTTTTCATGCCATCTCAAAGGTACTGGATTGGTGGTTGAAGATAAGAAATTAGTTCAGGAGAAAGTGGCTGAACCAGAAAAGAATACAAGTACCAACAGGTTTGACTTTAATTTTATAAATTTTAATTTTTTCTGTTTTAATATATTCTATTTATGTTTAGACCATATATTCCACCTTCAGCGCGAGAAGGAGCTACAAATACAGCAGGTAAACGAGATCCATACTCACGTAGTTATGATGAAGTACCCGCTATTCGTATTGAGAATCTATCAGAGAGTACATCTGAGGCCGATTTAAGTGAATTGGTTAACAAATTTGGACAAATTGCTAGAATATTCTTGGCTTCCAATAAAGTCACTGGTGCATGTAAAGGTTATGCATTTGTTAATTTCAAATCCAAAATGGATGCAGAGAGAGCCATCAAGGCGTTGCACGGTTATGGATATGATCATTTAATATTGAATGTTGGATGGTCAACAAATAATTATAAATATGCCTAAATGCCAATATATATATTTATTTAATTAGAAATCCCTCACATCAATGTTCTTTAATAGAAAATATGTTCAAAATTACATTATAAATAAATAAATATTGGCAAGAAAATTAAATTTGTCTTCTTTAATATTATAGTATTAAAATACATTTTTAAATCGTTTATTATATTAAACAGTTATTGTACACCAAAATAATAGAAAATCTATTTTGGTTTTCTATAATTCTTACATTATCACATTCCACAGTTATCAGTCAAAATATTAAGACAATATCCGCAGACAAAATATTTTTGGGGGTTCAAACGATTTCCAAATTAACTGGTTTGTTTTTTTTCCAACTAAATTTTAACTGCAGATGACAAGAACACAATTGTACAGTGTGAACTGGGTACTAAAAATATCACTACCTACCACAGATCAACAATTAAAACATCTCTGATTACAATATTGATACAATGATGGCAGTAGGGATGGTTCAAATTGTTTACATGACATTGCTAATTTTATTAGAAAAGTAAATTTAATAATTTCGAAATGCTTATGTAATTATTATTTAGATTTATATCTAAGTTTGGATATTTTGTCTTAGAATAAATATTTCCATACTACAAAAGTAATGACTTGGAAATCTTTGTAATTTATTATTATTAATTTTTTTAAAATTATATCATTAGTACAAATAGTAAATTAAATCAAACACCACTTAAATGGGTTATCATCATATCAGAAAATCGAAGTATCATCATGCTTTGGTTAGTGGATTAATAACCAATACGTTGGCAACCAAATAACATTGTGTTTAACGACTTGAACTTACTACCTCCATGGAATAAAAGATTTTGTTTTAATTTATTTTATTTGTAAATAGTGCAATTTTATAATTAGTTAAGCTATGTATAGTTATTATTTTAGCAATTTTTAGTATTTCTTTAGTGATGTCAATTATTACAAAAACAGATAAAATATTATTATCTTATTATGTTCTTCAATCTTAAGATATTAAAATTGAAACTGTACTTGTAAACATATAATGTATTTATGGTTTAGTTTTGAATTTTTTTTAAAACCCATAGATGAAATCAAATATTAATAGAAAAAAGTTCTTAAGATTCTCGTAAAACTACACTAAATATTATTCAAGAATTATAGTAGATAGTTTATAATCACCCTAGCTTGAAGATCCTGGCAATACTATATTGTATGTACTGCATTGTATAGATTATTATGGTGTCTGTACAATGACTATATGGATGTTATGACAATTATTTTTGGTTAGGTATATTGGAAAAATCTGCGGGATTTTTTAATACAATGTAAATTTACTTTTAAAATAAAACAACTTAGATTCTGAGTAGAGTAAGGAATGTATTGATTTTATAATGTTTTCCCAATAAATGTAAAAAAAATGGGAAGATATAAAAATATATTATGGCCTTTGTTTCAACAACTTTCCTAATAACCTTTCTACCTATTTTATTCAGATATACAATAATGGTATTTTTTCTGAAAGGGGTTCTAAATAGGGTGGTACTTTAGGGAAGTTATTTTGGATTTTCCAATAAATGGTAAAATCGGGAAAATAGATACAATATTGAACAAATATTATTATAGAAAGTATACAATGTATATGCAATTATTCTACCATGCGTCATATATTTTGTTAATAAAGCTATACTATTAACCAAACTGCTCAGAATCGTTTTTCATTAGCAACAGCTAATTGTTGTGTACAAATATACATTCAATTCAATTTCCTCTCTACATTCTCAGTTTCTCCCCTACAAGAGTGGCTTACCTGTGTATAAAGTAGGTCAGTCTTTTTTTTTAAATTAAAATTATGTACAATGAATCATCAATTTATCTTTTTCTGATAATTATGCATACATCCAATATTTTGAAATAGAAATTTGTGCTCTAATTATTTTAATTAAAAATTCATAATTATAATTAAACCCACTATATTGTATGACAAATAATAATATAAGGCAAGTATTTTACATAATAAATAATTCTTAGTGACAAAAAAATAAATTTTTAATTTATTTCTCATACAATTATAATCATAAATATATCAATGGGCTTTAATAACTTCAAATATACTTCACATATTAATTCATAGTCTAAAATAAAAATGAGTATCATAAGATATTATAATTTAAAAAAAAAAAAACAATAATTGTATTAAATATAAATACTATATATATATAGATACATAAATAGATAATAATATACTTTTAGATTAATAACTTTTTAAATAAATTCCATTTTCCATAACTAAATAAAAAGGAAATTAACTCAGTCTAAAGTAAATTTTTAGTTCCACTTATTAGTAGTATAAATAAATCATGAGTCTTCCAAATATTTTAATTCAAATTGATATTTAATAAATAAAATCACAATATCAGCAATGGAATATATACCTAGTGCAGTATAATAATGATAAGTCAACAATCAATAGGAACTGGAATTTCCCAAATAGTCTGTCGATTATCAAATGGTTTAGGGCGAGCTATACGAGAAAACATATTTTTGTTTACGTCCATATTTGCTATGTGAGCACTAATAGTGCTATAAATTTCTTGATTAGCTAAACCGAATACGTTCAATTCTTTCAATTTGTTATCTATTTTCACTTTTAATGTATTAAATCTGAAAAAAAAATAATTGTCATATTGCAAAAAAAAATTTGTTTATTATACACGATAAATTCTTACTGAAAAAATGAAACACCAACATTATAACAACGACTCATGGATAACACTTTGAGATTTGGTTGATTCTGTAAAATACAGTCTAAACTATCAGATGTAATAGCCAAGTTATCACTGATGTCTAATTCAATTAATTGTGGACAACGGCGAGTCAAAGATATTAAATCTGAAAATAATTACTTTTAAATTATATTAGATATTAAAGACCTACATGGGTCGAGCATGACATGGACCGTCATTGTTTGGACTTTTTAAAATTTAAATCCGGGCTGAGCTTAATAATTTAATACAAAAATATTTTTAAAATACACGTATAAACCAATTTGAGCTACTCTACTGACAGTGATAAAACTTTACAATTAATCTTTTAAATAAAGAACATTATATTTATAATAATAAGCAATATCTAGACTAAAAATACACTACAAGATTTGATACTAAAAACTAAAATACTTCCTCAAGTTTTTTTTAAAATATTACTAGTGAATTAAAAAATTATTATAAAATAATAATTTATATATTTTAACTATTTCCTATAATAACTACACATGATTTTGAATTTTAAAAAGAGAACTCTGTATTAAAATATAAGTAAACATTTTATTTCAACTAAAAGTAATTTAATAAAATTGAATTGGGTTTATAGACTAAATTATTTTAGTTAAGAATTATGAGCTAAATTCAATTTCAAAAAGGTAAAATGTTGCATTCTTTAACCCATTTCAAACAATTAAAAGAATAAATGTCTAAATTTGTTATAATGTATTTATCCCAATAGTGTGTTAATATAATTGTATACATATGTATATATTTTTTTTTTGAACAAAATTGAAATAGTATTTAGAATAATACTATTTGAATAAATCTTCTGTTAAGCTAAAGAAAAAAAGCAAATAGATCCAGCTAAACATACCATAATCTGCTATTTGTTTCAAAAACCCACTAATGTTAAGGCACTTAATAGTTGGGATCATATTGCTAATTAGAAAATGCACATCATCGTCTGACATTTGAGCCCATGATACATTTAGTTCTTCTAAACTAATATATAATAAAAATATAAAAATATTAACAAATAAATAATTAATTTAATACATTAAAATACAAATTCAATTACTTTTTCAGTGATATTATGGACTTTAGTCCACAAATATCAAGACCTCTCGTAGAAGACAAATTCAGCACTTTTAATTTAGTATTGCGTTCAATATTTTGGCAGCATGCTTGGTTTAAACGACAATTTTCCAAACTTAGTTTTACTAAATTAGAACATTGATTTAACAATGAATTTAAAACTGAAAATAAAACCAAAAGTTATTATAGTATTTTGAATATTAGTAATTTATTTTATTATTATATTTTATTAAACTTACTTTGTACATTAATGTATACAGCACTCACATCTAAATATTGTAATTTAGGTAATAATGTTTCGAATAAATGGCCATTGTCAACATATATCTAAAATTTAATTATTACATTAGAAATTATATTTAATTTATAAAGTGTTTAACTTACATTGGAATGAGATATGGATAAGAACCTAACATTACGTCTAAGAATATTATCTAAAGTCATTAAACTCATACGGCGACATGGAATGTTTAAACTATGCCATAAAGACTCATCATATGTAATACGTTTCCATTCTTTGCATACAAAAGCACATTTTATCAATGTGGGTTTGTCCAACATTTTGAATATATAAAGCATTAATTCTTCTGGTAAACCATCAAATTGATCTATAATCAAATATTCAATAATGAATGATTATTTAAGTATTTTTGGATTAAATTTTTACTTACTATGGTTTACAATACGCTTTTTATGTTTATATTTGTACACGGAAGTAACCAAACCATATCCCATTGGCCATATCTAAAAAAATAAATGTTTGATTTACATCCAGTTTAGATTTTAATAATCACAATTAGATAATATTATAATAATATTTTTATGAAATAAGAAATTTGTTTAATAAACTGTACCTAGGTACAATTTAAAGATCAACTAATATAAATACTTAATACATTTTAATATTTATCTGTTTACATAAGTATCCTTGATTAAAAAAAAAATATTGTTAAATATTTTACCGTGCTATTTGGGTTTAAATATCGGCTACGTTTGGAGACTTCTGAATTTTCCTTCTTTAACAAACTGACACCAAGATCTTCATAACCACTAAGATTCATAGTGCCTGAGTTCCGACTGGTTAGTCTACAACAATTTTAGTAATCTATAATACACAGGTATATAGTATGCCATTTACACACACTACTATAATACGTATACACTTACTTATTCACACGTGATACTTCTAAATTCATTTTCCATAAAGTAAAATTTAATGAAACTTGATAAAATTTTATTTATTCAATTTTTTTTAAAATTATTTAATCATTACTTATGATATACTTATTGTATCATATGACTATCAAAAACAAATAATAAGACGATTGAGGGTCAAGAATAATGTAGTTCATAAAATGACAATCTACGTCCTGAGAGTGGAGAAAAAATATGATTCGAATAAATTGAACTATTGTTTAAAATACTGTAGATTTGTAGACTACATAGTACCTACATACTGTAAAAAGTAATAAAAATGAATACAGATGCGCTCAGCCGTTCGACAACTGGATTTTTCCCTCCAAATTAAATTCTTGTTCTTTTGGTATAACCTATAAACTATTTTCATGGAAAAATAGGCGCCATTATAAAAATTCAATTAGTTCATTCCAACGGGACTATGTAAATTCATACTTTTTAAGGGACTGTAGGATAAAATGGTTAGATTTAGGTCATTCTGTCATCTAGGCCCCAGGGGTGTCATTTGTGGTGATCAAAGCATCTATACTGTTTCCTTCCTATTTTTTGGTTCGGAGCGTACCGAATTTTTTTCAGAGTATGCAACTCTGTGTACCATAGTAATCCGTGGTGAACTTCGCTTAATATCATAGACCTTATATTATAATAGTAAAACTTTTTGTTGTAGTGAAAAAACACACATTTTGAAAAAAAAATTCTAAAAAATCGCCTGGGCCCTAAGGTAGAATCGTTCCGTTTACTGAAATGATTTAACAAAATTTGTTCCATTATTTGTCCACTCCAGAATCCGGTCGACGAGAGAACGCTACTGGGCAGTGACCAAAACTTCCGTTCTCGCGTATTCCTACAGCAAGTAGGTAGTAGAGTGGGAAAAATTTGGACACGAAACCGCGGAAAGCTCGTTCAATTAGATGCGTAGAGTAGCGTTCTCTCACCGGTCGGACTACAGTTACTTTATTTGTGATTCCATGTTCACAGATTAATTTTGGTAAGAACATCAAAGGTGTACCTTCCTTTAATTCTTTTACACGGTAAAACTGCAGAAACTAGTAATAAAGTATCCTCGGAAGAATCGTAATTGAATCAACGAACCGTCATTTCAATGTAGCTTTTGTACAATTTTGAATAGTAACAATTTAAGTGAAATTTAAAATGTAAAATTTTATTTCGTTTTAAACTTTACCTTTTTTATATATACCAAACATCAGTAGTAATACTAACATACCTATTTTACAGCTGTTGAAGTCAATTTATTTTTAATAATTCTTTCATATTTATAGCTGTTGTAGACATTTTATTTCATTAGAGTTTTCTGACAAATACATTTTCTTTTAGGAAAGACTTTATCAATAATGTCAAAAAATTTCACTTTTATACTATACTAAATGGATTAATTCAGTAATCATACATCTGAAAATATAATTTAAAATGAACTTTAAAAATACTACCTACATGCAGGTTAGTGGTTCTTAGTATATATTAGGACTTGGAGGGTAAAACATGCTATTCAATTTGGAATGGAATGATTCACAAACATTGGTTGTACGCATTGTAGAATTAGAAAATTCAGCCCAAATATATTATTTTTGTCGTTGTTATGAAAATTATATACGGTACGCAATTCGAACAGACTTCGATAAGAAATGGCATGCAATTTGGACAACCACTCCCCCCCCCTTTATAAGATGGCATCAAAATGTTTAACAATAGAGGGCTGAAAGGGATTAGGATTACTCGAAACCACAAATTGTTTCCTAATTTTTAGCTTAATATTCAGTATTAATAATTTTTAGATGCATTGAAAACTAGAACCTAATTATTATCAAATAATATAACTGTATAAGGTGAAACCTAACTGAACTAGGTAATATGATTATTCACAGTTGATGTTTAAAGTTAAAACTGCGAGGTTGTGTTAAACGTGAAAAATGTTAAAATTTGTAAATTCAAACCGTGGAAAAGCTGCTAACATTTTTAAAAATATGTATGTATGGAAAAAAAAACCTTAGTAAATAAGTAAATTATATGTGTTATTATTATATGTGTTCAAAAATATTATGCTACAATAAAAATGGACGAAAACCGACTTACGGGGTTAGAGTTACGTGTTGAATACAAACATTCGCAAATCTGAAAACTGTAACGCCATACAATGGGAGAAATACGACTTCTAGTTGGTCAAAATTATTTTTTTACCAGAAATCTTATTCCAAGTTTTAAGATTTTAAGAACTTTGAGCTTCACAAGTATTATGAAAATATCATATAAGACCCGAGTCGTTTCATGCTCACTAAAACGCACCGTTTTATAGTCCTCATCGCCAATATGGAAGATATTCAATTATATTTGTTTTAAATTATTAATTTAGTAGGTACCTAGGTTATTAATATATTTTAAGTAATAGATACTTTGTAAGAAATTCAAATTGAAACACACCTAAACAATAACCACATGTATAATAGAATTAATCATTTACATAGGCCACATGAACGTCTTAAAGCACAATTTATAAAAAAAAATTGGAATAAGTATATCACAGGAGAAATAAATAGGTTTCATTTTATAAAAATAATAGGTCATTATAACACGCAAAACAACATATTTTAAGTTAGGTTAGATTAAGACGATTTTTGTTTTAATAAATTGCTTGCAAATTTATACTTTTTAATATTTTTGTATTATTATTAAGTGAGTTTATAGGATTTTATTTAGTTTTATGTCATTAAAATTATTTTGGCCCAGTGAAAATTATCGCACATTTAACATTAAGTTTATCATGAATTTCAATTAGTGGATAAAAAAGTCCAGCAAAATGAAGTAATTTTACATTCTAAGGGATCTATTGGTTTTACAATGATGTTTATTTTTCTTTTTATACTTTGAATAAAATTTCTACCAGAAAGTTGTTCTGATGTATCAAGTGTTGAAGTATAGCACCTTTTCTGGAAATAAATTTTGTTTAATAGTATTTTAGGGAAGTGATTTTTTAATTTTTCATACGGTTTTCATAATATTAAAGAAAAACCTGGAAAACCGTAGGAAAACAGGAAAATTCAAGAAGATAGTGCTTATATTATTTTCAATTTTGTTTTTTAAAGACTTAAAGACTCATAAAGACTTGAAATTTAGGCAAAAAACTTTTATTTGCTTTTTCTAGACGTGGTAAAATTTTCAAATCATTTAAGCCATTGTTGAGCAATTTATAGATATTTTAATTTATGTGAGTTTTGTACGTAATGTTTATTTGGTGCCTACCTATGTACTCTGTGGATAAAATTGTTAATATAAATATAAATGCTTGAACATTTAACAAACGTTTATCATAATATCATACTTGTGGTAAAAAAAAAATTGAGTGTAATGTAGTATTTTTTTTTGATAAGAGTTTTAATATCAAATTTTGAGGAAAGTCGGAAATATTATAGCTTTTCAAAACATGTAAAACCAAAATTTGTTCAGAATCGTTTTTTGTTGTCAATAGTTTATCGCTGCCTACAGATATAAATGAAATAGCTTTATGTACCCGTCCTACATTCTTAACTTTTCACCTACAATAGTAGTACACATCTCTTCAGTAACACCTCTTTTTATTGATCCTTGCGTTTGTATTTGGAATTGTTTTTCTTTTCATTATTTTTAGATCCTAAGCAAAGCGAGGAATGTATTGATTTTACAATGACGTTCATTTATTTTTCTGTGAAAAACTTTTCTACAATTATTTTTTAATTATAGTACTTTTTTTTACTGAAAGGGAATCTGTCTGGGCTGGTATTTTAGAGTGGTCATTTTTTGATTTTCCTAGATGTTTTCATAATAAATGGGAAACACGGGAAAATGTATTAAAGGAATTATTTTCAAATCATAAATATTACTGTAATAGAAAAAAGGGGTAGTGGGAAATTTACATTTAGTGACAGAGTTCTGCCATTATGGTGTTTTTAAGTTTTTCTTTTGGGATACAACTTTCAGTTAGTAAATATGTTCCAATATTTTTGGATAGAAACCAACTTGTATTATATATATAGTATGTTCCATGACAATATACCCATTGTTATATCTCCAGAGATAAAATAGATAATCAAATTATGTGGTTTTTTTATATGATCTACAGGAATAGGGATTACAAATATTGATATTTCAATTCATATTTTATGTTTTGATAAAAAAAACTAACAAACTTTATTTTCATTAAATTTGTTGTTTTTAATAATTTTTTCAAGTTTAGAGAAAAGTACCTACCTATAATTATGCATCAGGCTGTAATTGCTTTCGTTAATTGATTATTATTGTTGTGGCCAATAGAATGTACACTTTTTTTCTCGTTATTTTGTACTGGGTTATGTATTTAAATATTTGTAGCCTTTATCCCTGTTAGTAATACAAAAAAAGAAAACCAAATTTAATTATATTTATTATCTCCAGAGATACTACAATGGATATATATACGCTGGACAACATGTATGTAATATGTCAATAAGTATTGTTGATTATATTTTTTAAAATTTTAAATGACCGACCTATTTGTATAAAACTGAAAATATTAAAAAATAAGCTAACACAACTGTTAAATGTATTTTTATCATAATTATTCTATTATTAAACCTCATAATAAATTAAATTTTGGTTAGGAAAGTAGAAATCGTGGTTTGATTCTATCTGGTTCATCCGCTTCACAAATAAAAAATATATAAGTATCGTATGTTATTAGACCTAGAAAGGATGATTTTAGATTCCATAGTTCTTATAAGCTAAAGACAATGTAAATTTAAAATAACAATATAAAAAAAAATTTACATTGAAGACAAAATAAACTGATTAGTTTTTTTAAAATGTATAGTTTGAAATAAATAATGTATTTAAACATATATGTAGATACATTAAAAATATTACATAATAGTGACACATTAATATGATTTAAAATTCCAACTAAGAAAATCAAAAGTTAGAAACAAGTTATCATATTGAGAGTTGGTTTATGATTACAAATATTTATAACTCAATTCTATATATCAATTGATATTAAACAAATTTTAATTAAAAATATATACCAATCAAACAATGTTATATTTTATCACACATAGAGAATTCAATTTTAACTAAGTAAGCCATTTAATAACTAATTTATTATACATAATAGGATCCACTTTAACTTAAATCACCCTTTTAAGTTAATTCAATTTATAATCATTTAGCATTGTTACTTATAAAATTTGTTTAGATATAGAGGACCCAATATAGGTATAACATATGTTTGTTACAATATTGATGAATATTATTATATAAAAACTTGATGAGATAAAGATATGTATCATAAATCATAGCATTATCATGCTATTCAAATGTAGAAATGAATACAATTTAATACATAATAATATTATAAAATCAATTTAAACTACATGGATTTAATAATTCTGCCCTTTAAAAAATATTTTCTAGATACCTTAGTATAAATATGTGTTATTCAAAAATAATATGTAATGTACATATATATCAAATTAATACCTAATCAAATAATTTACCTATTTATATTAATTCCTAAAAATACATGCTATTTACTTAGTTTATCACAATTGTTTTTCTATTTTTTATCAGAAAATTAAAATGTTTAACTTATCTATAAAATTATATACATAAAATGATTTTTTAACTTGAACATCTCTACCAATTCATAAAATTATGAGAATATATAATAATTTATACTTCTTAATACCTACTTCAAACGAAATTTAATAAAGTAATTTAAATTAAATGTATTAATCACAGCACATTTATATCTAACAGTTGCAGTTTAGCAATATTAGTTTTTTTATTAATACTTTCTGTCTTAGTTTCTTTAAAATAATATGTATCTGAAATACATAAATTTTTTTGTTACTAATAAAATAAAGGTAATTTATTAATTAAGTTTAGAATCAAATACCTCTATAACTTAGCAGAACTGGTAGAAAAACCAATCCATGCAAAGCAGCTATAATAACAATACCCATGTACATTCTGTAGTAAAATATTTTAAACACTGGGGTATTTGCAAAACCGAGTACAGCTAAGCCAGCAAATTTTGTCAGCATAATTCCAGAAAATACCTAAAATAAATTAAAATTATAATGGGAATCAGATATATGCAATATGCATAGGTATATTTATATTACAAAAAAAAAAACATATTAGTAATTACCGAACTTCCAACTTCAACACAAGAATTAGTAGCACGTTGGATGGGACATGCTACATTTGATTTAACATTATGGAAAATAATATGACCACAAAACTCGACCATTATTCCTATTGACTAAAAATGAAATTTAAAAATAAAAATATTTTTTTAATATTTGAGCAACTGTTATTCTCACCATTACAAGGTTTACTAATGATATTGCATTAAGCGATATTTCCCAATAGTACATAAATGCTAATAAGTCTATTGTTATCATTGTATTAACTATTAGAAGAATAACCGCAGAAGACTTCTTTGAATTAGAAAATGACCACACTACAAATGTAACCATTACTAAAGACAACACTAAATGTTGAATGCACACCTTCCATATGGTCAGGTATTGTTCATAGAACACATAAAAAACACTAGAAAAAAACCATGCATGTATATGCCAATACTGAAATAATACATTTCAATAATTATTATTTAAATGCACCTGTATGGGAATACTGAAGTGGTTGTATTTGGTTTCTTTAATCTAATTGTCTGAGTCATATTATCTGCTAGCGATCTAGCTGAGCGCATGGATTCATAATAATCTTTAGATGTTTTTAATATTGTGTGAAATGTCATGAAATAGTTAGGACCAGCCATATTATTTTCCAAAGAAACAGCCTAAATACATTCATATAATATTTAATATGAAAAAATGTATTTATTTTTGTTAAGTTTTACATCACTATAAGCCGCATGCCCAGCTTTTGAACACTGTATATCTGGATTATCTTGGAGAAAATATGGTAAATACTTTGAAAAGCTTTGAGCGTTTGGTCGATTCAAATGATTTTTAGTGATATTGCAGCTCACACACTTTTCATCGCTGTGAGGACAGAAACTATTGTTTGAAGGAAAGTATTTGCAGCAACTCGAAAGAGCAGTCCAATCGAAATAGTCGTCAATCCATGATGTTGAAGGTCTATTTATGTATGATCTAAAAATTAAAACATTTTTATTGCAAAAGTAGATATTATATTAAATGAAATAATTTAGTTTAAAATTTACATGTTTGGTATTTTTGAAGCTCTATGAATTTGATTTGTAACTGAATAAGGATCACAATGAATACCACTACATAGAATATTTTGATCAGTATTTTCTGTTAAGTTCAACCCATCAGTGACAACAAAATAAACAGGAGGTCCAGTTGACAAGTATTGTTTCATAAACTATATTATTAAGAATCATCAAGATTAAGTTTTTAAATAATACTTGGAAATAATATAAGTACCTACTTTGAAATATTTCAGCACATATGAATCATCGGTCATGGTTAGTTCGACATCCAAACCTACATCAATTTTTGGAACAACCGCAATACTAATACAAAGCCAAGCTGTAAATATGAATATAACCAATGGTCTAACAATCTTATTCATCAATGTTGGAACATAAAATTTATGAAATATGGTGTAAACAAAACTTTGTTTTTCTATTTTGTGATTATTGATTTCCTTAATAAAATATAAACATAAATAAATAGCATTGTAATATATTTTATAAATTTATAATATGTTTTTCTTACTTTTTTAGCATCAAATGCTAATAGGCTTATAAAACATGATATCTGGAAAAAAAAGTTGAAAACTAGAGCCATTGCAGCATACAATGCAAATGCTTTGACGACAGGCATATCTGACAAACTGCCAATGAAAAAGCATGTAGTTTCTGCAAGGGTAGCAATAAAAATTGATGGACCAATTATACTTAAAACTCGACCTATATAATTGGAAATTGATTCATTTTCTTTTATTTTCGTTGTTTGGTATGTTCGAATGATTAAGAATATGTTGTCAACTCCGACAGCAAGAACAATAAACGGTATGACCTGTTACAAAACAATTATTATTAAACTTATAAGAAAAAAAGATGATTAAAGGTTATTTGAAATATAATATTAATTAAGTATAATAACCAAAATATTACCTCAAGTACAATTAAGGTCAGTGGTAGACCAATCAGACCATAAAAGCCAACTGAACATATGATAGATGCTATGACAAGTACTATTCCAAAAAAACTAAGTAAAATTTTACTTTGACCAAGAGTAAAAACAATATATATGAACATGACCAAATAACTTATAGCAATTGTAGAAATATCTGAATGAGATTCTCTATCCAGTTCATCTTCAACCGAACGTTCTGAATAATAAGCAACATCCATAAATGATGGTTTAGAAATTTTAGTCCAGTTTTTCATGAATCCCAAAAATCTATTTAAATACAAAATATTTTATATGTACATATTGTGAACATTTAAAAAATGAATATTATGTTACTCTACTTGTTTTCCCATTCAAGTGCATCATTTAACAATGACTTATTATTGTGATTGTTGAGTACAAATGTTAATAATAACGACCTTGCTTTTTCATAAGGAGCCCTTTTAGTGATTGGTTCATTAGAATTAGAAAAGCCTCCTAGACCAACAGATGGATCAACTGGACCACCATAGGGTGCTAAGCATAATGGATTATATGGATTCCTATACAAATTACAATGTTTATTTTTTTATAATGATTGACAAATTATGCAAAAAATAATATTTTTTTACTCACTGAAAGCATATTTTGAATTTATCCAAGTAAGTACTTACAGAACCATCACGGTTACGAGATTTACGGTTCAGTTTACTTGGATTATTTAAAAAATATCCCCAAACACTTTGAATAACACAATCTGAAACTTTTGGTGGACCACGAAATTTAGATGCAAGTGGCGAAAAACATACTTTTTCCAATCCGTTATGTGGACTTCCCAACTATGTATTTTAAAAAAATAATAATTAACAGTTTATAACATTTACAAATTACCAATATTTTAAAATATTTTAAACAACTTACAGCTGTAATTTGTTTTTGTAAATTTAAAACTTCTACCAAAAAAGTATGATTAAACACTGGTCCAAATTTAAATAAACCTTGAGTTGTGTTATGATCAACCTAAAATATTAAATATCTGTTGAATTATTTCTGTAATAATTTTGTTTTTACAAATTAAATTTACATCTGACACTCCCTTTGGAACGATTATCACTTGTGTTGTTCGGAAAAATGGCTTAAATTTTAAGTTGAAAAATTCACGTTCTTGACGGCATTGGCTATTTGGAGATGACCATAAATCTACTGGATCTATTGTTATTTTTATAAATTTAATTCCAAGACTAAGTAAAGTTATCAGACATACAGCTATCATAAATGAAATTTGTAAGTTACTTGCGAAATCTATAATAGATAAAATACTACAATTAATAACCAATTAAATTTGAATACGTTCAAAAATAAGAACTTAATGTTATACACATTACATAATAGATGAAATGTTGTATTAAGTTTTCCTTTTCTTACTTACATTTTCCAATTTGAAAAAAACCCATTTCTAACATAGTTTTATGTTTTTTTTTTAAATTTTCTACAAAAATATACTCATATGTTTTCATTATTTGTTTGCTTTTGTTTTTCAATGCACCTGTAGTAATATCAAATTAAATAGTTTTAGAAATATTTAAATCGATAAAATTACCTTTAAAATATATGAAGCCTGCATAAATTGACATTATGAAACAAAACAAAATCATTGATAATACAGTTAAAACTTCTATACCAACTATTTTAAATGATTTTTGTGGCTCAGGTATTTTATCAGGATAAGGACAACTTTCTTCACAGTCCATACAACTACATGCAATAGAGGTATTCTGCAATTTAAAATATTTGATATTAAACTATAGCAGATTCTGGCTAAGATATAAGAGATGTATTTTTAAATGGCACATAAGCAAAATTGTTAATATATATTTATAATTTTTAGATTGCATAGCTATGTGCATAATTTAAATCCTGGCTATTAATTATTAATATCTTATATTTTTTTAACAGTAATTATTGTATATAGGTTACTATAAACTTACATCAACTGGTTGATTACATGGTATAACTGGTGCTTTAAACGGTTCGTAGTGATTATCAACCGTTATATTTGAAATAAAATTAATGACGAAACCTAAATAAGGATTGTTCCCCAAAAACTTGAACCACCTTAAAAAATAAATGTACATTTTAAATAAATACGTTTTTAAAGATAACAGTTTTTTTTTTCATTAGCACATGGGTATTTCCTATTTCCAATGCTTTAATAAAATTTCCAAATAATACTTTCCCCTACACACGTAGGAAAAAATTTGTGTATTGTATAGTATATGTTCATCTAGATAATTGATATACTTACACTTACCTGACATTTATTTAATTAAAATCTAAATAATCGCATTTAATTTAAGTTTGTAAAACTATCTATATGATATATTGGTTTAGTGTGCGTGCAAATATGTTTAACAAAATAAAATTTTGAAAAGAAATAGAAACGAAAACTAGACTCATTAATCATTATAATTTATAAATAGGTACCTACGTATGTGCAGAACAGCCCATTGCTCCATTGCATAAAACATCCATTGCAAATTCGCCAGTAGCTGGGTTCGAAACAGATTTACATGAATCGTAAACACCTTGCATATACGAATCGGCAATGTAAAAATCCAATTCTTGAATCGTAGAACCTATAATACGATATAGTTACAATATTGATATCGTGTATTTTACGTGTAATTGTGAAACGTTAGTATAATAATATTGTGGTTGATTTATAACGACAAATCGATCGACCGAGATATGATGGAAATTTTATTCCACGTCGTCGTATTTTCACGTGTATATCTACCCATACATATAATTATGTAAAATCTCGTATCTAGTATGTATATAAGTAGTAAACATAAACTGAAACCATTTCACTCTTATATATTATTATAATAAAATTACTGACCATTATTCAACAATTTCGTGACATTCATGAATCGACTTTGTTTCGGCGAACATGCTAACTCACAAATAAATCTCCCGAAAGTTCGCATACATGACGGACACCTATGTAAGAAGTTTGCAGCTCGTACAATACTAACTCCCAACGTCGAAAGCTGGTCTATTCCACAACACGTCCTGAGAATTTTTCCATCTGAAATAATAAAAATATAGATATAGATATATTTAATATTGTATTAAGTTACACCTTCAAATCATTCCTCTACAAAAATGATTGTACACTATCAAATTTGGTTCAAAAGTTATTAAATAGATATTAACTCACATCAATAAACCGTTAACTCAATTAATATTGACAATGAATTAGATAAAATTAATCAACAAAATTATTTTAATTACACCTATACTTATTTATTTACTCATTCAGTATATATGTTGTTTTAAACAAAATTAAGATGTACCTTCCTGTATATACTTACATAAATTGTACTAAGTAATTAACTAAAAATGTATTTAATTTACAGATTTATGAGTTATAAAGTTATCTAAATAAATACATAGGGATAAAGCTTTAAAAACTTTAAAATAATTCTGATGAGTGTTTATACATACATTTAAACTTTATATGTATATTAAATTAACAAGTCAATAGCAATGTACTTTTGAGCGGAGAGAGAAATGTATAGTTTTACAATAATGGTTATTATTTTTTTTTTTTGTGGATAACTTTTCTACCAGTAATTTTGCTCCAATTTTCCGAAAGGAAGTCTGACTTGGGTGGTACTTTAAAAAGGTTATTTTTTCGTTTTTCCAAGGAGTTTTCCTAATAAATGGGAAATAACAGGGAAATTTACGAAATCTATTATGTTTTCAATTTTTTGTTTTGATTTAGTTAAAATATTTGTGGAGATTTGAAATTTGGACAGAAAACTCATATTTGCTTTTTTTTAAACGTTGTTAAATTTTGAAAATAATATAACTATTTTTGAGTATTTTAATTTTACGGGGCATTTTTAAGTAATTTTTGTTCGGTATGTACTCTCGTGGATAAAATTGTTCAACCAAATTGAAATGTTAGAATATTTAACAAGATTTTCATTATAAGTCGTGCTTTATAGTAAAAATAAAAAACAAATTACGAAATGTATTATTTTCAAACAGTAAATATTACGGCCTTTCAAAACGTGAACAACCGAACTACGCGCAGAATCGTTTTTCATAATAAAGATTAATCGTTGCGTACTTGTCTAGAGATAAATTTCTCTCTCTATCTTACCTGTCCAACTTTTCTCCTACAAAAGTGGTCCACCTATCGTGCGAAGTATGTCCATATCTTTTTTTTTTTAAATTATTGTACCTAAGGTACAGTTATAATACATGGTAGAACAACTTTGTTATCAAAAATCGTTTGCTGACGAGTATAAAAATAAAATGGCCCCAATTAGGTGGAACCAATCAGATTTGATGAATTTACGCGGGAAATTTAAATATTATTTTAATATTACCTACTTTTCTTAAAATAATATCGCATTTTCTAATATGCATGCTTTTTTTTTTTTTTGGAAATTAAAATCTCAGTAACTAGATCTACTATTATTATTATACACTTATATTTAATTAATTGTATTTTGATAAATATTACGCATTGTTCATTGTATTAAATAAAAATATAATACCATTTGTCTGCAATACAATATTTAATTTTTATAAAATTTAAAATTTAAATAATTTTTACAAAATAAAAAACTGTATACTATCCAGTTACACTGTTCTATGGACGAAGGATAAAGCTAATTGTTATGAGCCGAGTAGACTCAGAACGAGTTTTAAGGATTTGGATTTCAATTTAAGAAAATAAACACAATTGTTCTATACTTAAAGTTTATTATTCGCACAGATATGACATATACATAAGTACTTGTCTAACATTTGGTTACGACTGGTTGACTAGTGTCCCTCGCGTGTTCTCTGTATACCGAAAACGAGCTTTTAATTAAGACAATTACTATTCTAAGTATATATCTGTGTTACTTTTCCTTATTACAAACTCCACTATTAATTAATTATTTATGACACAACTGATAATGTATAAAATGCAACTGAGGTCTTCTGGATACAAATAGAATACTAATAACTACGTTTTATTACATCTAGACCGAGTGATCTTAACATAATGATTAGTTTAAACTAATATATTTAAAATCATGATTTAAACATTGATTTTAGAAAATAAATACTTACAATTATAGATTATAAAATAAAGATTTTATAATTAAAGAATCAATGATCACAAAAATAATTATTGCTCTTTTTTCTCGTTGTTTACTTAATGATGTCTTATCATTACTCTTGTTGATTTTTAAAATGCATTCTGATTGGTTCCATTTTATGAGGTATGACGACCATATTATTTCTATCTCGTCAGCAATCGATGTTTGATAATGAAGTTGTTCTACCATTTATTATAACTACCTTACCTGTACCTAATTTTCTAATGTATAAGTACTTACCTAAATATTTAACCAATAATACCTGCAATTAAATAATGTATACCATTATGAGGTTTAATGTTTGAAATAATTGTCTATGATTACGCGTGATTAGGTACCTAGTAATAATGTGAATGGATTTTATAATAGGTGTCTTTAATAATAGTTAACTTTTAAATGTTTAAAATTAAAAATAATTTGAATTTTAAATATTAAATATATTTTAAAATCATATCAAGATGTGTCACGTAAATTACGTTTGTATATCCTTAGACACACCTATAGGTATACTGTATACGCTCTACATGGATAACTTATACTTGGACAATGAACTAAGATTTAAGCCACATAAATAATAGGTACATTTATTTCTTAAATTTAATATGTCGCAACGAACAATAGTCTGTAGGTACCTATCTTGTATACCCAGTGCCCACCTTGTGTAGGTATCCTTTAGTATATTTATTTTTTTGCTCATCGAGTTTTGTGTATTAAACATATTTTGTTTTATGTCTTTTACAAATAAATTAGTAACTATCTATAATAATACCAACCTATTTGAATATTTTTGAGTTTATTTAAATATGTCTACCTATATTTGTATTTAATTTTATATTTAATATGAAACAATAATAAGATAATTTTTAGAATAATGAAGTAACCAATTTTTTTACAATTACCTATTGGTAATATGAACTATGTATTATACTATAACATAATATAAGCAGTAGGTAACCATTATTATTCTCATATATAATAATTATTTTAATTTAGTATTTTTTTTAAAGTATAATAATAATTATAGATAATATTACATTAAGTATCTATCAGGTACTTAATAACTAGATAACAGGATATAATAACTGTAATTGTAATTACATAGAAAATGTATAAAATCTTGCATATACTAACCCGTATCTCTATTCGAATATCGACATTTTTAAATTTTTATGTACTTACCTATAAGTATTTAAATTTTCAGGACAAGAATATTCTAAATAAAATGACAATAATAATTAAAAAGTAAACGTTGTAAACGTTGTAAACGTTTTACATCTTATAAAATTATCCCATAGTAATCGGGTTTAAATAGGTGATACCTAACCTATTCTAATATCTAATACATTATAGATACTTGTCAACGTCAATTATTCTTTGACTGACAATAATACAATATTATAGCTTGATATACGGTATTATACAAATGTCTTCGAAAAATTTACAAACTCGATATTTTAATAGGTAAATTTCCAGGAAAATAAATATATATATATTTTTTATTTATTTTTTTTTTAGAAATTATTATAACAACACGTTTTATATACCTACCTAGGTAGGTATCTACTTAATATTCACTATATAAAATAACAATAAATTATAAGCGTTTTAAATTTTTACGGCTTCTCGGAAAATATTCAATAAATACAATTAAACTAAAAATCAAATATTAAACGATTGAGTATAACTAATAAAATAGTATTTCTAATCAACAGAGCTCTCTACACGTACAGCTTTCGGAGCTGGACAGTGGACGTATACTCGTAAAGATGTGTCATTTTCACAGAATCAGCATGTTCTAAATGTAGTATAATTTGTATAATATTCTGACGTTATTTTGAGTTATTTATAATGATAACTATTTGAAATTGTAAGGTTTTTTTTTTTTTAATTTATATTTGTTTTTATTTTTTACACAAATAAATTTGTTTTGGCTTCTCTAGAATATTCAATAATTTGATATAAGATTCAGCATAATAGTTTTCGTTATGTCACTATAAAAATACCAAAAATTTGAAGTCACAATTTTTTTTATACACGTTTTTAGGTCAAATTATGATGAAAATCATAAAAATCATGACATTTAAAAAAGAGTTTAACCGAACTTTTTTCAGAATCATTTTACGGTATCAATGATTTATCGTTGCGTATATACAATATACATGCTGATATAAATTAAATTATTCTATATAACTTACATAAGTGTGTACTATTTTTTTGTACACGTACAAAGTTCGAGCTTTATTTTGTTAAAAAAAACCATTTACAGTATAAATCTGCTCATAACCTTAAATTTAGTTAGGGAGAATATTATTAAATATTAGTCGTGAATTTTATGGATAAAATTAGATGTTATTTATGGAGAATAAACAACCAACGAGCGTGTATAAAAATGAAATTCTCAAAGGGAATACAATTTCCATACATTATACAAATATATTTATTTATACGATAGAATTTATACTAGTTAAATATACTAAACAAGGCCATTTACTTTGAAATACACATCTCATGAACTTTATTTATAAGAAAACTGATGGTTTGTATGTATTATAAACGCATTATGATTATACCTATCAAGCGTCTATTATGTACGCCATACCTTGCACTACTGATATACGCTCACCAACCGCGTACGCTCAAGTTCGATACATTTTTTCTCACAAACTTTCTCAATCATAATATCATTGTCTTTTTTTTCTATCAATAATAATAATCAACTTCCAAAATTCCTGTTTCCAATAGTCGTTTTCACATGTCTTTCATTCTTCCTTTCTCTTCCTCAAAATATAATTCTAATTCGTTTATACTACGAATCATGCAGATTCTTCCTTCTTATTGCCAGTTTCAATGTATTTATTATATTTAGTTAAGTATTGAATTAAAAAATTGTTTTAAATAATATGATTGATTTATGATTTAATATAGTCTCTACTTATTACATATTATTATAAAAGTTTTTAACTAAATTTAAATACAAAATGTTTCATATAATTATAATAAATTTGTATTAAATTTTATCATATTTTTTTAGATCCACAATATTAAGAATTGCTAACTTAGACAAACCACGTTTGTATCGGATGTAGTTAATATAATATGCTGAGCCATTTAAATTTTTGTATACATATATAATAACTTATAGAGCTAATAATAATATAATTAATTTGAGTACTAGAACAGATTTAAACAGTTTTATAATAATATTTACTTTTTTCATACAAACGAAATAAGCAAAATAAATTGAAAAAATATATCTAATGTAAGAATGAAAAATGATAAAAGTGATAAATTAAAGAGGGGGTTTACATTATTTTTACAGCGTTTTTTTTGTTGTCTGTAAACAACTTTTCTAGTGGCAATCTTGCTTCAATAAAAAAGTAATAAGACACCTTTTTTTTTTCAAATTTTGGATCTAATTGATGAACAATTAATTCGTTTTTTAATTTTTCAAGAAGTTTTCATAACAATTGGGAAAAAGTAGAAAAAACGTAAAATAAAAACTGTCAAATTTATAGCTTTACAATTTCATTATTTTAATTTTTTACAATTTATGTTTTCTATCAACAATTTTGCTCTAGTTGGTTAGTAAGAAAGTCGTGTTTTGATTGTCTAACTAGTTTTTATAAAAATTGGGAATAATTGGAAAAATCATAGGAAATACAGAAATGTTTATGGCATCAACGAATGTAATTTATATTGTTTATATAGGTAATCATTTAGGACCAAAATTTCGTAAAAAAAAAATCGTAAATATTACGGTATTTTAAAACATGTTTAACTGAACTTCGCTTAAATTATATTTTGTTACAATAGTTTATTATTGTTTACAGATATAAATAACAAATTAACAAACTAAAAAGATTAAATAACTTTATTTTTGAGCATCATATTTTCCCAATCGTCTACCTTAGCTATAGCTAAGTAATTTACAACTTAATTATTAATCATTTTTTTTTTTTTAAAATTTGATCATAACTAAAAAAAAATATTAAAAAACATTATCATAATAATTAATGATCTACACTGTATTTACTTGTCTATATTCTATAGTATTTTGATAATTAGGTATCTGAACTTTGATAGACCGTGATATCAATAGTATTAGCATGAGATCCATTATACCTATTGAATTCATAAAATTCATTATGTATGCAGACTAATAAACAGATAAATGTCCTTTTCATTTTACTCACAAGAATTTTCAATAAACAATAATAACATTCCATCTTGAATACATTAAATATAATATAGGTAGGTACCTATATAATACCTATATAACTTTATAACAAATTGTATTTAATTTTTCAACTATAGGTACTTGAAATTAAATAAATATAAACCATATTAAAAAGCATGTTGCAGAATAATATGATTCGTTTATTTATTGCCCTATTGGCTGGGTTAGGTTAAGGTAAGATAAATGGGGAAATTATAATTTTTTACAATTAAGTTTATATATTAACTCAAATTTTAGATTCTGAATGAAGCGAAAAAGCTTATAGTTTTACTAAGATGTTTATTTTTTTTTTTTTATCTGTACGCAACTTTTCTACCAGAAAACTTGTTCAGATTTCCATGTGTAACGCCTTTTCTGAAAGGAAATCGGCGTGGAATTGCCCGTAACAATTTTTATTATTTTACCTTATTAATTTTTGTTTTTGGCTGTGTCAGAATTGAATGAAAATAAATAGGTGGAAAGTGGTTAGTCCACCGAAAGTGGACTAAATGTGTTCTATTGTGAAATTTGAATAGTGCAAATAACAGTAATAATAATAATTATTATTAAAATAGTTTTTATCTGTAATATCAATGTAACCCTTGAATAAAAAAAATTAAAAAGAAGCAATTCGATATTCGTACCAAATATACCTAAAAATTCCTATTTTATCCCCTGAGGGATTGAATTTTCAAAAAACCTTTTTTATTATACGGTAAAAGTATTAGAGGAACCACTATTCCAAATTTCAAGTACGTACGCGTTAAGTAGTTTTTGAGATACAGCGATCCGTGAGTCAGTGGTATTTGGATTTAATATTTATATAGGCAATAATTATTGTATTCTTATCATTTATTTTTTAGATTCTTTGCAATCGTAATATTATGTTGTTAAATACCTATTTGAGTTCGACATATTATAAAAAAAATATATGGGCTATCTAGTTATTAGTGTTTAAATATGGATAAATTATAATTTTTGAAATACATAACAATAGAGCAATTTATATTATATTTGCTTTGTATAATATTTTGGGATAAGAAATAAAATAGATGCAGAACACGTTATTAATAAAGACATTGTTAATTAAAAACATGTATACCTAAAATACAAAGAGACGAATAAAAAACACTGGGGAACGTGCGGCCACTGTTGTAGGTGAGAATTTGAAAAGGTAAGATAAATAATGTTATTTCATTTATATCTGTAAACAACGATAAACTATTGCTGACGAAAGATGATTCCGAGCGCAGTTCGGTAATACATAATTTGAAGTGCCGTAACTTTTTTTGTGGTTTTCGTTTAAATTTGATTTTAAAACGCTTATTACAAAGAAAAAAAAGAACCTGCATCATAAAAAACAAGGTCAATAGTTTAACAAAAAAGGTCTCTTGTCGTTTTTCATTTGGAGCCATAATTGTGTTAGAAAACGTGGTAAGTACCTATTTAAAATAACGAAATCGTAAAAAATCGTATTTTTCCCCGGTTAATCGTTTTTATTTTAAATACCGTTTCGAAAATCAAAAAATAAATGTATTTACCAAGTAGATAAAATTGACATGTTTACAAATAATACAGTGTTTGAAATGTGAAAACATATATTTAACATACCTTCGGGTTGTTATGAAATAGTTCAATAATTACTACAGGTAGTTATTATGAAAGGGGAACAGGTTTTTTTTCTAAATAATCTCGAAAATGATTAACCTAAATTTGGTAATCCAATAATAATACAATAATTTCAAAATTCTTATTACCTATTGGAATATTTACTTAAAAATTAATAGATATTCATGATTATATTATTATAACTGAAAAATTTTCGTATAATTTGATATTAACAGTTAGCATTATTAGTATAGTATTTTATTAAACAGATATAAATGAATGCGTATGTTATTTGTTACAAGGTTTTTTAATGAAATACTTATACAACTATTCACATATTGCTAATCATTTTTGCTATTAAGGACACCACCTCTTTATTAAAATTTAAAAAAACATGCAATTTTGACCTAATCAGTACTTGCAGTGCAAATCATATTTGAAATCATTAAAATTTAAAATTAATTGCATATTATCTATTTTTAATCGAATTACTTTTTAAAAAAAGTTTCTTTATTCAACATAAAAATGTATTTTAGTTTTTAATTATTTTATAAACATTTTACAATTTAACATACCTTTTGAGTGTTCTTGTATGAAATCAGGACACCACGTTTGAAGAACATTTATCGACTTATAGTCCGTCATCGGTTTCGCAGTTTCATTATAAGGACAATTTAGTGGCAATAATTCGTTTACTTTTCCACATTCGCCGTACCATACACAAGTATCATCTTTCGCCTAAAAATGTTAATTAAACAATTTTAACACACCTTCATTTTATTTGATATTTTTTTGAAAGCTTCAGTATTTAATTAAATATATTTTAATTGCTTTTAAAATGGCTTCATCTTAATAATTTTATTTAATAACTATTAAATCAATCCAAATCGAATTGATAATAAAATCGTAAAATTGTTTAAAGTTATTTAATCAGAAATTTAAACTATTAATTATTTTGATGTTTTACAATTAAAAACTTTTAATTTTCCATTTTTATTTATGTTTTTTTTTTTTTTAATAAATTGAAACTACAAAAATTTGTACAGCAAAAATAATTTTGACAAAGTTGTAAGTTGGAATTTTGTAGGTTGACAATTGTGTAAGAGTAATACTACATGTAGACTAGAGGGTATTTTTACAATTTCCCAGTTCGATACGCTGAAAATTGCGAAAATCTGAGAAAAAAGAGAAAGAAAATTCAAACAACCTTAATGTAAAAATAATAAATATTACTGACAATTCTTAGGACAGTAGGCCCAATATTCAAAGTCTGGATGTTATATTAGGTATATTTAAAGCAGACCGATTAAACTTCGACCACTTCTACTCGTATTTTAATTAGGGTTAACACTCAGATCCATGCGACTCAAAAGACAATTTTTTCTTGTTCCTACATTAGTCTTCAGTCCTCATCTTCATCAAGCACGGTTAGAGTCGAACGCGTTTATCTTCCACGCTCTAAAATCACATTGAAGCTGAACCTCTAGAGTAGACGAATTATGGGCCTTTTTACATTTCTATAATTTATTTAACTAATTTTATTCGTTGGACAATACATCATATTTATATCTATAATTGTTTTATCTTTACTCTATCGCTCATTTCTAGCTTTGACGACGACCGAAGAATAAAATATTAGCAGTCATAGCTATTAATCATCAATAATTTAATGTTATGACTATCCCTCGAAATATTTCTCTTAATCCTGGATTACATTCTTCAAATCGTATACAAATATAATAATTGTTTTAAGTCCTGCTTCACCGTATTCATACACATTTTTTGGGGTCGTTCATCTCGGTGGTCTCTTTCCTCTTGATGGAAAGTAAAGACAAAAATATATCATGAAGTAGGTATACGCGGCATGCGTGGGATGGAAGGATGAAGGCACCAAAATAAAGAAAAAGAATTACATTATCGATATAAACGATAATGTAAAATACCGATTTATACTTATCCAATTTGAAATAAAATAGCCAGTAGGGTAGCCATCTAATTCACTATTTAAACTTTTGGTAGAAATAAATCCGTTTGTATGTACAAGTTGTACAAGTCTTCAGATTTAGATAATACGTGCTTATATTTAAACCTATCTAGTGTAAAACAGTTGGCTTGACTCTCAACAAGGATAGATGATAAGTAATGTCCTTCTATAGATCTATAATATTTATATTTATTGATCATAATTATACTCTAAATGGGATACCTCTAAGGCAGATTCTAGAGATTAAAGATCTTGGTTTCATATAAACACCAACTTTATCCTTTAGATCTCATATTAATCATATTTCCTGCAAAGCACTAAAGGTTTTAGGTTTTACAATGTCATACTACTGAATTCAGCTTAGCACACCTTTCTTAGTCGCTATATATTGTTCCCTTGTTAGATCAATCTTGGATATGGATCGATAGTTTGAAATCCATTCCTTCAAATCGAGATTAAACTTGCCGAACGAGTTCAATCCCACTTCCTTGGCCTCGCTGGTTTTTTACTAAAAATTGATCAGCCTCAGCACAATTACTCACCAGTTATGAAAATATTAAAACTCTGTTCACTGGAAAATAGGAGCGAAAGGGCTGACCAACTATTTTTGTTCAATCTACATCATGGGAAAGTGGACGCATCCAGACTCCTGGAGCGCGTTAGTTTATGTATACCTAGTGTTCACACCAGATTACAAGAGCCAATTCTTCTTCCCATTTTAAAGTCCAATTTTCCGATGAACGATCCCCTAGTTAGAGCCATGCATTTGTTAAATAATAATTATATTGATCTTTGGCCTTAATATAACATTATTTTTATATCACTTTTATTACTTTATACCTTGTTTTGCTTTGATGTTATCACTAATTAGATACATACTGTTATATTTGTTTATACATATTTAAAAGCCATTTGACATAAATTTATACAAATTAAATTAAAAAAACATGTTAATATTGTTAAAATAAATAAAATTATATTTAATAGTTAAAAACCATTATCAATTCATAAAAGTAGATAAGTATACAAATTGTACACTGTAAAACTTACATTCATATTTTAAATTAAAATTACTATAAAAACGCAATTTGAAAACATTATTTAAAAAAAAAAATACCCATGTAATTTAGATTTTTGAACATCTTAATAAATATAGGTATGTTTTGCCTTTATGTATCTACTACTCTAGGCACTGCCAAACACCAAATAGTTTAGTTATTTATTTCCACGAAGATTTATACCCATTGCAATATCTCCTGAAATAATAAAGATAAATAAAAATTGTTTTATATATATATATATATTATTCGCAGAGATAAGGACTACAGATATCTATAATTGAATTAAATTTTCATATTTTGGTAAAAAAACTAAAAATTAACTTTTTATATTATTATTTCCCAAAATTTTGAAAATGATCATTTTATAGAGTTTTTTATTCTGAAAAATTTGACATTTCAACTTTTTATTTTCATTAAATTCGTGATTTTTAATTAAAAATTATAAGTTCAGAGAAAAGTACTTATAATTATGCAGCAGGTTGCAATCACATTCGCTAATTGATTTTTATTATTATGGTTAACTGAAGAATAAAAATTAAAAATCATGAGTTTAATGAAAATAAAATGTTAACATTTCCAGGAGAATGAACTCTATAAAATAGCTATCTTCAAATTTTTCAAAAATAATAAAATAAAAAGTTATTCTTTTAAATTTTTTACCGAAACAACAAAATGAATTGATGTATAAATATTTGTAGCCTTTATTCCTATGAGTAATAGTAATAAATAAAAACAATAGAATTTGATTATCTTTATTATCTACCGAAAATACTATAATGGGTATATTTTCGTGGCATACTTAATATACTGCTACCTAATTTTTTAATAAGAAATGCAATTTAAAAAAAGCGCCAAATATCTCCTCTCAATACAGCAAGTAGGTAATTAAACCTTTAAAGCTATAATGATATGGGTTTACATATTATTATTTATAAAAGATTGATGTACGTAGGCGTACATTTTTTTATGCATAAGGGATTTCCGCGCTCGTTCGGGACGGACACATTATCAAAAAATATGCTTATTAATATTATTACGAATTTAAGACATGGGTTATGTTTATTATTATTATAAATATTGGGTTACTCACCAGAGCCGGTAATGAATAATATACGCATACAAATATTGACAAACAGATAACAGTCGGTAACATTGTGTTATCAGCCGGCAACAGAGATACCTGTGTAGTAGCAGTTCGACTACAGCGACCAACGTTGCGCGAGTACCGTCACTGGCAGTGGCGTCCGGCACAATGAACGCACAATTGACGGACAGAAACCGAACCGGTCTTCTCGTAGATGTTTACGAATATCAATATCATGCACAGTGTTGGTTTCGGGTTGTTTTTTTTTACATAATTTATACGCGTTAAGTGCCGCCATCTCGGAGCCACCACCACAGGTATAGCAAGAACAAAATCCCAATAAATTCTTAATCGGAATTACCTTGGCGTGATACATAACAATGAACAATAATATGCTCAGACTGCGGCGATTTCTAATACTATAAAATACAATATCAAGGAAAAAAGGTATCTTTTTGAAGTTATGTGAACATAATTCAGATATTAAATAACTGGTAACCTAGATATATAATAGATGCTATAACTATATTAACTTTACTATACCTTGCTAGTACCAAGTTGCCACAGCGCCGTCACTGGTTTCGAGTAATTATAAACGGGATATAACATTGTGTAGGGTATACCTACCTGTAACTAGGTTAGTCCGACCCTATGTAGATACCTAATGTATGCGTCGTATCCGTAATTTGTATTTATTGCATATTATAGGTACCTATAATTATAAAACAAATATTATTTATTTACGTTCTTACAAATATGTTGGTATAATATAAAAAAATATCTTTTGCTCGTGGTAAAAATTGAATTGTATATACATAGATAAAGAGAAATTAATGTTACATTTCGTTTATATTTTCGTTTCGTAAATGGTTTATTTCGAACGAAGGAATTTTTACAAAGTAGGCACTGATAAAATATTTAGTGCATAAAATAACACTTGTATGCATTTTAATCGAATCGAGATAGGTCCTAAGAAATTTTCGATAAAATAAAGCACTATGTGCCTCGTCTAGCATCTATAATGAATAATTAAGAATAGAAAAGTACAATCAGACTGTTATTGACTTAAATCGCTAATAATACATATTTTCTAGACAGCTGATGACTTGAATTTAAATATAATTTTGTCCGAATCTGACACAGTTTATGTTATCTGGTATTACAATTCACAATCATTTATACATGCCTGATAAAATAAATAATGAATACGCACGTGACACTTATTATCAAATAATTTTAAGCGTAACTCTAATGAAATAAATAATTGAAATTATCAAATAATTTGGATACAATTTAATGTGAATTTCGAACATTATAAATTATAATATGTTTAAGGAGTAATAAAAAAAAAAAAAAACGCTGAAAACAAAAATATATTTTATGTATAATATCAATGTACAAATTTGTATTATTTGCTGATTAAGGGTATTATGTTAATTCAATTTTTAGGTTTTATAAAATATCCATCACGAGTACTCTAAAATAGTCTATACACACTATTTATGTTTCCATGTTATTAATTGATAGTCTCCAATCTTCATAAAATAGCGAAATATAAATATAAAAAGCTTGACTAAAATAAATACTTCGAATAATGGGTAGGCTACTGTTGTAAGTGGGTAATTCTAAAGGTCGGATATCTGTAATCTATATTCACAGTAAACACTATATGTCGTATATACTAATTTAACAATTTTAGATCTTTAGAACCTATATTATGTAATCAACATTCATAAACAAAACATATTCGCACACAATTCGGACAGACCTCTGTAAAAGGTGGCATAAAATTGGGATATGTTTTTTTTGGCATGCAATTTAAACTCAACTGTAATCCATAGTTCATTCTAGTGGCGTATCTGGAGCTCAATTAAGGAGAGAGCGATTAAAAAAATTGTAATATACCACAAAATATTCCAAGGGGTTTTCTCGTCTCCCCCAAAAAGCTACAATTATGATTTTAGATTCTAAGTGGAACGAAGAAGCTCATGGATTTACAAAGATGTTTTTTTTAAATTTTTTTTTTTTATCTGTACGCAACTTTTCTACCAGAAGATTTGCTCAGATTTCTACGTATAGCACCTTTTCTGAAAGTAAATCGGCGAGAAGATGTAATTTCAGGAGGTAATTTTTCGATTTTCTCAAGTTTTGTCATCAAATCCGAAAAATCGAAAAAAAAACCGACGTCAATTTTTGATTTTCTTAAGGATATTCAAAATAACTGGAAAAGATCGACAAGAAAATCATAAGTAAAACGGCAAATAGTTATAGCACGCCACGGCGTTATTTTTTACCAAAAATATTGTCCCAATCGAAAAATGACAAGATGATAATAAGAGTTTTAAAATTATATTTGACGAAAATTGTAAGTATTTCGGCCTTTCAAATCATGTATAATCAAACTTCTCTCCAAATCGTTTCTCGTTAGTAATGGTTTATCGTTGGCTGCAGGTATAAATTAAATAACTTAATGTAACCTACTTTTCCAACTACCAACATACAACAGTGGCTACACTCGTCCTTAATATCGGCTCTTTTACTTACATTTATTCATTATGTGTTTTTACTTATAGCCACTGTTTGGCAGTCTAGGCAGTCTAGGAATAGACTAGTTCACGTTATTTAGAATATGTCTACTGCCGTCACATCTAATGTATAGGATCGGTGTCAACGAAAATTTTTACAAAAATTTTAAAGCAATATTAATCTTTTTCTTTTCTAATTATTCCAAGGAGCAGGCGATCCACCCATCGCCCTCCCCCCCCTTAAATACGCTTCTAGTCCACTCACATCCCTCGCCCACGTTTACACCTCTAAGTTCTAGTATTAGTCGACTTGCACCAAATATAGATGTGCTTATAAGTTATAACAATATCGGACAGGTATACTCAAATAGAATCATATAAAAAATAAAATAAGCAAAGGAAAAGAAGGGCGTCGTTTTAACCACACACTTTCCATAAGTTATTCCCGCACAATAGATTGACACTTTAAAATTCGGTGGTCGTACAAACAATAATGCATATATTTATCTTAAATCAGTTTAGAACTATGGTTCTAAACTAAAGTGAGCTCCAGTTAATCAAAATCACAAATACATAAAATTTTAATTTTTGGGATTGTCTGCAGATTGCTATACCTTGGTACTACAAGTTTCTCAAAGTAAGATACGTTATTAAATTTATATTGTCAACATAATTTATTTCTGAATTTTTAAATAGTGCTATCATGAATTACCACCATAGCATATTATGGCATAATATTGTTATATTGATGACAAAGCATCATTAACAACTGAACTCTTCTTAGAATCATAGTTTTAGTAAACAATGGATTACTGTTGCTTGCATATACAAATTAATTTACCCGATATATTCTACCTTCCCAACTTCTCCACAACAACAATGGTTGCACTCGTCCCCATTATTCTTGGACAGCTTTTTTATTTCCATATGTGAATAGAAAGATCTAATCTAATCTAAGTTCTAGTTACGTCATTTAATATATGATATATTCACTAAAAAATGTACATCACTGTTGTTATTGGAAAAACCGGTTCGTGGTTATTAATCGAAATAATGACATAATAAAATAATCAGTAATTGGTAATGGTAAAGTGCACCTGGAATTTTTTTTAATGACACTTTGAACTTGAACTTTTAAAAACGTTATATTTGAGTTTATTTATTATTAATTTAGACATGTTAAAAGCCCAATGCATGTTAAATATAAGCGAAAAATATATTAATATAATAAGGTGAATTAAGAAATTGTAGAAATTGAAAAACAAGTTAAAATAATAGTATAATAAATTAATAAATATAATAAAAAAATATAACTACTTAAATAACTGATCTATCTGAATTATCTGAATCTAATAATTTAATTACAAAAATAAACAATAGAATTAAAATTAAATAGATCAATTTACTATAAGTATTTGTAGAGTTTTCTGAGTAGAGCAAAGAAGCTTATGGTTTCACAGCGATATTTCTTTATTTATCTTTATTTTAATTGTATATTACGGTGTGCAATATTATAGATATTTCATTTTTACGAATAATAAATCACAACATAGTTATTAATTATTATAGTTATCTTGATAACATTTATATTTGGATTGTCTTCAAAAACGGTATTCAACAAACTGATGGATCTAGAGATTTAAAATTTGGCACAAAGGTTCCTTATACAACACGGATAAGCATCAAAAAGGTTTTCAAAATTCAACCACTAACGTGTTTTTTAAAATGTATCTTCTGGTTTTTAATTTTTTTTTTCGATAAAATTTCCGATTTATTTGGCGATTCGATTTATTTAAGATTAATAGACTGAAAAACTAATGAACCGATTTTTAAGCGTTCTTTTGCAAAACATTCCATTTTGTCAGGAGCGGGTTTTTAGATATTAAAATCTACTTTGATCCGACCAGTAGTTTAAGTTAGGGACATAAATATATTACTTTAAAATTACCTATAGTTTAGTTGCGTAACCATACGTAAGTAACGCACGTATGATGTATTGGTAACTAGTGTATTGCACTACCATAAAACAATATTCAAGAACATTTTGAGAAGTTGGGAAGATAGGATACATAAGGTTATTTCATTTATATCTGTAAGCAACAATAAATCATTGCTGACGAAAGACGATTCCGAGTGCAGTTCGGTAATGCATAATTTGAAGTGCCGTAACTTTTTTTGCGGTTTTCGTTTAAATTTGATTTCAAAATGATTATTAAAAAAATAGAATACGTCGTCCGTGTTTTTATAAAATAATGAAATCATGAAATTGTACGTTTTCTTACGGTTTTTTCCCACTTAAGTGCTTTTATTTAAAAAATGCCGTCAAAGACCAAAAAGTGACCTCTCTATAGTACAATCTAGACAACTTAAGCTTTTAGAAAAATTAAGTTGTTACACGTAAAAATCGGAGCAAGTTTACTAGGGAAAAACGTGTCCACAGACTAGAACAAATAAAGAAAAAAAGAACAAACATCATTGTACAACCAATCAAGCAATACAAGCTTCTTCATTACGCTTGGAATCTAAAGATGATGCTATTAGTGGTGCTCGACCCTTCGAGCACTACTAATAATGTCTCTATATTATTTGTTTGATTAACAGTCAATAATCAGTGGCGTTCTCAGGAACTTCCAATTGGTGGGGGGTTGTGGATAATTTCTAGATATGACATTTAATATTATTTTAGATTCTGGGTGGAGCGAGGAATGTATTGGTTTTACAATGATGTTTATTTTTTTTTTTTTTTATGTGAATACTTTCTACCAGAAAGCATAGTTCAATTATTAAGTATAGCACTTTTTCTGAAAGGAAATGTTCTCTGGGCGGTACCTACTTTAAAGGAGATATGTTTTGAAATTCTCATTAATATTCGAGATAATGTGGAAATCCAGTTCTTTAGATTAAAAAAAAGTTGAAAGATTAAAAATAAAGTTCTCATTGGCAACCG